TCTATAAGTCTAGTAAAATAATGGAAAGAAAAAGAAAATGGGTAGTGAAAAGGAACACAAGCGTGAAAATTGAATTGATATTCGCACTCAGCGGAAAGTCGTTCAAATTTGAGAAAAATCCAATGCAGTGGCTTGGTAGGCACCACCACTGACTTCCTTTTAATGTCATCCTATCAGTCTAGTCATGCATTGATGTCATGTAATGATGTTGCTATTTTATCAAAAATGAAAATTGTTATATGGATCATATTTAGTTATTAACTTATCATGACTGATTTCAGGCAATAACCATTTTTGTTCTGTCTATCTATCAATCTGAAAAAAAAACTGAATGATATGGATCATGATTTAAATTGTATTGTATTGAAGATTGTTTTATTATTATATACATGAAAAAGAATAAAATCAAGATCTAAATAGGACAAATGAGAGGAATAATGCAATGTTAATGATAACATACTATGAATGAGAAGTATATGTGTAAAAAAAAAAAAAAAAAAGGACATAGAGAGAGATGATGATGATAAGTAGAAAGGAAATACTTGGGAGACAAATAATAATAAAAGAATAAAACTAGACTACAAAACAAAAACTAATCATCAAAAGTGACAAAAAAAAAAAAGATCCAAATCAATCAATGAATCACCTATTTCTTGTTTTTCTTGGGTGTAGGTTCTGCACGACGGAAGATCAAAGCACCTCCACTCAAGTTAGCACTACCTTCAATAACAGCATTTGTCCGTTGTACTGATTTCCGTTGAAGCTTTTGATTTCGAACACTTTGAAGCTGAGCATTTGCCTTTGCCACTTTGGGTCGATTGTTAAGAACCTTGACAGTATATTCGCCCACCATACGTCCTTGTGCCGCCTTTTTTTGTTTTGCGCGTTGTGCTTTTAATTTGCGTTCGAGTCTTTCCTGTTCTTCAGCTTCCATCTGTTCAAAGTCAGCCATAGTCAAATGCGTTCGTTTGTTGCCAGTTGTTTCGTTATCTTCTTCATCGTTCAGCGCATCAAGAACTTCTTGTGGTAATCGTTTGCTGTCTTGTTCGTCACTGTCACTGCTGCTATGATCTTGTTCTTCCTCATCGCTGTGTTGTTTTAATTGTTCTTCCATTAACTTCTGCTGTTCCAATTTCTTTCCTCGTTTACTAGTCTGCTTTTGTTCCTTTAACAAAAGATCCCGTTGTCGTCTTTTTTCCTTTTCGATCTTTGCTTGTCTAAGAAAGGAAAAAAAAAAAGAAGTTATTTAGTTTGATACAATGACATATTGACAAATTATATATATATATATATATATATATATATATAACTTACTTTAGAGCTGCTTCCTTTTGAGCTTTGGCTTCATTTTGTGCTTTGGATCGGGATAAACTAATCGATACAGCTTCAGGAGCGGCATCATCGTCAGAATCAGAATCTTCCTGGAAGTCTACATGAGTGTCGACAGACTTGATATCTTTTTCTTCAAAACTAAACTCTTCATCAGAATCAAAGGTAATTTTGGGCATCAGAAGTGATTTAAATATATGATGATAAAAAGGGTATGCTGCACGAAAAAAAAAAGGAAAAGAAAAGAAAAAGAAATCAAAGCACAAAATGGAAAGAAAGAAAAAAAGCGCAGTGGCTTGGTTGCCTCAAAAGTCGGCGGGGTTCCACCGCTACCAAGTAGTTGGTTCTCCTCTTTTTTTTTTATCCCCTTATCTTTTTCCCTTTTTATCTCCTCTCAACTTTTAGAAATATATATATATTATATATATTATATGATACAAAGATTTTCAACAACAGCATCAGGTGAACCAGGTAGTGGCACACTTATTTGTCAATGTTATGACGATAAAACCAAGTTTTCAAGAATCCATGCACAATACCCACTCAAGTTTATACCCACACGCGGCCATGCTGAGCGTTTAGCTGTAGTATATATGATCAGTTATGGTGGTGGTATCGTCAGTGGCGATCGGTTCAATATATCGATTGATATCTTACCCAAGGCTATTCTACTACTATTGACTCAAGGCAATACAAAAGTATTCAAAGATCGGATTCATCAACGTCAATGGATGACATTACTTGCACAAAGGACACAACCCTCTTTACCTTTTCAACCTACTCTACCATCAACTCCAACTCCAACACCATCAAAGATAACAAGGGCAACACCAGAACAAACATCTATCCAATCTATCAGGGCAAAAGTATCAGCAGGAGGCATATTATTGATCATCCCGGATCCAGTGACTTCATTCGCCGAATCTTCTTTTACTTCACGACAGGAATTACAATTGGAAGACGATACTTCTCAGCTAGTACTCTTGGATTGGTTCACTAGTGGACGACATACACGAGGAGAAAATTGGGCATTTCATTATTATGCTAGTAGAATTGATATACGTGTGAAGGGACGTTTGGTGATCAAGGATCATATGGTATTAGAGGATGACAATACTCAACAAAAAGAAGAAACATCTTATGCAGCCAAGCTACGTCCTTATACTTGTTTCGCCACATTGATCATTATCGCTAACAAATCATCATCATTATCATCAGATCAATCGTCCTTGTATCAATCCATCAAAAGAATCATTCATCAAGCTGAGGAAATGCGAATGCTGCCACATGCTATGAAGGAACAACGCGATTTACTTTGGTCTGTCAGTCCTCTCTTGGATCAACGTGGTGTATTAGTACGCATTGCTGGTATGACTACTGAAATGGTACGGGATTTTGTCAAGCTGGAATGTCTGGGTCAAGGTTTGAAGGATATCGTTGGTGATGGCATGTTTGGCAAGATTTTGATGTAGTATGGTATAATATATAATGTAGTATAGATTTATTCAATGTCTGTTTTATATGATAGAAGCTATTTTTTTATTTATTATGTGAATTCAATAAAAATATCTACCTTCTTTTTCAAAAAAAAAAAAAAAAATGCCAACGATAAACTAGATATATATATATATATATATAGAGAGAGAGAGAGAGAGGGAGAGGAGATAGTTGGAAAGAAAGGAAAAAAAAAGTAAGAGACAGGAGGAGCCATGATCAGGGTATAAAATAGAAAGGAGTGGAAGTATAGAGTACAATAAAATGATCAATAGTAAGGAGTGTGAAACGCAACCGTTAAGATGGCTGGAATAGGAATAATCATGGTGATTCAACGAATTTTCGTCGACGTATATGACTATAATGAATCAGAAGAAAGTAATGATCAGTACATAAGCAGTTATTCAATGATGTTACTTTTACCTTTTCGGTTGAGGACGACAAAGGACTTGAAAGATATTCACAAATGGATTTTTCTTGCCATAAGGATTTGCATGCGCATGAGTTTGAGTATCATAGACGTTAGAGCGTAACTATATATGTATATCAAGAGAGAGAAAGAAAAAGAAGATCAATCAATCAAACGTACATGAAGTTCCTAATGGTATATATATTTACCTTTTCGTGTGTTGATAGGCCTTTCCATACCAAATGACAATGATATAAAGTTAAACCACCTACCATCCATAACAAAAAAAAACCTATAATGGCAAGAATGAAGCTAACAGGTGTTGTAGTGAATACAAGATCAAAGTTGATATCTGGTTGAATTTGTCGAGCAGCCAAAAAGATATGAAGAACACAGAATACAATTAAATATATAGCCATCAACGTGCAGGTCATGATAAATGTAAAGAAAGGTCGATAATTGCGTTTGCCAATACAATTGTTGAGCCAAATACAATGATGATCTTCATTTTCTATATATAAAATCTTGGATAAGTACATTCATTATATATTTGTTTTATTCTAATAAAGCTTACCAACACAGTTATCACATTGACGACAATGACTTGCTCTGGGAGGACGATAAATCTTGCATGTTGAACAATATTTGAGATTCCACATTTCATCTTTAATTTTCACGCAACGATCAGCAGGAAAAGGTTGTGTCCAAATAGAAGAATGATCATCAAAAGTTTCTAGAGTAGGTGTAGGATCAAGTCCACGAGGAATCACCTGTAAAATAAAAAAAAAAAAAGATCGGGTAGTGAGTATAGAATCATAATATAAAAAGCAGGGATGGAAAAGGAGAATTTTCTTTTTTTTACCCCAGGATCAGTCCAAGATGTTTTAAGCATGGAAACCATAGCAATGACAAAGAGATAAGCATACAAGATAGGAACTACAGGATGAATATTTGACCACAAAAAAGGACAACTAATAAAGATAAGTCAAAGATGTAAGATTAACAAAACAAAACAAAACAAAAAAGGATGAATCGTTTATCTTACGTAAAAATGCTAAACAAGACACTTGGAGCTATCACTAGGATCATAGCAATGATAAATGCCCAGTATGCTTTACTTGTCATGAATCTTCCTCCACAAAAGAATTTGCTATTTCCTGGAAATACTTGATAATTACGTTGTTGTTTTCTATTTTGTTGTTGTTGTTGTTGTTGTTGTTTTATGTCTACTTTGGAATCAATTAATTCTGTATGACGATTCTGTAGTTGTTGCCTTTCTTCTTCTCCTTCTTGTTGTTGTTGTTGTTGTTGCTGCAATTGGTCATGGTTATTCATATCGTTAGCATCCGTATCAGAAGTATCAGCGACACTAGTAGGTACAAATGATGTCATTGCAAAACTGTCGTTGTTTTTGTTGTCATTGGTATCCGGCTTGTACATTAGATTTTCTTCTTGTTGAGATTGTTGAACTAGTCCTGCAGACGTGTCGTTTGTGCTTGTAGACATGGTGGTAAGTCCAGAAGATGAAGGTAAAGTGTCAGTAGCATTTTTTGATTGATTGTTATTGGTTTGTTCAGGAAACGCTTTGAAATCAAACTGTTCGATAGAAGGGAATGTACGAGGAGTATTGCGTATGATATAACTGGAAGGTGTCAATGCCGAAGTTTGATGAGTACCAGTAATAATATTGCTAGTTGTAGTAATAGTAGAAGGTTGAATGCTTTCAAATGCGCTAAAAGAAGAATATTCAATCTCCTGACTTTCTTTGTCAGGTTCAAGATTCATGATGATGACAAGAGTGAGTGAATAGTGAAAGAGAAAGTGAAAGAGAAAGTGAAAGTGAAAGAATTGAATAAAAAAAAAAAAAAGATTGTGTAACTCACTAACAAAATTTGTACCCAGCCAAAAAAGAGTTCACCTTCGCCACAGACCAAAACGTCCCTGATTTCTATTCTGATTGCCAATCAACTTTGATCTATTACACGTCTTTCATTTTCTTTTCTCTTTTATTTCAAGGTGAACAAATAACTGATCTTTTAAAAGGTGAAGAAGAAGAAAAAGATACTTCTCGAATGAAAACGTGATGGAAAAAGGTTTCTTTGAAAAAAAGAAAATACCAATGTCTAAATAGACGAATCATAGTAAGTTTATATTGATGATAATCAACTAAGAGTATTCATACTACTAGTATAAAGATAGTATAGATAGCGTAGATATATTTGGAGTACTTTCACAATCAAACTTGATGATTATCATGATCCATCATTGTCTATGAAGATACTGACCAGGTTCAATATGGGATGATCCCTCTACTTGCATCCAAGTTAGACTCTTTTTTTTAAAAATACAAAGGTTAGTCAAATGACATGATCATCTTTATTCATAATATGATATGTATGTGGGGGTTATTGAAAAAAAAAAGAAATAATAGTATTACACATGATCATCATCAACATATCGTAAACTCTTTTTTTTTTCCAAAGTTTTGCAGTGATCGGTTAAGCGGAAAATGAAAATAGCCTTATTTGTACCTTTTTTTGGATTTTAAGTATAGATAGGTACTCAGGGATTATTTCGAATCATAGGAAAGCAAGCTATCTTACTTTATTTTATTCAAATAGATGATGGGTCATTTATTTTTTTTTTTCTTAGCCATGTCTACAAGCGATGAAAAAAAAAAAAGAGATGTATCAACGACTTATTGATCAATTACCAAAACATCATCTCTACTTATTGCTTTATCTTTTGGATTTATTAGCTTTATTCAAAAATCAACAACATTTAGCTCGGATGTATGTATTTTTACACCTGGTTTACTATTGGATTATAGGAAAACATTAAACCCAATACATCATAAAATATCACAAGGAATTATTGAATTTTTAATTCAACATCAATTTGAATTTGTATTACGCGTTGACACTAGTAGTAACAACAACCATGCATCAACAAAGGACACCATCTTTATTATTTTCCACTGTTTCTTCTAATTCATCCATAACAGATCGGCCTATTTTGAGTTTTTTTTCTCACCATCTCTTTCGCCATCTCCTTATATTACAACTACCATGGACTCTAATATAAACCCAACAAATGATCAAGAGGAAAATGAAAAAAAAAGTTGATGAGAGCTAAAACTCTTATGATCAAAACTGATTGCTTTGGTTCTCATGATCCGTTCCAAGTCATACCTGTTACTGTACATTGAAACCATCATCATCATCATCATCATCATCATCATCTCTACAGTACGTATTTATCACTATTACTTAGTTTATTGATCACTATCATTATCCATCTAGTTACCCCTAAAAAATTGTACTGTCCTTGCTTTTGTCATATGGGTATAGTGTCAATTTTATTTTATTATTTTATACAAGAATATGATAGACAAAATATGAATAAAGTATCCACATATTATATATCATTTACGAAGAGGCATTGATTCCAAAATAGGTAATGCTGGGTTTGGAATCCCCTAAGGAAAAAAAAAAAAAAAAAAAAAAAAAAAAAAAGAGAGACGCGGTCATTCTTTCCTTTTTCTTTCACTCCAACATACCTCGACACTATATGACAGTAACAACATTGGATTCAGCAAAGAAAATACGATCTGGAAAAAGAACCAAGACAGCTTCAATGGGATCTAAAACCTCTAGCAGTAATGCACCTTCTATTCATCCTATAGAACCTATCAGCATAGAAGACTGTGTTGCAAGTCGAAGATTGATCCATAACACAGCATATCATCAATTTAACGCCTTTGAAATCGAACAGATCCAAAACAATTTACTGAAATGGTACGATGCTGAGCAAAGAACAAACATGCCTTGGCGTAAACCAACAAGATCAGATCTTGATAGAAAGGTAAAAATTGAAAGCGTTGTCTTTTTCATGTATATTATTGATTAACATTAATACCATTACTATATGTTATATGGTATATTCTAGGCTTTAGGACAACGCGCTTATGAAGTTTGGGTTAGTGAAATCATGTTACAACAGGTACGTATTTTATGACTTTGGGACAAAAAAAAGAAAAAAAGAAAAAAAGACCTAACTAATGCATTATCTTTATATTTTCATAGACACAAGTTGCGACAGTGATCGATTATTATAATAGATGGATGACTGCCTTTCCCAGTATATTTGATTTAGCAGCTGCTGACATAGAAGTAAGTCAAGGTTAACATGCGATATATAGGAATCATTATAAAAAATGGTTGGTAGTTTTGACTGATAGGACATCATTATCATTTTTTTTTTTTTTTGAATTCTTTATATTATAGCAAGTCAATACATTGTGGGCTGGATTAGGATATTACTCTAGGGCCAAACGACTATGGGAAGGTGCGAAAAAGGTAGTAAAGGAATTTGATGGAATATTACCGAATAATGCAAAGGACTTGGAAAAGCACATACCTGGAGTTGGACCATATACGGCGGGTGCGATTGCTTCAATTGTATTTGGTCAACAAACTAGTTTGGTTGATGGTAATGTGATCCGAGTATTAGCTCGATTACGATCTATTGGTGCTGATATGAAAAAGGCAAACGTTATAGAACTCTTTTGGCAAATCGCGACAACATTGGTACCAAGTGAAAGACCAGGCGACTTCAATCAAGCTTTGATGGAATTAGGCGCTAGAATATGTTCTCCTCAAAATCCCAACTGTGATGGCTGTCCGATACAAACTCAATGCTCTGCCTTGGTCCAATTACGATTACACGGTGAATTACTATCCAAAGATGGTGGATTCTGGAATCAGAAAGAAACAGCTGCATTGATAGAACACGGTAACAACTTACAAGAAGAAAAGACAAAAAAGGAAACAATATTCGATTTTAACTTGATTTATTTTTTATTATTATTATTATTACTATTTCTGTTATTATTATGATTATAGATTGTAAATATTGTCCTGCTATTACCAAAGATTTGGATCATGATGAATACTCTGTTACAAGGTTAGCTCATATAAATCAGAACTTACTATTATCAGAATGACAGCTTATAATTTTTTTTTTATTTTAGGTACCCAGTCAAGGCAGACAAAAAACCTCCGAGGGATGAAGGTAAGAAAAAGAAAAGAAACCTAGGTTTGTATTATTATCTTACACTGACGAAAATTCATATAAATGTATTATCCCCCCCTTTTTTTTTTATCTTTAGAATGTGCTGTATCTATAGTGGAGAAAATACCTTGTGAAGGGACTGATGATGGACTATCAGAGGGTTCTTTATATTTGATATCCAGACGACCAGATAAAGGTAAATTCGATATGATACATACAGAAGACTGGTGGTAGATGATTTAAACTCTTTCTTGTCTTTTTTTTTTTTATTTATTTATTTTATTTCGCTAGGACTTTTGGCTGGCCTTTGGGAATTCCCTAGTTTGGAACTAGACAACAAACAAACCACTTATGAACAACGATCTACATTGTCATCAACGTTTTTGAAGAATCAATACAATTTAGACCTGATGGATGGAACATTGGATGTGAAGAAACAGGATTTGGGAAACGTGGTACATCTTTTCTCACACATTCGAAAGGTATATCATATTGAATGGATCTCCATATCATCATCCATTTTGAAACAAACATCAACGGAACAAACGAAATGGATCACAATGGATGAATTGAAGACAGCACCAATTCCTACCGGACTGAAAAAGGCAATCAAGTTACTAGAAAAGGCTCAAGGTAGATCATCATCATCATCATCATCATCGAGATTCGGCAATAACAACAATAAGCGGAAACAACCTCCTTCGTCTTCCGGTTCCAAGAATATTACATCCTTTTTCCAAAAACGGGCAAGATGATTTATTCTTCCTTTTACTATATTAGTGTATTGATTGATGTTTCTCCTTTATGTATATACTTGTTTGCTTGTGTATTAGTAGTAGTATAGTGTTTTTGATAATGATATTACTATTGTTTTACTCTATGAAATAAAATCCTTTTTTTTTTTGTTCCATTTGACCCATTTTTTTCTTCTTCTTCTTCTTTTCTTTTCCTTTGAACTGAACATAAACTTCAATGAAAAAAGCTCGTGTCTTTACTGCTTTCTTGTTTTTCTCTTATAGCTTCATTGCTCTGGCTCATCCGCAATCGCATCCGTTTGACTTGTCAGATTATGAGATATTTGACCGTGATGCAACTACAGCAATAGATCAAGACATAGATAATGAAGCTCTTGATGAATCTAATGTCATGATGCCTTTGATCTCTTCTCTACAACGAAATAGTAGTGATCCTAGACTACATTCATCCCGCTTTCCTTCTGTTCCACAAACGATTCGCAATGCTGCATTGACTGACTGTATTAACTATAATACAGATTTCTCGGTAGAAAATGACGGTTGGGTTCCATTTGATACAGAAGGTGAAACTTTTCATCGCGTAAGCAATGGCTTGCAATTGGATTTACTTGCTCCTAGTGAAAATATGAGACTTATTGAAGAGGGTACAAGTATGTAAAAAAAAAAAAAAAAAAAAAAAAAAAAAGATCATCATCCACTTTTTTAAACTGCTCACAATTTTTTTTTCTTTTTCTTTTCTTTTCTTTTTTTTTTTCTTTTTTTTTTTTTTTTTTAGATCTACCTTACAATAAGCTTTCAGCAAAAGGTGCTACTTTTGCTTCGTCTTATTATATGCTTTATGGAAATGTCTCTGCTACAATCAGATCTTCTCCAGTGGGTGGTTCAATCACAGCTTTTATTCTTATGTCTGATACAGGTGATGAAATTGATTTCGAATTTTTAGGGGGTGATCCACATACGGTCCAGTAAGTAAATTATTTAAACTAACAGATATGATTATATTCTTACTAATTCTACCTTCTCCATTTTGAGAACTAATTTCTTCTATGCTGGAGAAGAACTATTTACAATAAATGGGGGACTACATCCAGTACCAGGTGCCGCCGTATTTGATGACTTCCATACTTATACACTTGATTGGAGACCTGAACGTATGCAATGGTTGGTTGATGGTCAAGTGGTTCGTACCAAGGAAAAGAAGGATACTTGCCAAATGGGTGTTTGTAAATATCCATCTAGCCCTGCGTAAGTTTATGTCAAACATCTCCTCTCAATCATATTTTTTTTTTTTTTTTTTTTTGAATACTAATACAAAAATCATGATGGTGATGTTTCTTTTTTTTTTTTTTTAAAAAAAATAATTATCTCATAGTCGAGTTCAATTTGGATTATGGGATAGTAGCTTTGATGCAGGCACGGCACAATGGGCAAAGGGACCAATAGATGTAAGCCAAAAAAAAAAAAAAAAAAAAAAAAAAAAAGGTGGTAGATGATTAAATTGAATATCTTTCTGATTGCTTATTTTAGTGGTGGAGTAACCGTGGACTCAGTGCATCTGCGTTAATCAATCATATTCAAGTGAAATGTGATCCTGAATACAACTCAATCTATGTCTATTAATATTGTCACAATGATGATGCTAGATATAAATAGCTTTATTAAAAAGAATTTGTCTTTCAAAATAATAATAATAATAATAAAAAAGAAAAGAGTACATGGATTATTTTTTTTACTAGTCATCACTTAAAAGTTTTTCTCCTTCGGAAGTTTTCTTTGATTATCCTTTCCTTTACTTTTATTTTTTTTTATGGAAAATGTTCACTAGAATGTTTGAGGTGAAAAAAAAAGGAACCATCTGCATTTTTACAATTTGATTCAATTATTCTTTTTTTTTTTTTTTTTTGTTTGCCTTTCTTCTTTTCTTTTCCTCTATCTCCCTCTCTCTCTCTTTTTTTTTTTTTATATTGTAATGCATTCCATTATGGAGGTCGTTAATGCGGATCATCATCGAGCACGAGGAACATATCCATCTTCTACTACAACTTCAAAACAAAATAGTGGCAATCAATTCAATAAACGTTTATGGAATTTACAAAGTATTACTGGTGGCCAACAATGGAGAAAGGTTGGGCCCTTACATGTAGAAACATTGGAAAATGATGATGTCAAAAATATTTCATTTGCCAATGCAATCAATCGTCAGACACCATCCAAGATGACTAGTTCTATCACTGATCCTGCATTACTGAGCCATCACCATTCAATGATAAAGGAAGATGATCACGACAATAGACGTGGTATACGGAGAAAAGCAGCAAACGGATTGAAACGTATCATCACCCATTTTTCTTTATCCGACACTAACTCCTTGGTAGAGACTCCTGGGTTATCATCTAATATTTCACATCATCATCGTCATCAACAAGCTCCACAAGATGTTCAAGAAAATGAAATGAATGTTGATGATGATAATCAACATAATGGATCATCTGATGATACTTCTTCCTTGCATACTTTTAGTACGGTATCAGATGTCAATGCAATTCAGGCACCATTGGAAATTGATCATGTCGTCACACCTATAGAACAACAAAAGCAACAACATCGTCGATCAATGTCGCATCCTACCTCATTAAAAGTAACTGATCTTGCATCACTAGCTGATCGATCATTACCTCCGTTACCAAATACAGATACAGAAATAACAACGGCTACAAAGGAAACAACAACAAAGCTTACTGCAATTGATGAATATAATCATCTCAAGACGATGATGCATCAGGCACATGTAGAACAAAAGTTTCGTCAGGCTGTGAATTGGTTAGGAAAGCCATTTCATAAACTATTATCTACACCTATGATATCCACAATGACTACTTCTATTTCATCTGCTACTTCCTCTGTCTCTCCTTTAGTGATTCAAGCTGATCAATCACATCAACTTGAGTCTGCTTGTCGTCCACACTCTTCTCGTACCACTTCATCTTCTTCCATTTCAGTCACTGCTGATGCAGCAGCAGCAGCTATGCTTCTTACCCATTATGATTCTAATCTTGCTCAAGTCAATCGTAGTTCATATGATTCTCTTGCTAGTCAGGAGGATCAACAGAATTTGCCATGGGTACAAGAAAGGTAACTTTTTTTTTTTTATGGTTTCATACACCGCGTCTATGCTTAAAATTCACCTGAATTTTTTTTTTTCATTTTTCTTCTTCTTTTTTTTTTTTTTCTTTTCTTCCTTTTCTTTTCCTTTTCCTTTTCTTTTTCTTTTTTATTTTATTATATATATATATATTCGCTACAAATAGTAGTCAAGCCAATGGAAATGGTCTTGATCTTAACTTCCGATTCACCAGAAAGAAAGTACTACGTTGTCGAGGTAACTACTATATTACTATTCATTCATTACGAAACTGGATTGTCTCATCTTCTTTATTTATATTCTCTAGTTATTCAAATCACAAATATGGCGTCTTCCAAAGGTAATTAACAAAAGGAAAAGAAAAAGTCACAAAAGGGAATGATAAAGATGCTAATACACGTACATACATACACACACTCTCTCTTTTTCTTTATTACCTCCTGGGTATCTTTCTGTATTGAAAGAATATCAATATGAACTCTTTGTACAATTGAATGACATTACACAAGCTTCACAAACCGGCTCCTTGAAGAAGATTGCAAAAGGTATTAGTGCTGCCAGTCCAAAAGAATCCTTCTCATTGTAAGTAACAAAACATATATATTCTTTTTATTACTCTGCTAATTTTGGGTTTTTTGTATATATGAACATTGTATTTTTCTTGACAGTGAAGTAGATAGTCCTTTTACTTTGACCTTTACCTTATGTGCCAAACCTATTTATAGTGGATTTTCAAGAATGAAGACATTTATGTCCAAAATGGATCTTTCTCATCACGTTACTGATCATCAAGGACTCAAATCAACCATATCTGATAACCACGAAATTCAATACGATCATCCTCCTCCATTGGAAGCATCCATGCCTGTAGTTGGATCAACCTGCTTACTCTCAGGGAATCGATTTGAAGCGTTTAGTGGTAAAGGACTTTCTCGATACACATTGACTCGACCAATCAGTGAAAAACAGCTCAAGGATTTACACGACATGGACTTGGAATTGATGGTTGCTTTTCAATTGGAAGATGCAGTGTCACCTACGCATACCTATATGTCTGGATTATGGACTGGGGAATTGGACTTTGATGCTGCTTTGGCAACTTGTAATCAGGGCGATTATCTGACTTTTTATGTACGAGGCAAGCAATTTCCTGTAAGCAACTGTTAAAAGAGGAAAAAAATGATGCTCGTTGATTGGAAATCTAACAAACGTATTTCTTTTTTTTCTTTGGATAGACCTGGACAAGATACTGGATTACTTTGGAACAAGGCCAATTATATCTTCGACACTTGTCCTATGAGGTAAATGAAATAAAAAAAGTTTTTCTTTTGATATGTTTAATTAATTGATATATGTTGTGTTGAATAGCACAAGGAACCTGTTGAATCGATACCTCTAAGTCAGTTAGAATCTGTTTGCAAACCTTGGGAAGACATTCAAGAACAAGTTTACTTTGGACGAAAACATGGTATTGTACTGAAATTCACTCAAGATCATATCCGAATGGAACAAGTGATTCTGGAGGAAGGTGAATGCATAGGTGGATATATGTATTTGTTTGCTGATAGTCCAAAAAAGGCAGCTTTATGGCGAACCGTGCTTAGTGCTTATGCTACGGCAGATTATGTGACTCCAAATGCTAGTATCAATGCTCGTTATCTATGGTGAATCCCTCTTTCTTTTCAGTTTATACTCTTTTTTTTTAGTTTTTAGGATGTTTTTATTTATTTATTTATTTATTTATCATTATTCTTATCTTTTTTTTTTTATTTGATTGATTGATCTCATATACATACATAACCCTTCCTTTCTTTCTTTGCTTGATTGGTCAATATCTTTACCCAATAAAAACTCAGTTCCGCAGTAGAGGAGCCTCTTTGGTGGCTTGATGTTTTATTTTTGAAAAAAAAAAAACTCCTACTTTCCCCTTTTTTTTTTCTTTCTTTTCTTTTTTTTTTTCTTTTTTCTTTTTCTTTTTTTTTTTCTTTTTCTTCTTCTTTATTAAATATGAGCAATGGATCTTACAACAATGGTAGCTTAGATCAGCAATTCGGTAAGTTGGAAAAAGAAAATGGTTATTATATCAACATTATTTTGTACCCCTTTAAAACTTTGAAACATATAATTGCCTTTTTGATTCAAATGATGATGATGATGATGATATTCACAGATATTTCGTTTCTTTTTTTATAGCTGGTATGGGCATTAACGAAAATCGCTCCAATGGTCGAGCACCTCCTTCTCGATATGTTCCTCCTCATTTGAGAAACAGTCAAGGTACCAATGGTTCTGCTAATAGTGGCTGGTCTGACTGGAACTCTGGCAACGATCGTTCTCAATCTGGGTAAGGAAAAAGGAGAGAAAAAAAAAAAGGATATTGACAAAGAAAAGACTAACCAATATTTTCTTTTTTTTTTTTCTCCCTAAACACTCTTCTTCTATTATAAATTGAATAGTGGTTATCAACGTGGTGGTGGATGGAATTCTTCTTACTCTGATCGTGGTGCTGGTGGACATCATCGATCCAACTTTTATGAACGTGGTTCGTATGGTGGCGGTGGCGGTGGTTATCGTAACAACTATCGCCAAAATGACAATGGTGGATATCAACGTCGTGATGATTCTCAAGGTTATTGGAAAGAAGGTGTTCATCATGTTGGCAATCGCAACCCTCGTACTGAGAAGGATCTCTTTGGTTCTGCTGATGATTCTGATCGTCAACATACTGGTATCAACTTTGAAAAATATGATGATATTCCCGTTGAAGCTAGCGGTGATGGATGTCCTGAACCTGTGACCACTGTAAGTAAAAAAAAAAAAAAAAAAGAAAAAAAGAAAAGAAAATATGAAAAGATTGACTGATGGCTTATTTTTAACTTAAATCTAGTTTACTAATCCTCCTTTGGACGCTCATCTTTTGAGTAACATTGAATTGGCAAGATATACTACTCCTACTCCTGTCCAAAAATACTCTATTCCTATTGTTGGTGCTGGTAGAGATTTGATGGCTTGTGCTCAAACTGGTAAGCAATATTTAATATTAATTATTTCGTATTCTCATTTTTTTTTTAAAAAAAAATAATAATAACAATAATAATAATTTATTTTATAGGTTCTGGTAAAACTGGTGGTTTCTTGTTCCCTGTTCTTTCTGAATTGTTCTTAAAGGGTCCTTTGGCTTTACCTGAAGATCCTCATGCTGGTTACCGTGGTCGCAAGGCTTATCCTACAGTCTTGATTCTTGCCCCTACTCGTGAATTGGTATCTCAAATCTTTGATGAAGCCAAGAAGTTTGCTTATCGTTCTTGGGTTCGTCCTGCTGTTGTATATGGTGGTGCTGACATTGGTGCTCAATTACGTCAAATTGATCGTGGATGTGATCTTTTGGTGGCTACTCCTGGTCGTCTTGTGGACTTGATTGAACGTGCACGTATCTCTCTTGCCAATATTCGTTATTTGGTCCTTGATGAAGCTGATCGCATGTTAGATATGGGTTTCGAACCTCAAATCCGTCGTATTGTTGAAAAGGAAGATATGACAAGTGTTCAAGACCGTGTTACTCTCATGTTCTCCGCCACTTTCCCTCGTGATATCCAATATCTTGCTCGCGACTTTTTGAAGGATTACATCTTTTTGTCTGTGGGTCGTGTTGGTTCTACTTCTGAAAACATTACTCAAAAGGTGGAATATGTTGAAGATGAAGACAAGCGTTCAGTGTTACTCGACATTTTGCATTCTACTGAAGTATCTGGTCTTACTTTGATCTTTGTGGAAACTAAACGTATGGCTGATGCACTCTCTGACTTTTTGTTGGGTCACAACTTCCCTGCTACTGCTATCCATGGTGATCGTACTCAACGTGAACGTGAACGTGCTCTTGATTCTTTCCGATCTGGTCGTACTCCTATCATGGTTGCTACTGCTGTTGCTGCTCGTGGTCTTGATATTGCCAATGTATCTCATGTTATCTCTTACGATTTACCTACAGATATTGATGATTATGTCCACCGTATCGGTCGTACCGGTCGTGCAGGTAACACTGGTCTCGCTACTGCCTTCTTCAACCGCAACAACAAGAACATTGTCAACGACTTTATCGATATCTTGAAAGAAGCCAATCAAGAAGTACCTGGTTTCTTGGAATCTGTTGCTCGTGAAACTAGATCTGCTGGTCGTGGTGGACGTGGCGGTTATGGTCGTGGACGTGGTGGTGGTGGTTCATTTGGTGGCCGTGATTTCCGTAAATACAACAATAATGGTGGTAATGATTATTCTCGAGGTAATGACTTTGGTGGTTACAATAACGGTTACAACAATTATCCTCCTTTGGGTGCTACTGGGGGCCGTCCTTCTTATACTCCTCGTGGTGATGTTCCTATGCAATATCAGAACAAGACCAGTTGGTTCTAAACCCTTCTTTAACAAATTATTGGACAAGAACGACAAAGCATACTTTGGAAAATAGACTACTACTACTACTTTACAATCTTCTCTTTCACTTATTCTCACATTCACTCTTATCATCGTCCTATCATACGCCTCTTTTATATTAGGTATATTCCCCCTGTCGTTTATTTTCTTTTTACTTTTTTTTTTATTTATATATACATATCTTTATCATCTGCATTTCATTTTTTTTTCATGCATTTTTTTTTATTATTCTTATACATTAGTTAGTCTCTTGTTAATGTTAGTCTTTTATATATATATTTAGAAAATAGAAATTGGAAGAAAAAAAAAGTACGCATTAGTAATTTTTTTTTCTACGCTCCCCCCTGACAGGATTTTATACATTTTATTCTTTTTTTTTTTACAAGTAGTTTATATTCCTTTTTTTTTTTTTTTTTCCTTCTTGTTTACAATATTATCCAATAAATAAAAAAAGAAAAGATCTTTATCATTAAAACATCAAAGAAATCGTCCTATTTTTATTATTATACTTTTCATTTAGGGAGCAAAAAAAAAAAAAAAAAAATCATTCAGTTTAGTCTCCCATACAGATTATAAAATTGGATGTAAATTCATTACTACCATCGCCACCACGTTTGATTTCTGTGCCAGAGTTAAACATGATGGGTTCCAAGGTGGTTTCAGGGACGGATTGACATTCACTGTCATCATACAGGTTGCATGCGCTGACTGCTTCAAATTTGATCGAGCTCAAATGCTCATTATGGAGTGGATTGGAAGTGCATATACCATATGGAAGTTCTTGATTATGACCATCATCATACAATAATGTTATTCCTGCTGCCATGCTTGATGGAAGTCTACTACCTATCATGATTAACGTCCATAGAAATAATCTCATTGCTATTATTGATATAATCTAGTAGTAAGATGGATGCAGAGGTAAAAAAAAAAAATATATGTTGAGTGATGATTAGCTAAAAGGAAAAAAAAAAAAGGAATAAGAGACAGATAATCGTGATGATCATGATTTATATCGGAATACGATGAATTGAGATGAATGAGGGGCATAGTGATTGTTCAACTTTTTTTTTTTTCGGATGTCACCATTTTGTTTCTTTTTTTTTTCAAGTTGGAAGGCGAAGGAGACGAAGGAGGTTGTTTTTTGAGTTAGGGAGGGAAGGAAGGATAATCTACCCATGGACGGTACATATATATACATAAAGGATGATATCGGCATGCTGCCGTGTCAATAAGTGAGCGTCGACCCTTTTTTTTTTTTTATTGATTGAACATTGAGTTTCATGCACGCTCTGTTTGAGTCGAAAATATTTTATAGGGAGGAAAGAACATTTACTTAGTTTTTATACACTCAGTAGAATAAACCTTGATGAATGACTATTCCTTTTTTCTATTTTATTATAGTTATTATTAATATTATTATTCTCGATCACGTTCCAAGAGATAACCGACCATTAAAGTTTTTTTTTTTTTTTCATAATGATAATATAAGGAGAACTGATTAAGTGGATTCTATGGATTTATCGTCATCCCCATCTGTAGTCAATTATCATCCTTATTGCAACCAAAATATTAACAATCAATCATCTTTTATCCATCATAGCAAGCAATCATCATCATCTATTTACTTTTATTTAATATAATGGTTATTATTTATTTCAAAAAAAAAAAAAAAAAGTATAAATATGCGGTATTTCAATACCTTTTTTTTTTTTTTCATTCAAACAAAAACGTATCTTTCTTTTTCTTTTTTCTTTTTTCTTTTTGACAATTAAACCATTTTATACCCCACTTATTCAATCAACAAAGCGAACGTTTTATCATTTAAGAAAAATAAGATGAATGAAGAGATGAACTCACGGCAACGAACAACTCATACAACGAAACTGGAAACACTACGAGAAAAGAAGGCTGAATTGGAAGAATTAACGCGGATCAAGGATCTAAGTACACAACTTGTATCCCACTTTGAAAGTTTGGCGAAGAATGTACAAGAACTATCCAATGGTGCTCGAGGTAATAGAAACATAAAGGACGAAATGTTTTAAAAATAAAGATTGATTTATTTATTTTTTTTTATTCTTATAAGGTGTTGCTACCGTGTTAAGTAATTGGGATCCAGTGTTTAGGACGATGGGATTGATGAATACTGAAACTAGACCAAATCCCAAGAATCCTACAATAGTGAACTTACCCATAGCTTCTGATCGTTCTCAATAGATATCGAATTATTGTGTGTATATATATCTTTTCTTTTTTTTTTTTTTCTTCATAGCCGGGATTTGAAATCCTGCTACGAGCGAATAAAAATTTTATTTTATTTTTTTTTTGTTTTTGAGTACTTTTTTTTTCTTTGGACTCTCTTTTTTTCCTTCTCTCCATTTCTTTTTTTGTTGAAAAGATCACTTCATATTTATCCAAATTTTATATTTGCTTTTATATATTTTAGTTTTTTTATGAGTGAAAAAAGCTCTTCTCCTATCGCACCACGCTCTCCTATTGAAGTGAACGATGACAAGAATAATGACGCAAGTGAAACTAGAGAATCTGTTGTAGACACCACCAATCAACAAGAAACGTCTCAAGCACCTGGACATGACTATGATGATAATAATAGATATGACGATCGACGACGTTCTTATTCACCACGGTCACGGTCTCACTCTTACTCTCGTCATCGATCCTATAGTCGTTCTCGTTCGCGATCTTATAGTCGGTCACGTTCTCCTCCTTCCTATTACGAACGGTCTCGTCATCACCATCATCGCTCTTCTCATCGTTTACCTCCTCCTTATCCACCACTTTCTCATCACCGTCATCACCGTCACCATCCTTATCATGATACGTACTATGGTCGCTCAAGCGGTCGATACCCATTGTCAGACCATCACCATCATCGAAGCTACTCTTCAAGACGATCCAGATCTCCTCCCATTCATCGTTACCGATCTCGCTCTCCCTCTCGTTCTTCTGTTCGACCGCCTCCTTATCGTTCAAACCCTGACTGTCGCGTTTACGTTGGTAATCTTCCCTATGAAGCACGATGGACTGATTTGAAGGATTTTATGCGGAAAGGTAAATCTTTTTTTTTTTTTTTTTGGAATTCCATTGTTTAACTTTATTCTTCTTGTCATTATTATAGAAGCTGGACCTGTGGTTCATGCAGATATCATGAAGAGTGGATCAAATCGTTCCTTAGGATGTGGGTAATGATCAGGAAAACAAAAAGTGAAAAGATGAGACTACGACATAGTTAACGCAATATATATTTTTTTTTATTAGAACTGTTGAATTTGAATATCCTGAAGATGCTCAACGTGCGATTCGTATGCTGAATGATGTGGAATTCATGGGCCGTGTGATCTTCCTCCGAGAGGTAAATTAGCCAAAAAAAAAAAAAAAAATAGGGACTATTATATACATCTCGTGCTGATCATTTTTTCATATTGGAATTGAATAGGACCGACCTCACGATTCACGCAAGGATGGCTTTGCACCTGACGAATGCAGATTGTTTGTAGATAATGTATGATGAAAACAAGAAAAAAAAATATACCTCTTTATTAATAATGGTTATTGTTTTATTTTCAAATCATTAGCTTCCTCTAACAGCAAGTTGGCAAGATATGAAGGATCTTTTTAGGAAGACGGGACGAGTATTACACACTGATGTTACTACGGATCCAATCACTCGACGACCTAACGGAAGTGGATTGGTTATTTTTGATGATCCTCGAGATGCACGTTCAGCTATTGGTAACGATACTCAAAAAAAAAAAAAGATCGTAGGATTAATGATATTATTTGATAGAATTATTCAACGGTTATGAATGGCAAGGACATCGATTAAGAGTGATGGAAGAACGGGAAGCAGCAAATCATTTGGCACCTTTACCACCACAATCAACAGCACCAACATCAGGGTTATCTATAACGATGAGCAATTCAAGGGTACCACCTCCACCGCCACCTCCTGAGACTAACACCACTCCAATCCAATCTGGTACAACTACACCTTCTCAACAGCAGCCTGCGAATACTTCAGTAATAGTGGATATGGATACGAGAGATATGGAAAATACTAGACCAGTAGTAGAAAATACAGCAGATGGATATATAGGTAATATGAAAAAAGGATGAAGAATATTTTATACTAAATTTTCGTATATAATAGATTCTTATTATGGTGGATCAAGTTATTATGGAGAAGGATATTATGATGAACGATATAGCAATCAACAACCGCCACCACCACCACCGCCACCTCCAGCAGCATCGTCACTATCATCAATATCAACAGCAGTAGGAACTTCTGGTATGGTACCACCTCCACCTCCACCTTCTGCTCATTTCTTTCCAAGCCTTGTCAGCGGGCCCGGTGCCAGTTTGCCTTCTCATGGAGCGAATCAGATATTTGTGAACAAGTTACCTTATGCAACAACAAGTCAAGATTTGATTGATCTCTTCCGACATGTAGGACCTGTGGTACGATCAGAAATATTATGGTACAATGGACGACCCAAAGGATCAGGTTTGGTACGATTTGAAGATAGGATTACTTGTGAACGTGCAATTGGAAAATTCAATGGTTATCTCTATGGTGGAAGGAAATTGGATATTCGAATGGATAAGTACTCACCTAGTGCCTAAACTATTTTTTAGTTTGTTAGTTAGACCTTAGTTTGTTTTTTTTTAGTTTATACAAAAAGATACATGAATGTCTTTTTTCAATATCAAATAAAATAAAATAAAAAAAAATAAAAAATGGAAGTTTATTATTAATATACAATAGTAACGGCAATATATATATATATATAAAAGAGATCTCATCGGATTACAAAAAAAAACATGCTTATCACTTTATTATTCACTACTATAATAATTTATTTACTTATAAAATGGATATTCTATCAATAATAATAATATATACACCGAAGAAATCAAATAGAAGCAAATTCATTGATTGATGGGAATAGGTTGATGAATCTATTATAATATAGTTATATGGAAAAAGAAATTGTTAGTGATACTAAACATCATCATAAACAAAAAAGACCTTACCAAGTCAGCAATCGTCATCCAACTCTCTAGAGCATGAAGACGAGGATCATGAGGTGATGGTGCAATATCCTTTTTCCATAATATGAACTTGTCTACTTTGGTACCTGTTTTTGTCCAATGTAGCGATGATGGTTGGTGACTTTGTTCATCTTGATAATCTTCATCGTATCCATTATTGTCTTCGTCATTATCGTTTTTGTCTAGTTTCCATACATACCCTATTAATAAAACCTACTAGATCAATCATAGATTCTCCATATATTTGACCAAAGAATAATTTTTTTTTACCTTCACATGTCTTGGGAGGCGTGATTTCCAATCCTTCTAATAATCTTCCCATAACAACAGTTGTATATCGAGGAAATGCATCAGTGATTGGATCCAAAGTTAATTGTGTACTTGGTACCACTGAAAGGTATTGTTGAGCATCCACTGGTCCTTCTTTATTGACTGTAAACGGAAAAAGATGGTTTTGTGGGCCATTATTGATTGACATTTTGAAAAAGAAAAAAGTGAGCAAAAAAAAAAAAAAAAAAAAAAATACGGGAGTTCGAAAAAAAAAAAACAAGTGCGGAAACCAAAATCGCGTTCGAAGAAGAGAAATTTTCTTTCTTTTTTTTACCAGCAATTGCAGAAAACGGTGTTGAATAGAAACAGTCAAATATAAAAATACAGTATAATGCTTTTCATAAAACAATAGAAACGTTGAATTCGTTTCTATTGGATAAAATCCAACATTCATTCTAATAAAAATGGTGATATGATTCTTGTTGGATATCATTTGTGTTGTTGTACATAAGTGAAGATGCGCATGATATTAAAATTGTGCGAATGAAAGGAAAAGAAGAAAGTGCATAAATTATCATTTTCAAAATCCGATTTTTTTTTTTTTTCACATTTCACTTTTTTTTTTTTTTGAACATTGTATGTCTTTTTCTTCTTTTTGGTTTTTACTCACTTATTCACTTATCGTTTTACTAGTTGATGACATTATGGCTTGGAGTTGTACAGGTAAGATATATATTATATATACTTAATTCATTTGATTAAGCTTCTTCAATAGGAGTGTCGAATAGAGAATTGGTTGATAACTTGAGAAGAGCAAGTATCATTACTTCTTCACGAGTTTATGAAGCCATGTCTGCTATTGATAGGTAAATAAAATAAAATTGTTTGTTTTATGATCTATTGATTTTTTTTTTATATAAATATAACAGAAAGGATTACTGTCCTCGATATTCTTATGAAGATTCTCCACAATCTATTTCCTATGGTGCGACTATTTCTGCCCCGTAAGTTAATTCGTTTTTTTTATTGTAGATACAAATGAATTATTTCTTCTACTTACCTTAATAATTTTTTACTTGATAGTCATATGCATGGTTATGCTTTGGAACATTTGGAAAATTATCTTAGGCCAAACATGACAGGTAAAAAAAAAAAAAAAAAAAAAAAATTGAATTGAATGTTTTAGAAAGGATGAACTAAGAGGAAATACTTTATAATTCCTTCATTTTTTTTTTATTTTAAATAGCTTTGGATATAGGATCAGGTTCTGGTTATTTGACGGCATGTATGGCTGAAATGGTAAATATAAATATATGTATATAAAGTAGATTCGATTCATTTGTTCTTTTTATTTTATAGGTAGGAAGTGGTGGAAAAGTAGTTGGTGTGGATCATATTCCCGAATTAGTCGACTTATCCATCGACAATATGAAGAAACAACACAGTGATTGGCTTGAATCAGGTCGAGTCAAGTTTATAGTAGGTGATGGAAGGTTAGGTTGTCCCGAAGAAGGTCCTTATGACTGCATGTGAGTTACAAAAATGATAAACGTAAAAATAGACGATTCTGATTTTTTTTTTTTAGCCATGTAGGTGCTGCGGCCGGAAAGAAACCTACCGCTTTGATTGAACAATTGAAAGCGCCTGGAAGGTAAATCAAAAAAGAAAATAATACATTTGATTTGAACATTTATCTTCCTTTTTTTTTCTATTTATAGGTTATTTACTCCAGTTGGCACATACAGTCAATATATTATGGTGTACGACAAAAAGGAAGATGGCACAGTGGAAGAAAAGAGGGTCATGGGTGTCATGTATGTGCCACTTACCGATGCTGACAAACAACTAGGTCGTGATTATTAGTTAGTTAGTTAGTTAGTTAGTTAGTTAGTTTTTATTCTTTTCGTCGATTTTTTTTTTATATTCACATGAACAATAATAAATGATTTCAAGTTTACATACAAATGTGATGCTACAAAATTCTATTTTCTTTTTCTTTGAATGATTTTTTTGTCAATATCATCTTTTATTTACATCAAATATATACAAATTGGAAAAAAAAAATATACTACAATTCTATCTATATGTTTTGTATCCAAGTAATGAGGATCTATAAAGACCAATCGCATCTTGCCACTGAATCTACCAGCCATTGAGAATCCTTGACATGGGTGTATTCTTGTAACCACTTATCTGTTCTTTTTGTTGAAACACGCAATGCCTCCAAGGAAGGAACAATGATCACCAGTCGATCTTGATTTCGTTGATGCAAGGTAGGTCGTCGTAAAAGCACTTTCCCACCACCCGTTCTGATAAGTTGAAGTAGATTTAGTTTTGTTTCATGATTCGAAAATTCACCATATAAAAAGAATCGCCATCCAAAAAGTAGAGCATCTGTTTGTTGTTGTCGTCCTCGTTCAGGTCCATGTGTCTTACCCGACGATTTATCCCCTATCACTTGATACTTTTCTTCTGGTAACCAATATCCAGCATGTACACTATCCGTTAGCCCTATAATGTATAAAAAAAATAGTAAGACTCATTTTCCTATTCATATTGATCAATCACTTTTTTTTTTTTTTGTTGTTCACTTGCATGAAGGATTGACAATCCACTTCCCAGTAAGGATACCAAGTAAATATTTGTTTGTTCTTGTACACAGACCATGTTCATTCACACTTGTAATCAAATGTGTTACATTGTCCAAATCACGTATCTCCGAGTATACTTCTAGTTTCAAACTGGTTTCGATTGCCCATGCCATTGAAATTTCCAAGCAAGCCTACATAAAAAAAAAAAAAAAAAAAAAAAAAAAAAAAAAAAAAGATATAGGATTGGAATAATAAATTTTATCTCTTTTGACACCTACAGTATCCTCAGCTGTCAGTGCTGTTGTCATCAAATGAATAATGCCACCTTGATCACGCCTTCTTTGCAACATTTGTTGTTGTGTCAATACATCCATGCCAATAGTAGAAGGCACGCAAATATCACTTGATGTCGATAAATTCATTGTTGGTAATAATGTACCAGTCGTATCATCTGCTGTTGGCTCTTGTTCCTTCAAAGAATCTGCTGTCCTTTCCTTTCTACATATGCCACATGTAGTTTGGTCCATACTGTTTCCACCATATAGGCAACTAGGGCATTTCCATCGTGAAGACGTCACCCCTTTTTCAGGCATATGTGCTGGTATTGTTAAAGTTGAAGTGTCTTGGTATGTTCTTCGTTGCTTGCTTGATGATTCCTAATCCAAAGAGTAAAAAAACAGCAAACAATCAATGTTTGGCACTGGTTTTCTCTTTAAACAAATACGATACATGTAAATTCCATGTTTACCTGTTGGCTATCCTTATCATTATCCAAGAATCGTCGTCGATTGGGAGTTGTACATACTTCTGTCATCTGTTGGTGAGTTGATACAATGCTAGGCACCGTCTTGGAGTCAATATCGCTGTCGCTACTATCATCGTCCATTATCACCTCTTCTGATTCCATCGCTGCTAACAAGATATCCGTATTTGCATATATATGATCCGATTGTGTCATTAAAGAAGCTGTAGTTTGAATCGGTTGATGATCGGATATCTCGATATCAATATCTTGCGGTATTTCATCTTGATTTGGTTCTTCATCCTCCATGGCCAAGAGCAAATCGTTTGTATTGCATCCTTTATTCACTATCGTCATTATTGGTGGAATATCTGTAGTAGGTTGTTGTACTGATTGTTGTGGAGAAGGGCGAGTGAGTGACGATGAACTGTTTGCACTATTATCATAAGTATGTGATACTGTTGATGGTGGTTGCATAGAGGTAGATGGTGTTGTTGATGTTGGATTCAAGGAGGACGAGAAACCCACTTCAAATATATCATCTACTGATTCCTCTTTAACCTAATAAAATATTAGAAAAGAAACACGCGTTAATTTTTTTTCAGATCAGAAATTTGCGCTGTATATATTCACCTTGGTTTCTAAAGACTCAATGGTATTAGTATCAGTATCAAAGTTGGACATTGTCAGGGACACAGATTCAGCATTGACCATACATAGCTTAAGTTTCTGAACACATGCCACTAAAGTATCATGCATTGGATCTTTGCGTAAATTCTTTACAATGGCTGGAATATGGCACCCAGGGCACTGGCGATCTCGACCTAATCGATCATATATACAATCCCTATATAAATCATCACAACCAATAAAAAAAAATAGTAATGGTTACTTGCATTCTTCCCATTTATTTTCAATGCCTTTTTCACTATTGTGATTTATACTTACTGACAGTAACGATGCCCGCATTCTTTCAGAGTGTTTGTGCGTCGCAGCAAATTTCCACTATTCAATTCAACCAGTGAAGGAATAAAACAGTAATAAATAGAGTTGTTCTTGTATTATATTCATCACCTTTTTTTTTTTTTTGTATCTATTACCATAGATCACATTTCAATAAATCTTCCAATCGTAACAAAGATCCCAACATGATCCTGGAGGATCTGGAAAAGAATAAAAAAAAAAAAAAAAAAAGGAAAAGAAAAGACGGAAGAAAGGAGAACACCAAAAAGAACATCACCATGACCGGAGTTTACACCCACTAACAATTTTTTTTCCCTTACAGAATCATACATGCTTTGAAGATGATGATTGAAATAGGCATACTTTAAAGTTCTTTATTCCCATAGCATCGACTACTTTGTTCAAAAGCAAGGTAATCACCATTATTATGATTTTCATCGGATTTGATCTTCAGTGCAATCATTTATTGGAAATTCATCAAATGGACGTACCTTTTCCATGTTTGTTCATTTTTCTTTGTACGAATCCTGTCATTTTTTTTTCCTTTCAATGCAATCTATTGAGCAATCAAAATAATAATACTAGAGAAAATAACAAATATAGCCTAAAATTAGATAATCCATGATAGCAATGAGACTTTTTGTAAGTATAATATCAGTTTTATCTAACGCGTTAAAAGTGCTTGATTTCTTTTTTTTTTTTAGATCATCGTCCAATATTGAAAAAAAAAAAATGGTGATCATATCATCTTCTACATGAACTATTAAAAGGGATTTCCATACCAAACAAACGCTCACACAAATTTTTGATGTCGAATAGAGTCAGCGGAGGGACAGAATGTTTATTAAAAAGAACTAAAAGGGGAGAGGTATAAACTAGGAATGGATAACTAAACTAAATATCATATATTATTAACTATGTGTAGTGCTAATCATCATTGACCAACTGGTCATAGCCATCTGTAAGGAAAGAACAAAAAAAAAGAAAAAAGAATACCAGCACGTTAGTAAACCAAGTTGTCATTCTTTTTCTCTTTTTTTTTTTTTTGCATTTTCCACCTACATGCACAAATGCCTTCCATATAACAAGCCAGAACGATACCAGCAGCCACTTGTGATACAGGATGAGTAAATCTGAAAGAAAGAAAAGTTAATCATCATGAGAAGCTACTCGACCCAGGAAAGAATATCAAATTTACCTTGTAAAGAAGGCCAAGACATAAAAGATTTGCCAATGATGTAGATGAAGAGAGATACGAGAGGTATAAGGATTTGGTACTGGTTGATTTGCTTCTAAATCATCAGATGAGTAGTTTTCAGGATTTGTGTCGCCATGCGTGGGAGGAGTGGGTGAGGAGGTAGTTCCTTCATCATCTTGAGTTTTTTCATCAGTTTGTTGTTGTTGTTGTTGAGGTTGTTTTTCGGTTTTCTTAGAATGGCGACGACGACGAGAGACAATCCATCCATGATAAGTACTTCGTACCCAATTATTATTTACTTCCTTTATCAAAAGAATGGCCAGAATAAGGAAAAACGACGGGATCAAAAGTGCACATACATAGTACACGACAAAAGGAAGGGTCAATGTGGCAGCCAAATAAATATGAAATGCAGCAAAGGCCAAGATGATCCTTAAAAAAATAAAAATAATTAAAAAAAAAATTAGTTTAAGATGCCACATGACAGATCATGCTATATCCATTCAAAATATATAAAAAAAAAAATTGTAATACTTACGCTAAAGCTGTCAAAAAGACTACCCACATCCCCATAGGCCAGTTTCGGATATTAGGAAGAGAAGTCTTGGTGAAAGGTAGTTCTGCGATCCAACCATAACCAAACAAAGAAGGATAAAACGCCACGACGGTGATCCAAGAGAATGAATGAGAATAATTACCAAATACAAAAAGAATGACACCATAACTACAACCTAACATACAGTCACTCCAATGTCTTGCTCCAGTTTTAGTGTTCAGTTCCCAGTTGTAACGATGAGCCACATAACGATAGAGTGGATAAGGTACAAAAAAGAAGGCCAACATGAAGTATAGGTAGACAAGAGGATTGTAAGAGAATAAGGCTGTCTCTGAAACATAAGGAGGATCTGAAAACCCTAATACTGTACCAGAAGCATCAGAATTCATTGTCAAGTATGATGAAGTATTGTGACTTTGTCAAAAAAAAAAAAAAAAAAAAGAAAAGACAAAGAAGAAAAAGAAGAAAAAGAAGAAAAGGAGATCAAAAAAATTATAGAAAGTTTTTTTCTTTTTTTTTTTATATTATTTGAGACTCAAGCATTCAACCCCTCCCCCCCCTTTTTCAAATGTGCAGCATTATTTATTGACAAGTAACAAAAACGTTAGTTTTATAAACTATACATAATATTTATTTGTTGTCATTGTGATAAATTCTTCTTTTTTTTTTTTCTATTACTTCTAATATATATCTAATATCAATTCATACAATATTAGACAACATAAGTTCGGGATCGAGCGGCATATTTGAAGCCCGGTGACAGCTCATCTGCAATGTAACGATGTAGAAATACAATATCGTTGCACAACACGAAAAAAAAAAAGATCATCCTAATGAATCACCTGCATTCTAACGTATGATGATACAATTATAATAAGGAATACCTTTTTCTTTTTCATCAAATCAACGCGTCACATCACTAGATTTAATCCATAGAACAACCCTCTGCATGACATGCCTTTTATTCATATAAAACTATATATTAACTAAACTACAAAACAGAGGCAGTCAACATTTCCTTTTGAAGTTTCAGAGACATCTATAAAAAAAAAAGAAATGAAAGTATGAGAATGTTAGTCTATCTATATCATATTCTCTATTATCCCTCACACAATATTATTATGAGTTATTATTTTTACCTCTTTTCCTATCAATTTTTCTACCAAGGTCAATGCAAATAGGAAGGCTGTTCCAGGTCCACGACTTGTTACCAAATTTTCATCCACTACAACACGATCTTCTGAATATTTGTAATCTACCAAAATATAATTATCAGAATAAAAATCATCCCCCCTAACAAATAACTTCCCCCCCCCTCCATTTTCCCACACCACATCTTACATTCTGAAAGTTCCGTCTTGAAGGCTGGATAAGAAGTTGCTTCACGTCCTTTACCTATATGAGCCTCCTTTGCCGCCAAAGTACCTTGAAAAGTAATAAAAGAAGTAAGAATGATTTTGATATTGTATTTTTTTTTTTTTACTTACCTGCACAAATAAAAGCAACCACCTTGTTATGTTCATACAAAGTGGATAAAATATGTTTGACTTTTTTGTCGTCACGAAGAGTTTCTGCTCCTTTCAAACCCCCAGGGATCACTGCTGCATCATAGGTTTCCTATCCAGTCGTATATGATTAAAATGACAAGATGAAAATGAGTTTTTGTCTATGATTTATCCACTCTATTTTTTTTTTTTTATTTTTTTACCCAATCTTGAAGCTCTTCCAATGAAGTATCTGGTACAATTTTAACACCTCGACTGCAAGTAGCATACATTTCTGTGAGCTGGACACCAACTACATTGACTTTCACGTTGGCGCGTCGAAGTACATCCACTATCATAAATAACAGAAAGAGAGTCAATGAATATGATAAAAAAAAATATGACAAAAAATGGAAGTTTTATTGTTACCAGTAATAGTAAATTCAGATTCTTCAGTTCCGTTAGCAACAAATACGATAGCTGATACCATATTGATACAACAATTGTGTGAAAGAAAGAAAAAATTAAATAAATAAAAAGTGTAAAAAGTTTTATGCTATACGGAGATAGAAATATGTATCAAGAATAAATTTTTTTTTACATATCCTGAGGAAAATATAAAAAAAGGACGTATATAATTTTTGTATTTTATTTTATATATGTATATAAGAATAAGGGGAGGCAAGGGGGGAAAAGAAGAAATAGAATATGATAATATGACCAGGAAAATGGAAAAAAGAAAAAGTGGTGAATGGATGAACTATAAAAAAAAAAATAGACTACAATAAGAGGTCTTTACTATATGTTAACTAAACTAATAACTAGAAGGATAATAATATAAAACCGAAGGGAAAAAGGGAAAATAATGTATATGATGAAGAATAAAAAAAAAAAAAAGTTCTACAAGAAACGACCCAATTCACTGGATGCAATATTCAATTCCGGTGATTGAGTATGGAGAGCACGCAAGAGTTCAATTAATTGACCACGAGTACCTTCTGTCAATTGTTCATCATTGGACAAGACAACAGTAAAGACTTGTAAGAATTGAGGAATATGAGCAAATACCTAAAGAAAATAGATAAAAAAAAGAATAGAAAAATGAATCCATCCAGTCTTTTGTACTTTTCATTCTCTCTCTCTTTTTTTTACAAAAAGATATATATACTTACAAAGGCATTATTGGATCGGAAAAGTTGGAAAAGACAGTTGAAGACAGGTTCATTTTCAGCGAAATCAGCTTTCAAAGGAAGAGCGCTTGTGAATACAGGTAATACTTGATCCAAAGGCATAGCATCAGGATGAGCCAAAATAAGTCTTGCAACAGCACCAGTAGCATTATCAGTAGTATTAACAAGAGATTGTCCTTGGAAAAGAGGATGAAGTGCTGACAAGATAGTAGGGTATTGTCTAATAAAAGAATATATAAATTAGATTTCTTATTCAACCCCATGAATGAAATTCAACTTACGAGCTAAGGTCGACTTGGGAATGGGTAACAAGTACCCCTAAAGCAAATGCGGCATTGCTCTTAACAGTTTGATCTTCATCATCACAAGCCTTTGTAAATAACTGCAATAGACGTTCGGCATGAGGAGTAACAGCAGACTTAACACCAGTGATACATTCACCTAAACAACCAATTGCCATAGACCGTTCTGAGGAAGATTTGGTCTTTTTCTATATATATATATATATAAGTAACAATATATATATTTTTTTTATTCATCTATTTTGATTCACTTACATAGTACTTGGAGATCAAAGGCAAAAAGACATCAAAGTAAGAGGAGTATCCTTCACCAATCACTTCACAAAGAACAGCAACCAAATCAGCAGCAGCACCAATCAATAATGATTCAGATTCAGCTTCTTCATCTTCATCAACAAAGTCTTCTTCATCAAATGCTTGTTGACATACAGATTTCTTTTCAAAGATATCTAATACGTGACGAGAGATTTCTTCAACGTCTATAACCCGCCAAAAAAAAAAAATTAATAACATATCCAAAAAAAAAAAAAAAAAATCGAAAAAACTTACGATCAGCGATGATAGAGGGACCCATTAACTTGAGAGCATGAATCAATTCTTGACAATATTGAACAACAACCATACGATCATCTTCATCCTTCCACATGAGCAAAATAGTAGGAATCACCAAAGAAGTCATGTTGGCGACATTTTCATCCACAGGATATTTAACTGGTAATCCAGCAACCCAATCGCCATGCTCTGAGAGATTGTAAAAAGTCTTCAAGAAGCTGAATAAACTACCAGTAACAGCCTTGCGCACGCCATCAAATAAGTGATAAGAAAGTTCAGTCAATTCTTGTACAGAACTTTCCACATAGGGTAAAAAGTGAGATCCAGTGTTTTCGAATAATTCACCAAGAGCATCCGCTGCGAATTCCTTTTCATCAGCAATAGCAGAGTTAAAATTGAATGCACTAAAATCATCTTCTTCATCTTCTCCATCTCCCAAGGTCAAATCAATTTCAGTTTCCAATCCAGGTTCATTCTTTTCTTCAGCCTTGCAAGAAGCGAGAATAGGGGGCATCACAGTGGGCAAATAAGGAGCAAATTCTTCACCAAACACACGAGCCAAGATAGAGAAGAAAGCATAAGAGCATTCTCGAAGACGAGGTGAATCAAGTTGGAGTTGTTCAATTGCTAGAGTCATGAGATCTTGAGTGAATGGACGGAACATGTCTGCACCAACAGCTTCAGCAATAGCACCAGCGGAATCAGTAGCTACACCACGCAATAAGGTTTCATCCGAGTTTTCCTTGAGAGACATCAAATGACGAATACGAGGTAATACTTCACCAAAGTAGGGTTGGAAGGATTCACCAGCAGCATGAGCAGCACTTCCAATAGCAGCCATCACAGTAGCTTTAGTTTCAGTTTGACTGGCATTATCCAAAAGGAATAAGAGCTTTTCCATAAGTTGAGGTAAATATTGTAAGACATCAGAACCAAGACCTTCCAAGATAGCATCCAAAGCATTACAGGCATGTTTTGTCACTTCAGGATTAGTATCACTCATAAGGTTAAAGACAAGAGGTAACAAGACTTGATGGTGTTCAGAGATCTCGGAAGCAAGATCTTCGGCCAAGCATCCCAAAGCCATACAAGCAGCACGACGAACAATGATTTCAGGATCTTGAAGTCCAGAGCATACCATAGGCAAGAGTTCATTGAGTTTGGTACTCATATATTCCGCACAACCTTCAATAATAACAGCAAAGGCCATCATGGAAGCTTTTCGGTAATTAGGATCAGGATTTTGAATATAAGATACAACCAATGGCATAACAATAGGAAATACTTGTTGTGGAGGCATATTGGAAGCAAGAGCATTGAGAACTTTGTAAGCCAACTACAAAAAAAAAAAAAAAAAAAGGTGAGATCACTCACTTAGATCAATTCATTCAAATCTAAACTTACACGAGAAGGCGAATCTTCATCAACATCTTCAGGATCAGCTTCAGTTCCAATAGGCATCAAATGTTCAACCATATAACCAACAAGTTTAAGACTACGAATCTTGTTTTGTTTGCTATAATAAAAAAAAATATATAAAGTCAATATATGATGATCGTAAGGGATCACAAAATTTACTTACTAAACGGCTGCCCACATCAAAAAGGACAAGGCCATAACGCGAAGAGCATCATCCAATTCACGATTACCACCAATAGTCAAGAAGAAACGAATCAAATCTGCCAAATGGTTTGATAAAAGAGGAGCATCCTATTTACAAATATATATAAAGTTCATAATAAATATTACTTAATCACACTGATTCCAACTTCATTTCCTTTCCAAATATTACCAACATTAACAAAGTATCGAATACTTCAAAGATCTTGCTTGCATTTTCTTCATCGCCGTCCTTAAGACATTGTTCCAATACATTGACAGTAGCAGGAATCATATCACAAAACAATTTCTATGTAAAATAGAGTTCCTATGAATAAAAATCCCCACTTTTTTTTTTCTATCATCAGTTTTCATATTCTTCTACTTACAATATTTTGTTTATCTTCCACATCAATAAATTCAGCGAGTTTGCCTAAAGTCCTAGTTGAATGATATCAATAAGAGTTCATGAAAAATACCCTTTTTTTTTGTCTGATTTGATTTTTGTGACTTACAAGACTGTGGTGACACGAACATTCTTACTTTCAGGATCGACAATTGTTTTGGAGAATAATTCAAAGAGAGGTGTAGTATGATTCATAAAGAAATCGGCAATGACTTCAAAGAGAGTATACAAACAATAGGTTCCAACTTCACGATGAATTGCATTGTTGCTTGCACAGGCTTGATTTAAAAATGCTAATAAATCAGGCCATTTGTTTTCAGGCATATCCACACGAGCAATAGAGGAGATTACACGAGCAACAGAGTGACGCACCAATTCTCTATATAAAATACATTCAATATCATTTTTTTCTTTTTTTTCCATTTCCTTCATTATTACTTACTGTTGTTCATTAAGCACAATTTGTAAGAGTTGGTTACGAATAGATCCTTTCGTTTCTTCGGGTACATCCAACCACCATTTTGAAATACGTTTTCGAAGTTCGACCGCAGCTAATTGTCGTACTTGGAAATGAGGTGAACGACTAATAATTTCAACTAAACCAGGAACACAATCAGCGGACGAGTATACTTGAGAGTTCAAAGTCGAAGTGGCCTAATTAAAGAAAAAAAAAACACGTAGGAAAAGTTATTAAGTATATGTAATACGAGATCAAATAAATTTATAAAACATTATCACTACTACTTACGTTCCGGATAGTATCAGAGTCCTGTGCAGTTGCCAACTTGGTTAACAATTCATCTAAATTTGCAACAAAGGCCTAGAAGGAATAACATGATTCAGACAAAAATAAAAAAATCAATATTTTCATATATAGATATAATAACTTATTTCATTTACCTCCATGTTGACTATGTACTATAGTTTCCTAGAACGAAGTAGGAAAGGAAAAGAGTAATAAAGAGGGAAGAAGAAGAAGAGAAAAGAAAAGAAAAAGTGAAAAACAAGCAACACCAAAAAAAAAAAAAAAAAAAAAAATTTTTTTGACCTGTTGTACCACAGTGGCGGGCGAGAAAAGACAAGAGACTGACTTTGAAGACCCATGGAAGACTAAAATACTATAGATACTTTCTTTGTTTTTGTAAAAGTAGGTAATATATAAAATATATACTTATTATATAATTTAATAATAAATCATGTTTTCTTTCAATTAGATAATCAAACAAAAAAAAAAAAAAAAAGAACCATTGATTCCAAATATAGTAAGGCTTTAAAAAAAAAAAAGAAAAAGAAAAAAAAAATGACACGCTGTCTTTCATTTCATACAACTTTATTGTTATTCGACTTCTGTTGTAGCACATGAGATTGTGAATGCAAACAAATAAAAATTAAGTTGAATGAATAATGTTCTACTGTTCATCCTATTTGTTTCAATATATCTATTCGTATGATGTATTTTTTTTAATATAAACTAATCTAAATAATGTGAAGCTATATTATTCATCATCATCAATGCTATTATCATTAGATCATCCATCATCTATTTACTTAACTATCATCATCATTGATCATTGATAAAAAAAAAAAAGTATTCCTTCACATTAAAGATAAACAGATAAGACTTCAAATATATATATATATATAGTTTATTGTATCAAGATGAAGTAATAATGCTATGTAAATGGCATAAAATAAAATAAGTTGTAAATAGGTATGTTAAGCTAGATAATAAATGGTATAAAGTCTAAAGAAAAGAAAAAAAAAAAGACTAGATCAAACTAATGTAAGCGTAAAAGGTTCTAAACGGATCTTGACAGAGCGAAGCTTTGGTGATATTGGTTCCCATTCATCAAACATGAGTCGTAATTGATCCAGTTCATCTGACCATAAAGGATTATTCAAAATCAGAGAATCTTCACATATCCCACGCATAGCCCATGGTAAATAATAAGGGTTCTTGATAGATTTGGCTTGGAATGGATATAACTTGGCTTCCTTCTTGGATTCTTCTGTGGTACTACTACTATTGGTGGTGATACTATTCTTCCTATTATCATGTCTGGATGAACTTTGGGTATTGTTGATCAATATTGCTTTTCCTAAAGGATCAGTTTCAAATAAATGTTGTACAGCCAAAGAATATACATCCAATTCTTCATAAATAGTTGAATGACCACCTTCTAAAGCATATAAACTTCCAGCTAAAACTTCACTAAGATGAGTCAATAATCCATGATCAGATAATCCAGCATTTCGTAATCCCAAGGCAAATGTAATCAAACGAATAAGGAATTCATTTTCTTGTGTAAATATATGTCCATCAATATACACTGACCGTACAATATTTGGATGACTGATGGCTGATATAATCGCAGAATAGAGAGGAACCACTTGATCTTGCATAGACCCCACCAAAGTTAATTTAATACCCCTTTCCATGATATATCCCAAAGATCTACGGAACTTTTGAGAAATATCACTTTCAGAATCCATAAATTCAAATAGTTCCCGAGCTGCATCCGCTTCAAAATACTACAAGATTGATGTTAATAAAAAAAAAAATCCTTCTCTTCTTTTTTCGTCTTCTTCTTTTTCTTCCTTTTTTTTTTTTTCTTTTTTTTTTTTTTTTTTTTACCTTGACAATCAAGCTACCCTTCAAAACAGGGAAAGGACCATGAGAAATCCCTGCCATAGCAAGCATTCCAACAGATTGACGATGTGTATGAATATGACCTCTTTCCAATAAACGATGCATCAACATGACTGAAACGGGAGTTCCTTGAGAATGCGTAGCCCATAGTATCACGTCGGCAGATGATACAGCTTCCAACCATACAGAATGATTGATCAGATTATTATACAACTTGTTAACCCGATCTTCCACCTTGCCTTCACCTTCCAATGGTACAGATGTGATTGTAGTGGTTTCTTCTGAGAGAGAGACACCATGTTCTTGTTCAAAATACTTCTTCACAGCTGCTACCATTTGTTCGCAGAATTTTGTTGAAGTCCCAGTAGGTTCACCAATCATGCTTCGGACCAACTATATATTATCATATACAAGTGAGTTTAATATATATATGTTTTTTTTGTTCCTATAACATTACCTTCATAGGAAACCATCCATGGACACCTACAACCACTATTTTTTTTCCAGCAAATCCATCAGGATCAGATTTGATATCATCAATAAAACGGGCAAATCTTGCTTTCATTTGTTGTTTCCAAGAATCAGGATCAGTATGAATGACTCGATCAGCTGATTTGTTGTTACCACTATTGATAGAAGACGCTTGTTGAATAAATTGATTGATAGATTCTATAGCTTTGTCAAAAAATTTTCCAGATGGTTTGATATTATTGTTGATCGTAGCTGTCGATGATGAGGATGGCGGCACACGATATTGAGATCGAAATGGAGGCAAGACTTGATTTCTTCGTCCACCTTTCCTATTATTGATCATAGGTTGCACAGATGACGATGCTGGTGATGATATCACAGAAGGAGATGAGCTTTCAATATAGGAAGATGAAGGCACAGGAATAGGCGATGATGACATTTCCGAAAGTAAGGGCGGACCAGGCGAAATATTATTATTATTGTTGTTGTTGTTGTTGTGAAGCTGGTTGTGTGGATTGTTCTTCTTGGTGACATTATTACTAATAGGAGAGGATGATGCTGATGGTAATGATTCCTTGTTTTGATTGGTCGACAATGCAATTGGAGGAGGGGGAAATAGCCAAGTCCAAAACCTTTTTTGTTGTATTGATGGTGCCTCTTCTTCTACCACTTGTTGGGGCGCAGTTGATATTTGCATATTATGGTCTTGATCGTGTTGATCAAGTGATGGCTGTATTTGTTGTTGTGAATGTTGTGAATATTGCTGCGTTTGTCCGTCATGTTGATCGGAAAGATGCAGGTCAGGAGGTTGATCCATTGCGTCAGAGGTACAGGTTATTGAAAGTGGAGATATTGGAGGTGGCAATGGATGAATCATGTCGAGTAAATGTTTTTCTGCTAGTGATATTGAAATCATAGATACTTGTTCTGGTACAGGGCGATCCATTGATGTTGGTGAGTCGATTTGCTGAGGTTGTTGAGAATTGGAATATGATGATGATGATGGTGCTACCATTGGTGAATGTGGGGCCATAATATGAGTTTCAAATACAATATCTCCGTTAGCCGAAACATTGGTTGAAAATGGAGTTGCTGATCGTTTTGGAGAAGGATGCATTACTACATGAGAAGGTACAGTAGAAATACAAGTGGTTGAAGAAGCCTGACTAGTAGTAGAGTTGGATTGTTGTTGAATAGGTTGATGTTTTGGTGGTGATGAGGAAGTTGAAACTGACTTTATGCTTCGTATGCTGGTATTGGAGGAATGTTGTTGCATTGTTGTGGTAGTGTCGATATGACTCAATTGTTGAAGTTGTTGTTTCTTTGCTAATTCAGCAGATAAGGCTACAGAAGCTGCGGAAGAAACGGTAGTGGAAGAATTGTCTTGAGTTTCATTTGATTGATAATGTATTCCGGAAACATCATCACCAGAAACATGAACAGCAGTTTTCTTGACAATGGCAATAGATTTTGGGGTGATCATAGTTTTTTCAGAGAGAGAAAAAGAATGAGTGGACAATACATTATTGTGTTGATGTGGGTGGGAATCTTGTTTTCGTTGGATTTTCGAAGAAGGTCGCCACGGCTGTAGCCAGCTAAACATCCAAAGATATATCGATTTAGTGAAACGTGGTCGGCAGGAGAGGAGGGGATTAAATATTAATGAAAAAGAAAGAGAAAGGAAAGAATCAAAAAAAAAAATCAATGAAAATAAAATGTTGATCGGTGTTCAGAACATTCAACCACGTGCCTGATTTTTGATATTTGAAAAAAACTCCAATGAGAACAAAGAAGAATGAGCACAAACCTCCTTTTCTTATTTCGAATAGAAGGCTGCCTTCCTTTTTTTTTTTTTTTTTTTATGCCAATAGAGAGTAATCTGCCACTGCATTTCCTAATAAACAGATACCAAATCCATCTACTGCCTTTTTAGGTCATGTTGCCTTTTTCAGCAAGTCTAATATTACAAATTTCCACGTTGATTGTACTTCTTGTCTACAGTGCTAATAAGTATAATCTTTTGTAAAATAATAAATCTATGTATATCTTAATATACTCTCATGATATACATTCATAATGTGAGAGCATTTCAATATAATACAGTAGTAAAGAATTTTATGGACTGATGGGTTGAACGTTAAATGTCAGGAAGCATACAACACATTAAATACTGTGTCATACTGTAATTAACGACAAATTCAAACCATTAATGTTGAATCTGTTATGTTATGATATAATGTCTTGATGATAAGTTATTATATTATAGGACTGTATAATATTCTGGATGAATGGACATCGGACGATGGATGATGGTAATGAAAGATATAAAGTGATTCCTAGGATGACACTCTATATTTTACTGGTGTTTATGAGTTGATGATAAAATGGCACTGGTTTTTTTTCTTCATTAATAAAGAAATCATCTCCCGTTGACTATACAAAGAATCGTTTCATCTTTACTATATATATGAATGATTGTCAAGACGAAGTGCGAATCATCGGACGTTGAAAATCTGATAACACGTATGTGCCTGTTCATTAACAAAAAAAAAAAAAAAATGGTGACTGGCGGTGGTGAAAGTAAAATAAAACAGCTTGCGCGTCCTTGTCTCTCTTCCTCTTTTTCTTTTTTTTTTTTTTTTTTCTTCTTTTTTGCATATCCTTTTCTTCTCCTCTCCTATTTTTCATTTCAAAACTATCAAATAATGGCCGATCGATATAGTTTCTCATTGACGACATTCTCACCATCAGGAAAACTTGTACAAATCGAATATGCTTTAAATGCAGTATCTCAAGGTGTTACTAGTGTTGGTATCAAAGGTACAACAGTATATATATATATTAAAAAAAAAAAAAGGACGAGAAATAGCTGGTGAACTAAATCATACACATATATCTTTTTTTTTGATATATTAAATATAGCTAATAATGGTATTGTGATTGCTACGGAAAAAAAGTCAGCCTCTAGTTTAGTAGATGATTCTACACTCGAAAAGGTGGTAATGATATCAGCTAATATTGGGATGATCTATTCAGGGATGGGACCTGATTTCCGCGTATTGGTGGCCAAGGCTCGTAAGGCAGCTCAAGAATATAAACGAGTTTATATGGAAGAACCTCCTACTCGTATCCTTGTTCAAGAAGTGGCAGGTGTGATGCAAGAATATACACAAAGCGGGTAAAGGAAAAAAAAAAAAGAATTGAATATTGATATTCTATAATGATGGATTGACTAAATCTCTTTATTTATTAATATGTATATATAGTGGTGTTCGTCCATTTGGTGTTTCTCTTTTGATTGCTGGTTATGATGAAGTGGATGGTCCTACATTATATCAAGTAGATCCTTCCGGTTCTTACTGGGCTTGGAAAGCTAGTGCTATTGGCAAAAACATGATCAATGCAAAAACTTTCTTGGAAAAAAGGTAAAAAGAAAAAATTAAATAGTAGATGGATGATGGATATTGAATAATAATATTATGACAGGTACAATGATGAAATGGAATTGGAAGATGCAGTCCATACAGCTATTTTGACAGTAAGTTCAAATATATATATATTTATATCTATATAAATGACTAACTTATATATAATAATATAGCTCAAGGAAGGATTCGAAGGACAAATGACAGAAAATAGTTTAGAAATTGGAATTATTGGAGATAGTACAATAGGTATTCATGGTGGTGAAAGAAAGTCAATGCCTTTATTCAGGAAATTGACTTTGAATGAAGTACGTGATTATTTAGCCAATATTGCTTGAAAAATCATTTTTTTTTTGAATAAAAGAAATATCCAATGTTATTATTATCATCACTACCTAGTTTTTTATTTTTTATTGTTTGTTATTATTATTGTCTCCTTTTGTCTTTTTTTTTTTATAAGATATTATTATTGTTATTAGTTGTATTTATATAGGGGATGTCACGTTGTATTTGACGGATTCAATAGCATTGAGGGTAGTTGTTGCATAATTATATGTAAACATTTGAATTTCATCCCCTATTTTTTTCCTCTTTATTTTTTTTTTTTATTTTTATTTTTATTTCAATTTTTTCTTGTCCCTCTTTTTCTTCTCTTTCTTTCTTTTTAATATACGCAAATTCACATATAACTATTCTTTCTTCTTGTCCTTGTAGTTGTTGGTTGTATTATGTGGTTACCACAGCGGTTTGTGGATTTAGTATCAAATACTATTCTCAATAATACTATTATGGATACTACTACATACTCTACTCATAAACCACTTCCACCAACTCCACCTACAACAACTACTACTACTACTACTACTAGTGATATTAGTCTCCCTTTTTATGACGCCCTTAGTCATAGTAGCAATATTGATCTTGATTCTTTATATACAACTCAGGTAATTCATAATAAAAATTTATATTTAAAAGTCTAACTTGTTTTTTTTTTTTTAATTTTTTTTCTTACTGAAGCAAGATATTGTGGTTGGTGTCATTGGTCAAGCAAAGATTGGGAAAACAAAGCTTATTGAACAAGGAGTGATTGAAACGCCATTACTTTCATGTTGGAGTACTACAAGAAGTAAGTCTTACCCTGTGACTCTCAAGTTGTTTTTTTTTTTTTTTTGTTGTTTTGTTTGTATCTTATCAATAGTTGGACTTCTTTATATAGATAATGGACAACATTCTATTACAATCAACTTTGATACCGAATCGAATAACTCTCATCATATCATATTCTTGGAAATGAATCACGATGCAAAAGTAAACAAAAGAAAAAAAAATATAATCCAACTCAAAACATATTATTTTTATTATTATTTATAATTTTAGGATGACGATATGGCAACTGAAGTTCATGCTGCATTAATATGTTACGATGTCACACAAACTTCTTCACTGAATGGTGTACCTGATCTTTTAAGTAAGTCTTTCGATTTTTTTTTGTTTTTATTTTTATTATTCTTATTATTCCTTCTTATTTTCACGTTTTCTCATTCTTTTTTTTTTTTCCTTTTCCTTTTCCTTTACTTCTTCTTTTTTTCTTTCTTTATTCAACGTTATTTACTTTGTTCTTCTACTTAGACTATTATCATTCAAAACAAATTCCTATTTTTCTAGTTGGTTTGGAACCCGACGATTGGTCATTATCTCGACAACAACAAGTGGATTTTACTATAGGCGAACATCTTTCTCAGCTCTTCTCTATCCCTTTTTACGAAATCAATATCAATAATACTCTGAATATTCAACAAATGTTTATCAACTTGATAAGACAATGTATTAAACCACTTTCTGAATCATCAATAAAGAAAGAATCTCCTCCATTTAATGATTCTCTCATGACAACTAATGATTTAGATCCTTTGCCTACTTTGAATCATCTTCCTTTGGTTGGATTCGTATATGCTCCGACAACAGCACATGACAACTCTTCTACTCATTGGTCTCCTCAAAATTCCTTACAAACTTCAAGTAAACCGTCATCCGATAATATTACCAATTTCCGTAGAGGTTCAAAGGATAGCAGGTAAATAGATGAAATAAAAAAAAGAAAAATGTCATACTCTTATTAATTCCTTTCTGTAGTGATTCCTTTAGTTCTGGTTTAACTGTGGACGCTATTATTGATCGTTTGATCACTCCTGATGTTGGACGTAATGGTATGATTATATATATATATATATATATATTATCATGTCATCTCTTCTCATGATTGTTATTTCCTTTTTTTTTTTCTTTTATAGATGAACAAATTATCCCTATCTTTATGATCTTTTTCCGGAAATTCATGAAGCCCTCCGAACTAGTTTATGCATTGATTGAAAGGTAATATATAATATATATTTCACTTTGTATAGTTACTAATGACATCCATATTGGTGGTTTATTTTAAGATTTGAAAATGATCTGTGCAGATTGTTATTGCCAACTCGTCAACAAGAAAGGTACTATTTCCTACCACTAACCATATACATATATATACATATATATATATATATATAGATGATACTTTTTAATTACTAATCATTTTCTATATTTATATAGGATTGCCCAGATATTTGCTATTTGGATGACAGACTACTGGTCTGATTTTATTCATTCTAAAACAAGGAATCAAATGTATCTTTTTCTTGATCGCATTTCAGCAATGGAATTATCCTCTTTACAACCTATTTTAGACATTCTACGACCGCTTTCTTTACAATCTCCACCTGATGATGATCTTGACAACTTTTGGGGAAAGACTGATGACGATGATGATGACGATGATGCAATAGATATCATTCATAACAAGAAAAAGGATAGTGGTTATATGTCCTTGCACTTTGGTAATCAATATCGGCCTCATTATGCAGAACTTTTGGACGAACTCTATTGGAAACAACTCAGCTCAACCATTGATGAAACAAGTCCTTCGGTTTATGCATCATGCTCTACCCCAACTTCCTCACAACGCTCCTCCATCTCTTCTTTGACAACAACTCCTCCTAAATCATCGATGTCCGCCTCCGTATCAAAATTATCAACAACACTTTCAACCCCTCAATTTGTTTCGGAAACAATATCTACCAAATCATCGCCACTCGCATCTCCCAACAAAACACATCATACCTCCTTGGCCCCTTCACTATCTACTTGCTCTGGATCTCCAACACATGCACTGACTATGGGTGACAACAAATCATCATACCAAAACAAGTCAATCCATCTGAATACTAAAGGGAAAGCTACGACTAAAATTTCATCTTCAGCTACAACAAAATTGACTCGACCTGAGTTTGCTGGTGGTCTCATTTCAATGGATTCATTCAGTAGATCATCATCAATAGCATCTACATCAAGGTCTCCTATCCGGCGGAACATGAAATCATATACTCCCCCTCCTCATTCAATGACTCCTGTTATACCCAACACTCCTATTCCTTCACTGGCAACGCTATATTCTCTCTCTGAAAGAAGTTTACCTACTCCAACAATCAAGTCTCCTTCTTATGTGGCCATCGGATCCCTTGGTAACAACAATAGTAAATTACACAAAACCTACAAATGGAAGAATGGTACAATGTGTTCTACAAATTATTCATCACAAATGGCCAACGATGTATCGGTGAAAGACTACACCAAAATGTTTTTCTCTTTATCGGATCAAGAAATTGCTGAACAACTGACATGGATTGAAGGGGAACTATTTGCAAACATCAAGGTAAACAATTCTTACATTATATACATCGCCTTTGAATTTCAATATTAACTTGTCCTCCCTCTTCTCTCTCTATCTCTCTCTTTTTTTTTTTTTTTTTAAAAGTCTAGGGAATTTGTACGTATGATATGGGCTAATAATGATATCAAACAGCATCAACATCGACGACAGTCTATGGCATCCTCAACATCAGATGAATCACAAAGTGACCCTTCCTATTTGGATAAAAACGAGAAACAAACAACAGCAACAAGAACGAAAAGCGATTTGTTGGCCTCCATATCTCACTTCAATTTTATCTCTGCTTGGGTGATCAGCATGATGGTGTCACAACCTAAATTTGGTAAACGTGTAGCCATCCTCGAAAAATTTATGTCCATTGCAGTGGTAAAAAAAAAAATTAAATATAGAAAGCAACATCAGAAATTAATTTATTTTACTGACAACTTTTTCCTTTTTTTTCGTTATGATGATGTAATTTGATAGGTACTACGAGATCTCAACAATTATAATACTCTGATGGCAATTCTTGCCGGTGTCAACAATGCTGCCATTCTACGAATGAAACACACTCAAGTCGCAATCAAGAAGAAAAAAGCATTCAAACGGTTCCAGAGTTTGGAAAAATTAATGAGCTCTGACAGGTAAAGTGATACTTAGTGGGGAGAACCTGTTTTTTTTTATGGAATACGTAATTGTCCTTTTTTTTTTTTCTCTTTTTTCTACAGATCCTATTGCTCTTATCGTATGGCGCTGAAAGCATCTACTGACGGTCCATGTATACCCTACTTGTAAGTTGTTAATATTATCAGAAGTTTGGATTCAAGTATATTTCGATACGACATGTCTTTTTTTTTTTTTTTTTTTTTTCTTTAGAGGTATCCACAGTCAAGATTTGATTGCCTTGACTGAAGCGAATAAAGATATGAAAACGGATGGTACTATACATTGGGAAAAATTTCGTCTGATGGGTGACTGTATTATGACAATCCTCAAATTACAACAACCAAGACATAACATCAAGCCCAATGAAATGATTCTGTCATGGATAGCTGATTGCAAGATAGCATCTGAAGAGGTAATACATATACAAATCCTTATACAGGAATATGATGGAACATATATTATGACCAATCTGACATGCTTTTCTTTTATTCTCTTTTATATTTACCATAGGACCAATACGTACAATCTATACAAATTGAACCCCGTTTGAAGACATCAAGTATGACACGTTTACGTGAACTCTGGTCTCGAAAATAATCTGTACCTTTTACCAAAAATAATTGATTCCCTAATCCCCCCTCTCCCTTAGTCCACTATTTTTTTTTTTAATCGTTTTTTTTTTATTTCTTTTTTCTCCTTATTGTATATTCAACTCCAAACCCTATTCCCTTATTCATATCTCTATTCTACGTGACATATCAAAACACATATCCTAGTATACAAAAAGCATATATTTTTATTTCATTCTTCTATGTACCAAAAAGAAAACTTTAGTCAATTAACAAACACACACATATATATAATAAAAAAAAAGACCATTTACTATTCTAAAGATATCTAAACCATCATTTTTCCTAATCTAATCTTCAGTGGCTTCTGATATAGGGTTATTCACTTGACGAATGTTGAGGTTAAGTCGTGAGGTCTCCATATATTTTCCAAATAGAGCCCAGTTTGGTGCATCAGGGAACTCACCATCGCTTGCAAGATACTCTGGCAAAGTGTTCTCCAATATCCGAGGCACACCTAGAACCAAAAAAAAAAAAAAAAAAAAAAAAAAGAAAACGAGTAGAAAAATAAGAATGAACAATGCCTACAATACGCTGTTATTATTTTTATTTCCGTTTCTTTTGATTACCATGAAAAGATCGTCGACAAGGGCTTGTCATAGCAACAATATCTCCACTTTGTAAATGTATTGCTACCGGTTTTGTTTCTCGATCAAGTCCACCTAATAAAAAGATGCATGCATTGCCGAGACTATGTATTAATAAAATAAAATAAAATAAAAATATCATTGTCAATATCAGTATCACATTTTTGGATTTATTTTCTCCATATTAAACATATATATATATCATTGTTTCTTACCTTATGGATATCAAAGGAGCTTCTGTATTCAGTTCGCTTCGATCCACATGTCCCATCAAAGCATCCTTGTATTGATAATAATTAACCACACCAGCCTCTGGATGATAATCATCTCCACGGTATGTGTTTTTCCATGTCTTTGCTTGATCTCCTATACCTTCAATAGCTTGTACCACACTTGTCACCAATGAATTCACAGTATCTGGAACAGGATAGCGTCGATCCAAATGATATGTCTTTGTTGGCCAATGATAATGGTAACCCAGTGTAATCCACCGTAATCGTCGTATCAGATCAGAAGTTGGAAGCAGTGGGACAGTATCAGCGGCAGGTGGGTCTGGTTTCGGTACGTCCATATTGGGTTTGAAGTTGTCATCACAAGCTTTCAAAGGAATTGCTAGTGTTCGTTTCTCCACTTTTTTGGATTCACCTTTATCTTCAGTATTGTTATCATCATCATCATCATCGCTATCAGAATAAGAGTCATTTTGTTTTTTGTTAGTGTGTCGCTTTCGTTGAATATAGTAGCTAGGATCATTCATAGGGATGGTTCCAGTTTGTTCCCGTTCGTACAAAGGCCATAGTCCAGTGGGAGGAATATCGTAATGGGTATGTAGATTGGATGTATTGGGTGCTTTTGGATATTCTGATAAACATTGTTGGATCAAATGACGTTGTGCTTCTGGTGTGAAAGGATTGGGTATAATAATAAGTCCTATATCAATTGAAAACGTTAGAAAAAACTACTAGCGAAAAAGTAAGTCTAATTTACCTGGTAATTCCTTCAATATGAATGCTTGTCTTGATCGTTGTTCCCAAACTTCATCAATAACACCAAAAAGAGGAGTCAATGACCGCAAGTCATGAACAAGTTGTACAGGTTCTAATCCATTAGGACAGCAGTCGATGGTAGGATAGATCACTTGAGAGAAATCAGGGGGTGGATATCGAGATTTAAAGTTGCGTTCTGCAAATCGAAATGGTGTTTGATTGACATAAGAAGATCTATCTAGTTTCTTTTCAGCCATTTGTTTTGCCAGTTTTTCTCTTTTTCGAGCTTGACTCCGAGAGATAGTTTGTGATTGTTGCATATTGTGTAAAATAATAATAATAATAATAAAAGTAACAATGTAAGAAATAAATAAATAAATAAAAAGGACACAGGAAAGAAATGTATTTCAGAAAAAAAAAAGTCCGTTTATTTTATTGAGAGGGAGCCGGGGTTGGAGGGGATGTTGCATAACTGTAACTATAAAACGCCACTTTGAGTACCAAAGCAAAAATCGCATGTGCGCCAAGAATCACCAATAGAATAATACGAGAAGTTTTGGCATCAGTACGAGAGATCACAGAATACAGATTTTTGACTAAAAAGTAACCTATCAAATAAAACAAAAGAATTTTATTAAGAAAAAAAAAATCAATGAATTTGTTTCTCAATTATTATTATTACTTACTTGTCAGAACAAATGCAATGCAAACAAAAACCCATCGAGCAATATCATAAGGAATCACACATAATATCTAACAGAAGAAATAAAAAATAAAATAGAGTGAGAATACGATCTTAGGTCAAACATAACCATTTTTCAATTGTTAATTCTTTTTTTTTTCTCTCTCTCTTTTACTTACAGAGACTGGTATCCAAACAGTCAAACCATAACCATAATAATCCACAATTTCCAATAATGATGGTTGACAACCAAAATATTTGGTGGAAGCCCAGACCAAAATGGGACATACAAATGAATAGGTGTATACAACAAAAACAGCGTAGCTTAGTTGTCGAAAATCGTACAAATGTTCTACACCTGCAATATAAGCTGCCAAGGAGCCTGCCAAGGATGAGCATACAAACACTGCAAACACAACTGTTGTAGCAATCCAGAATGGTCCATATAAATCGGGTTGATGATTAAGAGTATCTTCTGCAAAATCGCCCACTGGATAAAGTGATTTCAAACATCGTTCAACAACCTATATTAACATTATCAATCAAGAGTTCCTTTTTAATATTGTTTTTTTTTTTTTTTTTTTTTTTTTCAGCATACTTGTGAAGTGTCCACGTCAAAAAATCGAGTATAATAATCAACAGACCATATGGGTTTTCCTAATCCTCCAGGAGTTGATTGTTGTTCTGCATTGTAAAAATTGGGTACACCTGTTGAAGCTGAAGGAGGAGCTAACAAAGAGAAGAGAAAACTTGAGTGAAAACGAAAAAAAAATATTGACAATAAAGTATACCTCCGGAAGATTTGATGGTAGTAGTGGTATCATTAGTAAAATCTAATAATAAAATATAAGAATAAAAATAAAAAAGATAAGAAATGATGCTTTCAAAAAAAGTGTCATTGTTTGTTTACCTTGAAATTCTAAACCGTCGCTTTCAATGGTAGTAGGCTAAGTTGATGATAAAACAAAAAAAAAAAAAAAAAAGATAACAAAAAAAAAAGTTAAGATATTACTTTCTTCGCGTTCCTTTTAAAATTATTTTACTTGTGTATAAGCAGCACCATCTTCCATATCTACTAATACATTGTATTGGTTTTTATTTGACATTGTATCAGAGAAAAGAATGTAAAAGTAAGGAATAGAAAGAAAAAAAAAAGAAAGGTGGCTCTTCATTCAAAAAGCTTTGGTGAATCGTGCTTTTTACTCTCCGATGGCGAATCTCTTTCTCTTTTTTTTTGGCCATCAACAGGGTTTGATCTATCAGAAAAAAAAAAAAAATAAAAAATAAAAAAAGAATGATGAGTAACATAAAAAAAAAAGATTTGTTACTATTTATACATAAAGTTTGGTCAGGACGATCGAAAATAAAACAACATGACGTATCGAAATGGTCTAGGCGGGTGGGGTATGATGACTTTTTGGTTCCGCACCATAGGATTAGAGAGAGTGAAAGGCAAATCGTACTTTAAACTGTTTTTCTCTTATTTATTTTTTTTCTTTTTTTGCTCGCAAATACCCTTTTTCTTATACTTGTTCTTTCTCTCTTTTTTTTTTTTTTTCTCTTTTTTTCCTTCTTTTCCTTTTCTTATATATATACATATATATATATATATTATCTTCCTTTTACTTATTCTGTATTATTTTTTTTTTGTTTGTGGGGTTTTGATTCTCGACTTTGAACATGTAAGTGAAAAAGAGAAAGTAAGAGCATATAAATATGTACGCGAAACAAAAGAGATCAGCCTTCTTACCTAACGGGCTCTTTTTTCTTTCTTTTCCTGTTTATATATATATAAAAGTCGTATACTGGGTTTCACGCATAAAATTCTACTTTATCTTTCTTTTTATTCATATCGATAAATTATCTATTCTCATTCCTATTACGACCATACAACAACGTATCAATACTTATGCCATCTACCGAAACTTCATCAGATTGGAAACTGTCAACTTCGGGTACTTATTGGGTTTATACTCGTCCTTTGGAGAAGTCGGATAATGATGATCGCGATTATCGTTTGATCAAGTTGGCAAACAATGATTTAGAAGTTTTATTGGTACATGACAAGGATACGGACAAATCAAGTGCTGCTTTAGATGTTCATGTGGGTCATTTAAGCGATCCTGTAAGTAAACCTTTAAATGAAGCAAAATTTTTGGGATTTCTTCTTCTTCTTCCTTCTGACTAACTGATTTTTTTTTTTCAACTTATTCTATAGGTTGATCTACAAGGCTTAGCCCATTTTTGTGAACATCTATTATTTATGGGTACTGAAAAGTATCCCAAGGAAAATGATTATAATCAGTATCTCTCGGAACATTCTGGATTCTCGAATGCATTTACTGGCGTAGAAGACACTAATTACTATTTTGAAGTGGGACACGAATATTTGGAAGGCGCTTTGGATCGATTTGCTCAATTCTTTATAAGTCCTTTATTTTCGGATACATGTACTGAAAGGGAATTGAAGGCGGTGGATTCAGGTAAATAATAATAATAATAATAATAGTACATCATCATTAAATCTTTGACTCCATATATTATATATATATATATTTCTAGAACACAAGAAAAATCGACAACAAGATAGTTGGCGTATGTTTCAATTAGAAAAGTCTCTTAGCAATCCAGATCATCCTTATTGTCATTTTGGTACTGGTAATTTGGAAACTCTTAGTGAGCAACCCAAACGATTAGGCAAGGATATTAGAGATGAATTATTGAAATTTCATGATGATTACTATTCTGCTAATATTATGAAACTATGTATCTTTGGTCGAGGTAATTTGATATATAGAGTAAAAAATCTATGTTTGGTGATTCATCCGTTTTTTTTTTTTTTTTTTTTTTTGATATATAGAATCATTGGATACTTTGACTGAATGGGCAGTGGACAAATTCAATGGTGTTCGCAATAAAAACATATCTCCTCCAAGCTTTGAAGGTCATCCTTTGACCGAAAAGGAACTGAAGGTAAAAGAAAAAAAAAACGAATAATCAATCTAAATGTAGTCTTTTGTTTTATTTTTATTTTATGTAGAAGCAAATCTTTATCAAACCTGTCAAGGATGTACGATCTTTGGAAATGACTTTTCCATTCCCTGATCAACGACCTCTATATGAAGTACAGGTAAATAGACTGAATTTTATTTTAGTGACAAAAAAAAACAAAAAAAAAAAATAAGTAGTTTATTAATCAAAATCTATTAGCCCGGTCGTTATATTTCTCATCTGATTGGTCATGAAGGAAAAGGATCCATTTTGTCACTATTAAAGAAACATCGATGGGCAAATTACTTACAAGTAGGAACAATTCATGGTGGCATTGGATTTGAATTTTTACGTATAAGTGTGGATTTGACAGAAGAAGGTTTAGGTAAGTGAATAATTTTAGATATGATATGAAAACTGATTTTGTAATGATGTTCTTATTTGTAGCCAATTATGAAAAGGTGGTATTGGTGATCTTCAAGTATATCGATCTTCTCAAGAACCATGGTGTACGGGAATCCACTTTTCGTGAAGTTCAATCTTTGGCATCTTTGGCATTTCGTTTTAAGGAAAAGTATCCACCATCCCAATACACATCTCGTCTCGCTGGTTTGATGCAACATGGTTATCCTTCCGAATATATCCTCAGTGGTCCTAGTCTTATCCGTGATTATGATGCCAAGTCGATCGAAGAGAATCTGAAATGGCTGGGTCCTGATAATTTCCGTATCATGCTGGCAAGTCAAACTCCACCTAAGGACATTTCATTCACCAAACGCGAAAAGTGGTATGATACTGAATACGAGGTGGTGGACTTTAATCCTTCCTTGATTGAAGTAAGTAATGAAAACTATCTTTTTTTTTTTTTTTTTTTTTTTTTTTTTTTTTTTTTACATTAGATTGAAACCTTACCTCTGTATGGTAATATATTGACCTATATACTTCATATTATGTAGACTTTGAAGAACCTTGAAGCTGATCCTGAACTTCAATTGCCAGAAGCCAACGCATTTGTACCTACAAACTTTGAAACTGACAAGAAGGATGTCAAACAACCAATCAAGAAACCTGAACTTATTGCAAACGACTCTCGCCTCCGCTTATGGCACAAGAAAGATGACACTTTTTGGGTACCAAGAGCCAATGTTTGGATTTTATTTAGAAGCCCTCTAGCTTATGCGACACCCTCCAACTGTGTAAAAACAAGGTATATGTTTATCCTCTTTCTCTCTCTCAATATATATATATATATACTAATATCAACACTTCATGGATTAATTAGATTATTTACCGATATACTGAAGGACTCTTTGAATGAATATGCTTATGATGCTGAAGTTGCAGGTTTATGTTACAATATTGAAAACCAATTGGAAGGAATGCTTGTAAGTAGGAAGAAAATATAACCAATTACTAGTACAATGATCTTATTCTTTTTATTTGCATTACAGCTTGCCATTGGAGGATACAACGATAAACTTGCAGTACTTTTGGAAAAAGTGATCAGAAAAATGCGCGATATTGAAATCGATGGAGAAAGATTCAAACTACTCAAAGATCAACTTCGTCGCTCTTACAAGAACTTTTCTTTGGAACCACCTTACCAACATGCACTTTATTATTTATCCTACTTTACACAAGACAAAATGTGGACAACTGCTGAGAAACTCAAGGAATTGGATGCCATCACTGCTGAAGATATACAAGCCTTTTATCCTACTATTTTGTCCCATTTACATCTGGAAGCATTAGTCCACGGTAATGTGAAGAAGGAACAAGCTCAAATAATGCTCAAGTCTGTATTGGATATTTTGAACCCCAAGGAACTTTTACCAAGTCAACTTATTGGACATAGAAGCTTAATTCTTCCAGAAGGTAATTCAATTGTAATGTGGTAATGATATGAAAATCAAAATTCTTTCTTTTTCGTATTAGGTACCAAATGGGTGTATCAACGTCAAGTAGAAGATCCAAACAATGTTAATTCTGGTATCGAATACTTAATTCAAGTTGGAAATGTGACTCAAACTAGCCTTCGTGCTCGACTTAGCTTATTGGCCCAAATCGCTCAAGAACCTTGTTTTGATCAACTACGTACAAAGGAACAATTAGGTAAAAAAAAAAAAATTCATCTGTCATTCATTTTCACTGACGTCTGATTATGATTAATTTTTTTTTTCTCTCTCATTCCCTTTACTGTATATACATATATAGGCTATTTGGTTTTCAGTGGTGTACGAAAACAAACTGGATCAATGGGTATGCGTTTTATTATTCAAAGTGAAAGAGATACCGTCTACCTGGAAAATCGTATTGAAGATTTCTTGGAAAAACTAAAAGCTCTGGTGGAAAAAATGTCAACTGAAGAATATAAAGCTCAAGTGCAATCTCTCATATTTAAAAAACTTGAAAAGGATAAGAATCTTGGTCAAGAAGGTGGAAAATATTGGGCTCATATTCACTCTGGTTATTATGAATTTGATCAAGGTATTATAAAAAGAGGAAGAAAAAAAAAATAGTGGACATATAAACCTGTTGTATTGAACACTCTTTCTTTCTTTGGGTTTTTTTTTTTTTTTCTACAGTCGACAAAGATGTACAGGAACTCAATAAGATCACCAAAGAATCGTTATTAGAATTTATGGACAAATATATCAACCCATCATCACCAAATATCCGCAAATTATCCGTACATCTTCAATCTCAAAAGGTACCTCCTACATCATCTTACAAGGTCAACATTGAATCCCTTCATACATGCTTAGTGGCTCAAGGCGTAACTCGACTTAGTATTGATGATCTTCGTGCAGCAGTGGAACGTGGTGATACTGGAGAATCATCTATTCAAGCCATTCTACGTGAAATGTTGATTGATGAAACAAAGGCCGAAGAATCTGAAATTGAAGCCCTTATGGCTAAACTAGTAACAGCTATGCGGATGACACCCTCAGCAACTGACAGGAACGGTACAGGCAAGGAAAACAACACACCGGATGATACAATCAATGGTTCCTTTGTGACAGTGGATAGCAAGAAAACAGCACGACGGTTATCATTGATGAATGGCGACTCTATTGATATGGATAGTAGTGGCCAATCTACTCCCATTCGTGATCATTCTAAACTTCCTGATGGCAATATTGTGATTCTGGATTCTGTACAATTCAAGACCAAGATGGAATTGAGCCCTGCCGCGGTGCCTTTGATTGATTTTTAGAAAGAAAAAAAAAATTACATTCTTATCATTAGTCCTCCTTCGTTTTTATTATAGTTTATCTGCTCTCTTTTTAACTGCATTTTGATTGTATTGTCCACTTTGTATGTTTTTTTTTTTTTTTTTTTTTGTTTTATTTGTTTCGATTTTTGACTCCATCTTTTTTTTTTTTTTTTTAAATTAAATAAAAAAATAATATGTAGTGTGCACTTGGTTTTAATTGTATCTTCCTCCACCTAATTATTCTGTCCTTTTCTTTCTTTTTTTTTTTTTTTTTTTTTTTTTTTTTTTTTGATTCACTAACAAAAATGGTAGCCACAGATAGTATACATATGTGTTGTCAAATGTGTTTACATGTTATGATTGTAGATTTATGCTTAAAATGACATTTGAAAGATGATTAAAGCTATTTAGGCCTGCGGGTTCACTTTTTTTTTTTTTTGAAAACTTTTTGGATTTTATAGCCAAAATTTTCCAATTCCTCAGCCAAATTTTGGCTGTGAAAATAAATCGTCAGGGGGTCATCAGGCAATTTTTCAAAAAAATGGATGAAATCTTTTGGTGATTATTGAACATGAGGCGGCAAGTTAACAGATAAAATGAGATTAGATGATGTTAAACTACTTTTTTGAGAGGAATCCAATGGTGGTAATTTTACTGGATGATGATCATTATTGAGCGAGGGATGACGATATTGACTTTTTATTTTTTTTAATTTACTCTATAAATTGGAAGATAAGGTATAAAATGGCATTAAATAAAGTGAAAGAGAGGATTTATGGTGGATGTTTTGTAAAATAAAAACTAGAGTGTACTTATTTTGATAGTCTGAAAATAATGAAAAAGAATATCGTAATGGCATCCTCAGCGGTGTTTCAAAAGCAGGAAGAAGTAAACAGACTGCGGGTAATTTGATCTTCCTAGCTTTTTTTCTTCTCTTTTCTTTCCTTTTCTTTTCTTTTTTATTGTTATCTTACATTCTTATTCTCCACCATGCCTTCACAAGGACGTTCAAGATCACCTCCTATTAGACAGAACGATTCAGATAAATATGGAGATTATCAAGATCAAAGTACTAGGAGTCGTCGAGAAGATAGTAGAAGCGATCGTTATTCTAGCTATCGATCTTCATCTAGTCGTCAAGATTATAGTAATCGTAATGGTCATGATCGTTCTCGACACTCTTCCTCTTACGAAGACAACAATGACAGCAGAAATGAAGACAATCAACGTCACTCTGATAACACATCATCGATTACAAACGAAACAGGAAAAGATCAAGTTGCCAATAGCATGGAATCTACCAAGAAAAGGGTCCCTGTGTCTATTGAAGAATTGATCAAGAAAAAGAATGAACAAACAAATATGGCAAAGGTAAATATTGAAATTAGTAAATACAAACTTTTTTTTTTGGTAATCGTTCATTCAATAACTTTTTTTTTTATAAATTTATATATTGATTAGCCCAAGTTTTTGACCAAAGAAGAACGAGCGCAGTTAGCTTTGGAACGACGACAAAAGGAAGTGGAAGAATTAAGAAAACGACAAGCAGAAGAACGGAAAAAACGTGAAAATTTTGACTTCCAAGCCGAAGATGACTACAGGAAGCAACAAGACGATGAAAGATACAAACGACGTGGCAATGATAGATATCAACGATCAGATCGACGACGACAACGTGATCCGTCCCCTTCGCCAGAGCCTGAAGAATTGAATGATTCTTTGACAGAGAAGGAAAAACAAGCTATTCGGGTAAGTCTAAAACTGAATTGGTACAGTCCACCATTGATGAACTCATCTCTGTTTTTTTTCTATTATTGTTATTAGGATCGATATTTTGGTGGTGATCGTAGAAAACGAAAGATTAGAAAAATGAATGAACGGAAATTTGTTTTTGATTGGGATGCCGGAGAGGATACGTCTCGTGATTTCAATCCATTATATGCCAATCGACACAATGCTCAAATGTTTGGAAGGGGTCATATTGCTGGTATTGATATCAAGGAACAAAAAAAGAAACAATCGGAATTCTATAACACTTTATTGAAGGAACGAAGAACAGAAGAAGAAACCGAACGTGCTAGGTAAGAAGAAATGATATGTTATAGCAAAAGATGAACTAAATACCTCTTCTTTTTTTTTTTGTCAGGGAACTGATTGAATTGGATCACAAACGTGAAGCCAAAACAAAATGGGATGATCGTCATTGGAGTGACAAATCTTTGGAAGCTATGACAGAAAGGGATTGGCGTATTTTCAAAGAAGATTATAGCATTGCAACTAAAGGTAACGTTTATCTCTTAGTTTTTTTTTTCTTTACTTACACTTATATTATCATAGGTGGTAGCATACCTCACCCCATTCGTCACTGGAATGAATCTGGTTTACCAAAACGTGTATTGGATATCATTGATCGAATTGGTTACAAAGAACCTTCACCCATTCAAAGACAAGCTATTCCTATTGGTATGCAAAATCGTGATATCATTGGTGTGGCAGAAACTGGTAAGTTAATGATGATGATGATATAAAAGAAATAAGATTGTGAATTAACGTTTTTGTTGTTTTTTTTTACAATAGGGTCTGGTAAAACGGCATCGTTTATTATTCCCATGCTTACATATATATCTGAACTTCCCAAGATGACAGAAGAAAATGCCATGGATGGTCCTTATGCTTTGATTTTGGCACCTACACGTGAATTAGCACAACAAATCGAACAAGAAGCTCTCAAATTCGCTGTTCCTATGGGTTTTACTTGTGTATCCATTGTCGGTGGTGTAAGTATATGAAAAATTATTAAAAAAAAAAAAAGGAAAACAAATAATTTAAACATATACCTTTCTTTTGTAGCATGCTATTACGGAACAAGCTTTCAATATGCGGAATGGTGCTGAAATTGTGATTGCTACACCTGGTCGTCTTACTGATTGTTTGGATCGTCGTATTATTGTTCTCAATCAATGTGCCTATGTAGTGATGGATGAAGCTGATCGAATGATTGATATGGGTTTTGAAAATGATGTCAACACTATATTGGATGCCTTACCTGTATCGAATGTGAAACCTGATGATGAAACGGAACAAGACAAAAGCAACGACAATAAAGTGGATGAAGGTGATCGAAAAGGCATGATCACAACCACTACTGGGGATCAAAAATATCGACAAACTACCATGTTTTCAGCCACCATGCCTCCTGCTGTGGAAAGACTGGCCAAAAAGTATTTACGAAATCCTGCTGTAGTTACTATTGGTAATGCTGGTCAAGCTGGTAGCACTGTGGAACAACGTGTTGAAATGATTGATGATGATGGTCGAAAGAAGTAAGTATTCCTTTCTATTTATAAATAATAATACTGAAATTTAATTTTTTTTTTTTTAGGAATCGTTTACTTGAAATTCTTGGAACGAACAAATATACACCTCCTATTATCATTTTTGTCAATCAGAAGAAAGGTGTGGATATTTTGGCAAAGGCATTGAACAAATTGGGTTATCATGCGGTTACATTACATGGTGGTAAATCTCAAGAACAAAGAGAAGCAGCATTGGACAAGTTAAAATCTGGATCGGCCGGTGTCTTGGTAGCTACTGATGTTGCTGGTCGTGGTATTGATGTGAAAAACGTATCTTTGGTAGTCAATTATGATATGGCTAAATCAATTGAAGGTAATATTACTTGGAATCAACTTTTTGTTTTCTTACTAAATTCTTCTTTCTTTTTTTTTTTTCTTTTTGAAAGATTATACTCATCGTATTGGTCGTACGGGTCGTGCTGGACAATCTGGTGTGGCCATCACCTTTTTATCAAGTTATGATACGGAAGTCATGTATGATCTGAAGCAAATGTTGACGAAATCACCTCTTTCCAAGGTACCTCCTGAACTGGCTCGACATGAAGCTGCACAAACTAAACCTGGTACTATCAAAAATCAAAAACGACATGATGATGAATTCTAGGAAATCCTTTTTAAAAAATATATTTTGTTTTGAATAAATAAGTTGGTTTATGCAAAAAAGCGGATTGTGAAATGATTTTTTTTTTTTTTTTGGCTGAGGGGAGAATTAAACTTTTGCGTCGAGGCCACTCTTGTGATTCCTTCTTTCAACTTACGGTTATTCGCCATGGTACGTGAAAAATAGAGGAAATGAAAAAAAAAGACTAGATAGACATAGATATATCAACAATAATGACGAAACGAAATATAAAAAGAGATGGATGGATGGATGGATGGATGGATGGATTAGATCTAGGAGAAAAAAAAAAAAAAGACAACCGCTCGACTTGCCCGACAATAATGGATTCGAAACTACTTTTTTAGATGATGATACTGATGAACATTGCCCTTTCTTTTTTTTTCTTCTGTTGATAGGTTAATATTCCCAAGACGCGTAACACCTACTGCAAGGGTATCAAGTGTCGTAAGCACACTCCCCACAAGGTAACTCAATACAAGGCTGGTAAGGCTTCTCTTTTCGCTCAAGGTAAGAGACGTTACGATCGTAAGCAATCCGGTTATGGTGGTCAAACCAAGCCCGTTTTCCACAAGAAGGTAAGAAATACATAGTTAGTATTATTTTTTTTTTGTGGACAATGTCTGAATATCTCTTTTTTTTTTTTTTTTGTATCTATATAGGCCAAGACTACCAAAAAGATTGTCCTCCGTTTGGAATGTACCAAGTGCAAGTACAAGATGCAACTCCCTATCAAGCGTTGCAAGCACTTCGAATTGGGTGGTGACAAGAAGACCAAGGGTGCTGCTCTCGTTTTCTAAATGGTTTATCTCTAGTTTAGGATCTTTCCTTTTATCGAAAATAAAAACTCCATTTCTATCACTTAAATGAACAAAAAAGAACTACAATGACTATCATCGTTATCGCTGTATTTATTTTTGATATCTTTATTCACAAACTTTTGACATAATAACTACAAAAAAAAATATGCTCAACTTACTATCACTATGATGCTATTCTACAAAGGTGGGATATACACAAAAAAAAAAAAAAAAAGACCATACAAAAAGAAAAAGATGTTGGGAAAGGGGATGTGACTAATCTTCCAATAACATATATCCACTAGTTCCTTTTTGATATCGATTCCGTAAGGGAGTTCCAGGATCAGTCATATAAAGAATGCTTTGTCGAACCATGCTCTCAATACAGTTTTCTATAGTTGCTTTTGACAGCTGACGATAATCATGTTGTATCTTCATACATATATAATTGTGTCGAACGCCACCTATAGCATATAGTAGAAAGAGTCGTTAGTTTAAATTTGATCAAATCAATCAAATTAAACTTACAAAGAGTGCCTGCAGTATCCAACTCGAGTGCATTCCGAATGACTTGTTCAATAGCTGTCTCCAATTCGCGTATATCAAATAGACTATAACTATCAATATATTGACCCTTGATAAAATAACCTTCCTTTTCCAAGGTAGAGCAAGTCGTTGAAAAAAATTGCTTAAGTTGTTGCATTGTTGGCTCTGTACCAAGTTGGTTCCGTAGAATACGAGTTGCTGAGTTGCCAAGTTGAATATTATATTGCAAATGTTGTATGGTGAATGTCTTTGTTGTATCGTATGTTCTTTTTACATGAGCAAGCAAACTTTCCTGAAAACGTTGCTGAGGTTCTGGTCGAGTAACCTATCAAAATAATATCATAAGTAGTGAAAAAAAAAGATGTGTTTGTATATTACCTGACTCGAAGTGAGTGCCTCTGGAGTTTTACTACTATTGACTTCCATTTCTAATTTTGCTCGTTGTTGTTTGATATTGTCGGGTATAATGAAGGGAGTCTTGTATTGACCACGTCTTAAAGTCATGACCTCAAGATAATGAAGAACTTCAGTGTTTGGATTGTTTACGATAGCTATAAAGAGAGAGAGAGAGAGAAAGAGTTAGTATATATGTACATTCTTTTTTGTTATTCTTCTTACCCAAATCCTGTATCTTTATTTGTCTGCCGCCTTTGAAACTAGAAACCTGTCCTTGTACAAGCACACATGTTCCTAGTAAAATTGTTTCCTCTATATCTATAATATCTTTCCACCAGTAACAAGGCACAACACCACTACCATCGTCAACTATCAAAAAGAAGGTCAATATATAAAAAGTATTACTTGTGTTTGTTTTGTTTTTTCTTACCGAAGTATGTCAGCATGGTATGAGTTTGTTCAACTGCAACTATAACACCACATATTTCTACTTCACATATAGGATGACCAATAAAATAATATATGTCTAAAAAGAAAAAAGAAAAATAAATGAGATTTGCAGTTTTATTAAAAAGCGCCTTATATTTACCATTGTATTCAGGTATTTGAATGAGATCTAAAACATCTTTGATAAACAACTTGATTCGACACCGAAAGAGTGGATCCAAACCCAAGAATAGAGGATCCATATATATTATATATATACAAGATAGTAATATTTACAAGTGGCACAGAATTAAAAAAAAAAAAAAAAAAAAAAAAAAAAGAGTTGCAGAAAAGAAAAAGATAAAAATGACGGCATTTCAAACCAATTTTTTTCCTTTTTTTTTTTTTTTTATCCCATCTTTCGTTTGTATATTATAATTCTTCCATGACTTTCAAGTGTAAATTAGATTCTCATTATCGTATACCCACTCCTGTATTATCTATACTTGTTGGCAAACTTCCAAAGAATAACACAACTGAATCTACTCCTACTGTCATTGAAGATGTCACTGAGCAAATAGTTTCAGAAGAAAATTTGAAACAATCTAGCCAAAGTAAGTTTTTTTTTACCATTCTCTTTAAAGTATGACTTTAGTTTTACAATTTTTTTTTCTTTGGTCTTCTTGTAGCTGATACCTGGGACAAAGATTGGAGTTGGGGGATAGATGAAGTAAGTGAATTAATTGCTATTATTTTGACTTGGTAACTTGACTATCATATTATTAGGATAAACCTTCAACAACTTCACCTATACCAGCAACAGCATCTTCCTCACCATCATTACAGCATGTATCTACTTCTTCTTCTACTTTGAATACACTTTCTTCCTCACCCGCCATTCCTTCTACAATGACAACACCAACTACAGTTCCAGTCAATTTTTCACCACCAGCATCAACAAGCATAACAGCACAACCAGAAACATCTTCTTCATCTTCACCTGGACCTATTCCACCACCTATTGGAAAAGAATCATATTTGGTATCTGCCTCTGCAGCTGGGAAATATATCGCCATGGCCTATCACCGTAAATTTGTTTTAGTTGCATTGGATCCTGATCAAGAAGAATATCTTGTTATCGGCCAAGGTTCTGGATGCTCGGATCATCAACATCAAGGATCATCAAAGGAACGTATTACCAGTATATTATGTTTACCCTTATTTGTGCCTTCGACTAGGAAAAAGTAAATAGAAACATATGAGATATATATATATATAAATAAGGCATCTAATCCATAAATACCTTTATCTATCTAGTCAAATATTCATCATGATTGGCTATAGTACTGGATGGTTACGCGTATTCTCTTCTGTAAGCAATTAAATGATACATATTAATACTATCCCTATTATATTATCTCTTGTTAAACTTGACTTCTTTTTTTTTTTCTCCTTTTTTTTTTATATAGACTGGGACTCTTTTGACAGCGCAATTATTAGAAACATCACCATTGATTTCTATAAAATTACGAACTCCACCTCCACCATCTACATCATCAACTCAAACATCATCGACATTACCAACGAAACAACAACAAAAGCAATTAAAGCAAAAACCAAGCAATTATTTCAATGTTCAACATACAACACACCATCAAGATGACGAAGAAATCACATTATTATTCGATAACAATAAAGTGATTAGCATTGATGGGCAAAGTTTATGGATGGTTTTACGTGTATGTGATGGACAACGTGAAAGTGGAATTGATGCTTCAAAAATGCAAACGGCGTTTACATATAAGAAATGGCAACTCGATAAGCAAGAAAAAGTGCGCGATATCATTTCTATGGGTCCTTCTACTTTATCTTTGACAAGTGCTAGTGGTATTCGAATGGGATCCTCATGGTGGTGGTGGTTAGCAGCAACAGCAGGAGGAACAATCACTAGTAGCGATCCAGCGGTAACAATGACAGCAGCAGCACTTCAATCGATCTTCTCACCGGGATCAACTTCTGTACAGCAACAACAACAGCAGCAACAACAACAACCAGCAGAAGCTACGTGTAGATACATTGGTGTGGGATCGAATCCAATGATCAGTTTTTATGCAACTCATGAAACAAGTCGTCCTTTTATGTCTGCAGTATCGATGGCATCTTATATGGTATCACGAGTAGCATCACCAGTATTTTCATTTGCGAAATCATGGTGGTCAGGTACAACAAACAATTCAACGGGAGGTAATCTATCAGCATCATCATCATCATCTTCAACAGCATCTTCATCGTCATCATCCTATCAGCAAACTCCTTTTGTACCTGATATGCCAACACCACCTCAAGTCATTGAACCTTCTACAACAATTCCTTCTTTACTTCATCTATCTGATCATGGTCGAACAATTCAATCTATTGTGGTAGCACCTCCTTTACAACATAGTCAACACCGTACATTAGCAGCAACGAGCGATGCTTTAGGCCGTGTGATTTTATGGGATATTCAACAAGGTCATATGATTCGAATGTGGAAAGGTGTAAGAGATGCACATTGTGGATGGATTCAATATGAACAACAAGATGAAGGACAACGTCGTTTACCTTTATTTTTGGTCATTTATTCTGCTCGACGTGGTTTACTCAAGGTATTCCAAACAAGGCATGGTGGTGACGGAGGAAATCAATCGTTCAATCAACATCATCAACAAAAACCCATTGGTGTATTCCATGTAGGACCAGGTTGGCATCTTGTGGCATGTGGCAGGGAACCATTAGGAAGTAGTATGGTCAGTAGTGAACGTAGAAAGGCAGCTATGTTACTTGGTGAAGAATGTGGGATTCTATCTACTTGTTTATTGATTAGTCCGCATGGTGAAGTACGCAAAGTTAGTATATACCCTTCGTAGTTATATATATATCTTCTTCTTCAATTTATTCATCTAGACAAAATAAAAAATATTTTTTGATTTATTTCATGGATACCTCTGTGTATGTTAGGGTACATATGTTTTCAATAGGCGACGAACCCTGATCAGTTATGCAAAATGTATGTGGGGCCGTGGGAGGGCAATGTCTTATCGATGTGCTTTTTTTTTTCCGCTTGATTGTCTTATCGAAAAGCTGAATTATTATTTTGTATTGAACTTTATTCGATGCGTTATTTAATGTCAATGTGCTGAAGAACAATAATAGATTAGTTTCAATGTTTATATTTAGGACGAATCAAAGGACAATGATTAAACTTTCTCTTTTTCTTTTTCTATTATATATATATATATATATATATATATATATATATATATATATATGTATATATATGATATATGACTTTTAACAATGAATCTATAGATGTATGATAAATCAATGAAGAATGAGTTATATTATAGGATCAAACAAAAGAAGTAGCGGAATGAGTAGAGACACAAGAAAAAAAAAAGGGGGAGAACGGAAGTTTACAAGTGATCGGAAAACATCACCATAAATGACAAGTTCTCAAAGACCCTTAAATAAACCCCCACATTGTCATTGGTGTATTTTTAATGGATGACTCTATCTATAAATATAGATGTGTTTTAATCTGCGAACCTCGGTTTTTGGTAATGAGAAACCTGGTGTCAATTGTCTCTTACCAACCTTTGATTTCTTATTTGTTAAAAAAAAACATCGAACGATTTTTCTTCCATTTGTGTTCCCAGAAAAAAGAAAGAAAAAAAAAATATCACTCATGCGGGATCTAGAATACTATTCACTTTTTTTGGACTTTTAGTTTTTTTGTTGCTTTGACAATGAGTCATAGAATATCCTTTTATATATATATATATATTGATGACAAGAATCAAAAAAAAAATTAATGATAATGATGATGATGATGATTGTGATTATATTTATTATTAATTTGAAATAGTAATATCACTCCATTTTTGAAGAACTACAAAAAAAAAAAAAAAAAAAAAAAAAAAAAACCACTCCTTCTGCTCATTTCCTTATAAAGACACCCTCATTGTTTTTTTTTTTTTTTTTTTTGCATCGGAAGTGGTGTCAGAAACACAACCAATAAAAAAAGACTTGAACCCTGTGTACTTTCTTTCTGTACTGAATTTGAAACCTAAGGATGGATATCTGACAATTCCTGCAGAAAATTTATGACCAACAATAAAAAAGGGGGAGTGATTATTTTTTTTCTTATTTTTTTTTCTCTTCTTCCTTTTTAATTCATCTAACTTTAATAAAAATAAGAAAAAAACTAAAATGACAACTGTCACTTCATCAACTACATTTGATTATGATGATCATCATCCTTTATCTCCTACTACACAACAATATTCAAATTCACCTTTATCATGGGATATGACTATTTACAATGAAGAACCAAATAATAATCAAATCTCTGGTACTGGAAAACGATCACCTAAAAGAGGTGTGAGTACTTTTATTAATAAATTATATGGGTAAAGATTATCCATCATATCATTATCCATTATCTAACTTTATCTTTTTTTTTTTTCTGTAGAATGGTGAATGATCGTACAAATCAGCAATTGATCTCATGGAATCCAAGTGGAACATCTTTCCTAGTTTGTAATGCAACCCGATTTGCCCAAGAAGTACTTCCCATCCATTTCAAACACAGTAATTTTTCAAGTTTTGTACGCCAATTGAACATGTAAAGTTTTTGTGTTACAAATATATCTATATTAAAAGAATAGACATCAAAAAAAAAAAAATTGGATTTCTTATCCTTTCTTTATTATTAGGTATGGATTCCATAAAATCAACAAATCACTTCGAGGACAACGTGGTAATAATGAAAATGAAGTATGGGAGTTCTCACATGTGAAATTTCAATATGGTCGACCTGATCTTTTGGAAGGCATCAAAAGAAAAGCCATGGATTCTGAATTATTACGAAGAGAAACAGGTGATATACATGCTTCTTTTTCTATGATTCAAATGTCACAATCTGATCTCTTACAACAATTCAATACACTTCAAGATCAATTTTCTAATCTACTCACAAGCTTTGAAGAATTGAAAAAGACTCAACTTCAACAACAAATCATCATTCGAAGATTGACAGATGCAACAGGTAAAAATATATCCTTTTTTTTTTCTCTTTTCTTTAAGATCATCATCATCATCTAATCCATTCTTTTTTTTTTTTTATTATGATGATAGTCATTCATCAGCAATCATCATCATCATCAGAAAAAATGAAAGTAAATCATTCTCCTCCTCCCAATGTATTGATGTCTCAATGGCAACAACAAAATCATAATACAAATGACAACGATAATGTACTATCTATGTGTACACCTGAAAGCATGACACTTCCTCTATCTGATCTACAATGTTTACCACCTAGTCCTGCTCTATCGGATCCATTGTCTCATTCTCAACATCCATCCTTTCATACTGCTGATGATACTTTCCACAGAGATCATTTACATCAATCAAATACCCTGGAATTGTCCTTTGCCACTTGATGATATTATATATTATTTTTATTTTTCATTTCTATTTTTTTCATTTGTATCATAATAATAATAATAATAAAAAAAAAACTTTTTTTCTTCACTTTTCTTTTTGAAAGGTTAATAAATTTTTTTTTCTGACATCATATCAAACAACATCAGATCTTGAGGAAAAAAATCGTACTTTTTTAGGCATATTGAAAAATAAAGTTTTATTTTTTTTTTTTAAAAAAAAAGACCCGAAGAGAATAGAACAAAGGAACATTCTCTCCACTCTTATCGCCTTAAGCCGACGGGTTCACTTTTTTCCTTTCTCTGCTTCCAGTACTCCTGTTTATGCGTTTTAAAATACAGCATGATTACCTTTTTTTTTTTATTTATCTATATACTGTCTTCTTTAGCCTAATATGTTCTTCTAATATGATTCGACTTTGTGTTTGGAAAGTTAGGCGATCAGTGTGTATGTATTCTTTTTGGATGATGAATCACTCCATTTCGACAGTTATATGGAGTGATGTAGTGTCAAGTTCAAAGAAAAACAAGATTTCTTTGCATGTAACAGAAAGGCTTTGATATGATGGTGCATCCTCTTGATCATCAACCTACTTTTGACCTTATAACTATTTTTTCAGGAACAACGTTACATGCGCGCACTTCGGTTTGATTTTTTTTAAATTAAAGTTTGCATTTCACTTTTTTTTTTTTTGGTCCTCTTTCCTTTTTTTTTTTTTCCTTCCTTCTTTAAATTCTATAGATATATATATGTGCTAGTACTCGAGTCCAACTTTTTGTTTCGAGAACCTTTGTCATGAAAAAGGCAAATTGCCACACTACTCACAAAACATATTTACTTTCTTTAAGATGTTGGTAATTGTATATGGTTTATCTTGTGTTACAAGTACTGTTTCTCACCAAAGACGACTCTCTCTCCCTTTTTCTTCAATCTATAGATAGTTCACCTCTTTGATACATAAGAATTAAACAGACAGAAGAATAAAAGGTCAATATTTCATATATTAGTTTGGAAATTGTGCTGACAGCGTGCTAATATTTTTTTTTTTTTTTGAAGATACACTTCTCATTATTGTCATACGACTGGGTCAATGGTGATGATTAGTGCAAGGTCAGTTCTCTCAAGAAATTAAATCGCAACAGATGGAACGTATGGTGAAATCGCTAGAATAGTTGATAATTAGCATAAATTATTGTTACCTTTAGATTATGGATCATAAACATGGAGTCAATGGAATAAACTTTTTTATTTATTGTTATCATACACTGAATTTGATCAACGCTGATCATTACAAGGTGATTCAAAAAAAAGGGCTCAGAAAAAATTGGATGAAAAAAAAAAAAGAAAACTCTTCCTTGTTCAAATTCTATCAGTCATAAATCGATCATCGTCATCTTGCTGTTTCAATAAACCAATTTTATTTTCATTAAAGTTATCAAGAGAGGGGGTATAGTTCTAACAACATATATCTAAAAAAAAAAAAGGAAGAATAGAAATATCTAATATTAATAATACGTGTATAGGATCATATCAGTTGATGGAGTGAGTAATTGTTGTTGTAAAACGATTTGGTCTTGTAGCGATGGTAAATCTTGATAACAAGTTTGTATTAATTCCATTTCATGTGTTGCCAAAACTGTCCGTAGATGAATTTGGATTCGCCGTCCTTTCTTGTCACGCTTCCATTTCTTGATGATTGTATTGGATTGCTTGTTGTGGTACAGATCCATAAATGCATTTCGTTCCGGTCGATCTTCTAAAGCTTCTACCATTTGTAATAGAAGAACACGTAGCACATCATATGACCTTGAGCACTTTATCGATTTGGCAGCTTGACAGATGGCGTGGATCACTAGTACACAGAGAGCTCGAGCTGAGATGCGATTGGTTTCCAGCCATGGGTAATAAGCTTTCTTGATGCCATCCTGAGAATCATGTGAAACATTGATACTTGACAGATCTTGTTGACTTGTCATTGTCTTGATATGTTGCACTGTCAGCATTTGTGTTGGATATGTATCTATTTCTTTTCCTAGTTGTTGCCAGTTCGTCATAGACTTACAAAAAAAAAAAGATGTTTCAGTCAAATAAAATGGATTGCTCGTGTTTTTGATATGATTTACCTGAATAGCCTGAACAGTACCTGAGACGAAGAAGACTTGTTCATCATCTGAGCAAGTATCTTGACTGATGGATGTGATTTTTTGAATGAGCCTGATGGAATGTAGTACCATAAAAAAGAGTCGGCAATCTATCAACGAAAGTAAAATAACATCACAATGAGTTCTATACATAAAAATTCTTCCTTTTGAATTTCTAATTCTTACGTTGATCTATCAATAACTTCACAAGAGGAACCATATTGTCTTCATAGGCTGAATATAATCGTATTATACCTCCAGAATGATTGCCATAGAGCTGTTCCATAAAATATACCAATAAGAGCCTGTATTCATAGTGTGCTGTAATCGAGAAGGTAGGATGTAGATTTCGTACAAGACATTCCTGTAATAAGGTCGCTTCATAAGGATGTTTCCAAAGTGGTGATAATTGAAGCTTCTCTTTATCCACGTTCTACAATAAAAAAAAAAAGGTAAGGAAGTAAACCAATACTTATCTTTTAGATCATGATTCTTATACCTTGAACACTTGATACGTGAATAATGCATTGGATCGGCATCCATTCAAGAATAATGTCCATTGTTGAGTAACATCCAGTTCTTCATAGATATGTCTGCGGTCACTGCACCATAAAGAATGACTGTTCGAACAAGTAATGGATAGTATCAGAGGAATGACAACCGGATGTACAATAATAGGATCGAGTTCATAGTTATAATTGTCAAGTTTGTTACAGTTCTTCCAGAAAAGTCGAGTTCGCCAATCTAAACAGAAGTAATTTGCATATGAATAATAATACAAAAAACGGTAACTTAGACATCTTGCATAGAAATACTTTTTTTTTTGTTCAGTTCAGTCAAAGACTTACCTAATCCGTCCATTGCTTCAAAAAAGCGCTGTAACCTTTTGTTCATATCATTGGTAATTTCAAGCATGCCATCAAAGAGACACAAAGTATGTTGTAGTGCCAATATCAATTTCCGTCCAAGATCGAGCGCAAGCGATAAATAATCGCCAGTATCAGTAGTAGTAGTCGCAGCTTTTCCACCGCTATCAAGCGTATCAGAAATTGAATGATCAGCATCTTTTGTCGTATATCGTTCATTCATCAAATTTGCCAATAAAATCATTAAAATATCGAAATCCATGTCCAATATAATAGGGAGATGTTTGATAGGTTTGTCTAGTTGTTTGAGCCACAGATCCGCCATCATAGTTTTATCTTCAGTAAGCAAAGATAAGAGTGTCAGAATACCCTTAATAGAGGTTCGATCAATCGATTTTCTTTGTAGTGTTGGTAGTAGCACATACTCAAAGAATTCCTTAGGTTGGAGTAATAATTTATCGCCGTTGAAGTTGCATATCATGGTATCATACGATTCGAGAAGAATGGGGATATTGGTGTCACGTACCTAAGGAAAAAAAAAAAAAAAAAAAAAAAGAGAAAGAAGAAAAATCATCATTGAATATCAAAGTATATATGTCCATTCATTTCTGATTTTTTACCCTTTTCCAACAAGAAAGTAGGAAAGGCGCCAATGAATCCAGTTCAGCACATTGAGATCTGTTATTTACCAATGCCTGCAAGACATGCCCCAATAATGTTCGGTCCTCAGGAAATCGTCGAAGCATACAGAGGTCTCCCATCTGTTCAAGGATTGGCACTACCAATTCATGTTGACCTTTCTTTTCAGCACATTGAGACACTAATGTTTGTACAACCAAGTAGGGAGAAAACGCGGCAATCTAATAATAATAATAATAATAATAATAACGTAAACGATGTTGTTGATCAGTTGTAATATTTCCTCGGCTGATACCTTTCATCCATTTTTTTTTTTATTACCTTGGTCAGCTGTTCAAGAATATCTATTTCCACAGGATATGAGTTATTGCCGTCTGGTTGATTGTGTACGAGTTGGTTGCAACATTTCTGTAATAGTTGAAAATCAGTAAATAATTCCTTTGTCTGAGCCTTCAATTCAGGTGGATCCGACGGAAGTATCCTATATTGTTGTATATAAAAAGCACGTTGTAAGATATTCATTTGATTACAATGTCGATTCATTTCATAACGATTTTTACCTTTCACTGTAAGTGTCATATATGAGTTCCAGTAATTCATTGACATGCATTTGTTGAATAACCATCTGTACCACGCTGCTAAGGTCGTTCTATCCAAAACATCCAAAAAAAAAGAGAAGTAATGAGTCGCTTCTATTCATGTACACTTAGTATCTTAGGTGGCACTACTAACCAATTGTCGTTCTGTAATAGGAGTTTCATCAAAATCATCATATCGAAATTGAATAACACGGTTGAGAAGGCGATATATTTCAGTCCAAAATCCAGCCATTACAATAAGATCTGCAAAAAGTTTCTGACATTCTTGATCTTCCAACACCCTAACATAATGAAAAAAAAGAGATTGTTAAGTTTCATTCATTGTTGCCTTTTTATCTCTTCCTTTTTTTTTTTTTTTTCTTTTACCTAACCCATAGATCAGCAAACTGAGTCATCGCCTTAATAATTGATTTCCACGATCCATGCAAGTCACGTAATGATATTAAACAAGATTCCATACAAGCAATGAGCGATGACGATATATCAGTCTTATTGTTGGCATTGGTTGACGAGTTCAAATGAGATAAAAGCAGGTTGTTTGTACTGATCCACTTTTCAACTTGTTCTTGTCTAGAAATGATGGTTCCATTGTATCGTATTAAATAGAAATCCATATTATCCACAGGTCGACTTGCTACAGAGTTCTTCCAAATTTCTTTACAAATTAATTCAAAAGCAATTTCATGTCGTCGTCGAATTGTCTCATTTTGAAAGGATGTTTTGTTCCATAATTCCATCATGTTTTCCTCAAGGTCGTTGTCACTACAAAGAAATAAGGTTAAGCAAGTCAAGTAACTAATATCAGTAGCTATTATTCTCTTCCAATTTTCTGCTTGTTGTAAAAAATTACCGAAACATGTTTGAAGTAACGTTGATAGTAATTATTTTGTCAGTTGGTGAAGTAACTTTTGTTGCTGTCATTGTAGTAAGATCGTCCAAGTTTGCGTTGGAGAGCATAGAATTGTATTTTTTATCAATAATATCCATCAAGTTGCTCCAGGTAAGTCGCAGGTGTTTGTCGATAGTATGTGGTGCAAGAGAGTAAAGAAGATCAAGCAGACGGCAATACCAGATGCATTGATAGGTTTCTAGTTGATCATCTGACTTGAAAGTAAGATAAATGATGGAAAACAGTTGCTGGATCAAAGTGATATCTAGAGAAAAAAAAAAAGGAGGCATGAATACGGTAAGAGAGGTAGATATATTCTTTCATATTGTGTGACATCAATACCTGGTTCATGTTGTCTGATACAAGTAAACAAAGGGTTCATAGCATCAACAAAAGTTTCTTCAGACTTTATGGTTCGACATAACCGGAGGTAAGTAGGCAAGTAGTAGTACCGTCTTGAGATTTCTATATGGGGTAGTAGTTCTTGAAAGGACAATATGGCAGTCTTAGAGAAAAAAAAAAGAAAAGAAAAGGAGTGGTAAGTATATACATATAAGGAATATCCTTTTTCTAGTATACTCACTTGGGAATCTAGTTTGTACATAAAGGACTTGAAATTATCTGAGAGGTTTAGCCGTTCAATTAGTTGATAATATTCGCATGGTAGGATGCCACGGGAATATCTAGAAACTGAAAAACAAGTCATTGCCTCTATTTTAAAGAAATACGCGCAGTTAGTAAAATAATAAGTAGATTTGTTTCATAAAATTACCTGATCGTCTATTCCAAGCATGAAATAATACAGAATGACAAGCGTTCAAAACTTCTGGAAAAGACAGTCGAGTCATGTCATGATCGTAAGTAAGAGTTGATTCTAAGGATTGAAGAATGATCTCGGTGGTGGATCTATATATACAAAAAGATCATTAGAATATGAGAATTAAAAAAAAAAGCTCTCTTAGTGTCACCTTTGATTCAAGTTTTCAAGACTATTTGTTATCCTTTCTAAAGCACCATTGATATCCGCCTAAAAAAAGAAACATGATCAATATGTATCAATAATCTTAAAAACTTTGTGAAGTACCTGAAACAAATGCTCCATGTAGAAGAATAAGCTGAATATATTTTTGGAAGAAAAAGTGCACTTTCTCGTTCTCCCTTTCCATGCTTTTTTTTTGTCCCCCAGCGGAAATCGAAAACAACATGTCCAAAAGTAGCCAAAAAAAAAAAAAAGCTTTTTTAATAGTTGAAAATATCTCGATCATCGTTTCCATCATTACTATGATATGATCATTATCATAGCATTAAATGAGTGTATGCAAATAGAATCATCTTGAAAAATAAATCACAGAAAGTATTATCTTCATAGAATCGTTCTTTGTCATAGAGATTATCATTATATAAAAATTATCGTTTTCATAGAGTAAACTATACTACAATCATCATCACTACAGTATTCTATCCGATGGATGAAATATAAAAGAAAAAAAACCAAGACGCGGTAGTCACCAAACTCTAATGTAGGCGGGGAGCGAAAAAAATGCTATTTAAAACCTTTCGCAAAATGCTTTTTTTTTTTATTTCTTCCTTTCTTTCTCTTATTACTTTTATATATATATTGATCATTTTTTGAACTCATGCGCGATTGAAATAAAGTTTTTTTTTTTTTGTCAAAAATTAATGTAAGTATAAAAGAAATCAATTATCCTATCGGAACCATCTCCGTAGTTTCAAACTTCTCATCTTTTCTCCTTTCTTAGTTAGATCATACCAACAGAAATATGCGTTCTCTATTATACAATGTAATGAAAAATTGACAAAAATCTATCAAGATTATTGATATTTCTTTTTTTATATAATGTAGTTTATACCACTTGTTACTCTATTGATGATTGACAACTGTTATTCAGCAGATACTAAAGTGAAATATTATCATCAATACAAACGATCATCAGTACCTCCAGTATCAAAACCAACAGTAGTTATTGTAAATAGACAAGAAGAAGGGATCGCTCAGCAATTAAACAACTTGGATGTAGTGACTTTAACCTCGAATTTTATTGTGACACAAACTAGTACTTACTATTCCATTTCATCTTCGATTACAACAATTGATCATCCATCAACGACTTCCTTAGCAATAGGCAATAACAACAACGGCACTTCAACTACCTCGTCAGATACTACCATTTTAGTTGGATCACTTGTCGGAGGCTTAAGTGGTTTGATTCTTATAGGTACTTTGGTATTTTTACACTTTATACGTGTGTCACCTGACAAACTCATTGACGGATGGTTTCTTTTTTTTGTCTTGTTTTCTCTCTTTATATAGGCATAGGGCTATTTTTATTTTTTCGAAAACGCGATCATCAATCATCAGGGCCGACGTATTCTATTAACAAGGATATGGATGAAGATGGTGGTGGATTCAGTCGATCATCTTATTCACGATTTGTTCCTCCTCATCTTGTATATCAACAGCAACCAATAGCCTCCTTATCAACACCTACGACAACTACTTTAACTTTATCAGATCAACAACAACATCGTCAGTCCTTTCCTTATCCTTATCATCCTCAACCATCTGATGACCCTACCAATTATTACGATACCACCATACCCACTACCGAATTTACCTACAACGACAATACAAGACATGTTCCAGATGAGATCGACTCATTGCCTCGAATGGACCGGCATGTTCCAAATTTGGTTGATTAGGTACCCCTCCTTTTTTTTTTTTTTTTTTTTTTTTTGATCATGTACAAATAAAGACTGCATCCTTGTTTTATCATATTACCAAGAACTTCCTTTTTAGATATTTCTCTTTATATATGATGATATATGAATTCAACTAAGATATATATATATATATATATATATATATAGATATTTGTTTGTGTGTGTGAGAGAGAGGGAGAAAGGGTGACTATATAAATAACCTTGAACGACGAAAAAACACAACAACTAACCAGCATAATAGAATGGAAAATGGATGAAGGATGATAGTAGAGGAAGCACTAGAGGTAGATTCAGAAGGAGAACGACCAATAGCAGGAGCCATTCCCATACCAATACGTAACTCAGCCTGATTATTATCACTATCTACGTAGACCACTGTAGGCTCTGTTGTTTTAGTGGCAATAGTGAATACAGTAGGATGATGCTGAGTGCTTGGTGTATTCTGTGCTCCATATTTGCTATCGATGCCACCACCATTCTCCTCATCATCACCATAGTAACCATTATATATCCCATTGTCATCATAGTAGCCATAATCATCGTAGTAATCATGATTGTTCTTCTCATCAGCATATGAAGGGAGTAAAGTGGATGATGGAACAATGGATAATGATGTTGATGGTACTGCTTCTGATGATAACGTTGATGATGATGGTGATGTTTCTATTGTATCTGTACTCGTTTTGGGATGATCATCATCATCATCATCATCATGGGAAATCGTTTCATGATGATGAGTTTTCTTTTTGCGTTCTTTTCTCTCTTTTTCTTCCTTATGAAGTTTTTTCTTTCTTTTTCTTTCTTCCTTTTTCTTTCTTTTCTCCTCATCATGTTTGCCTATATAAAATATTATATGAAAAGGGAGAGATCAGTTTGATAGTTTCTTTACGATAAGAAGAATGATTCATCTTGATTTACTATCAGCCTTGATGATTGGATCATCTTGTCGAGTATCTATCATACATTTGGAACAAGAAATCAAAAAATACAAAATAATGAATGACTTTAGAAAGAAAAGTGACCTTGTAATAACAATATTCTTTTTTTTTTTTTTTTTTTTTTCAAATCTTCACCTTGATCAGGCAATAAAAATGATTCTGGTTGCATCATCAAGTCTTCTTCTTGTGGCACATATGGATCTTTTTTCGCAGATGATGATGGCAATGGTAATGATGGTGATTCTAAGATGGAAGCTGGATCCTCTTGTTGTTTTTGTTGTTGGTCTGTCGATTCTGAGACTACTTGTTCATCTAAAACAGTTTGTACCAGATCTGTTTCTAATTGGTCAGGAGTGATCATAATTTCTTGTAAAGAGCGATCATCTAATGTATCATTTGTTGCGGATATTTCTCCTTTTGGCATCACCTTTTCGTTTTCATCTACATCTATTTCGATAGGAAATGGCATCGATGCATCTACCCATTTATTATTATTATACCAAAATCAATAATAATAATAAATAGTAATCATCATCAACATTAGTACCTTTATATTTATTGAGATCAATCTACCATTCTTCTATCTCACCTCGGTTCCGATGTAAGAATATTCTTCGATGATTGTCTATCATTGATTAATAGAAGACGTACAGAGCGTAATAAAAATCACAACAAGAATAAATCAAGAAAAAAAAAAAAAGAAGAATGAAAAAAAAAGAGCAGTTTCTTTTGATATGATTGTTTTTATTGGTATATCAAATTTTTTGCTTCGGAAACAAAAAAAGAAAATAAAATAAAAAATGAAAGTAAATATATGTTCATGCATTCCCTAAATATGTATACACTATCACCAATCCAAGTCTTCCTTCTTGATCAACTTGTTCCCTACATCATCTTCACTTTTGATAAAATAGATAGATTCCGCTTTGATTTCATCTTCAGCTTGTTTGATATCCAAAGCGATTGTGTCTTGTCCATCCTGAGTTTCTTGTTTCTTGATAACTGCTTGATGTTGAGATCTGTTCAGCTTGGTTACCTTGATACTGGCTGAAGGACATGATTCCACCACTGGACATTCACCACATCGAGGACCTCTTGGTAAGCATACGATTTGACCAAATCCTACCAACATTGGATTGATTTCACGCCAGTGTTCTTTTGGCAACCATGATTGTAAACTCTTGAGATTCAAAATAAATAAATAAAAAAAAAAAGGGAAGATAATCAATAGAATAGAAGTTAGTCATAAAAAAAATGGTGTGCCCAAAAGAAAAGTTCCGACTTTTTTTTTTTTTTTTGACTTACAAGTCTTGTATCTTCAGGTCCCCCTTTTTCTGTATGACACCATCCAAGTCGATTGGCAATACGATGAACATGAACATCCACACCTATTCCCACGTTCCTATGGATACATGTACATTATAAGAACCAATTTTTTTTTTTTTTTTTTTTTTTGTGATCTATCTTACTTTTGCCAAGCACACTGTAATGCCAAATAACCCATTTTCGGTCCTATTCAGAAAAAAAAAAGATTAGGGGAAATAGTCCAACATATATAATCATGCTGATTTTTTTTTCTATATGTCTTTACCAACACCAGGTAATGCTGTCAATCCTTCAATTGTGTCGGGAATATCACCGTCATACTGATCTTGTAATATGATTGCTGCTTTCTTGATATAGGCTGCTTTTTTGGTATGGAAGCCTACAGAGCGTATGTAATAATCAAGAGTGCTTTCATCAACGGTCAAAATACTTTGTAGAGAGAGTCCTCCAGGAAGATCAGCTTGTAAAGATTTGACTGCTGCGCTGGTAACAGTATCCTTCGTTTGCGATGAAAGCATTAGGGCCACCAAAGTCTGGAATCGTTGTTGTTTAGCCGGTACATCCCTCTGTGCTAGTCGTTCACATCCCATGGTATCCACCACTGCAGAATGATGTTGTCTATATTCCTTAATCTTGGTAAAAGTATCATTCCAGTCAAGAGGAGCACCATGTTGCTTTTTTGCGTTCTTTGTCGGTTTCTTCTTCACACTTGTTGTGGATGTAGTCACAATTGTCTGTACATTTTCCATCGTCGTCGTTGTATCGTCTTCCTGTTCCTTTTTGACTTTTGATCGACGAGTAGAAGAGGAAGGTATTGATAATGAGGATGTCACATGCTTTCTTTTTCCTCGTTGTCGTTCTGGTGTTGTTGTAGCGGTAGACGATGACTTGGCGATAGAGTTGACAGTTGTACTTGCTATCCTTGCACTTCGAAGTTTCATTCTATTTTGTTGGACTCGTGAAAAAAAAAGAAAAGTAAGAAAATCAAACAAGAAGACAAAAGATGTTTGGGAAGTGAAAAGCAGTAAAAAAAAAAAAAAAAAAAAAAAAAAAGCGGCATTTGAACTGTCATCATTGTTCCATGGTACAATCTATTTGACGTGAGGTATTTTATTTATTTTTTTGTAATGTCTATAAAAGATATAAAAGATACACTATAATGGTACACTAGCTACAATTCATTAACCAACAAATGCTAATTCTTGAACACGATTAGGAGCAAAATCATCTTTGTATTTATCCCAAATTGCTTGAAGACTATTCATATACTGAGTATGGAGGTCTTGAACGACATTATCCTTTTCTTCATCAGAGACATTTGAAGGAGGATCAATAGGATTACCAACTAATCAAAAAAAAAAAAAATTAAAAATAAAATAAAATCAGAATGTCTTTACAAAATAAATAGAACAACTTAAAATTTCAAGCATACTTACAAACAACATTCAAAGGTTTACGGTGAGGCATCAATCCAATATCATCTATAATAATAATAATAATAAGTTAATTATCCTTTTGTTCTTTTTTTTTTATTTATTTTTTATTTCTTACAATTAAAAATGCCTCTTCCATGGAAAAGAGGCATAGTAAAACCCAAAGCAGCTTGAATTCTTTTTTGTAAAAGCCATAACCAAGAACCTTGTTCGCTTTTGATTTGATCATAAATATCATTTTCACCAAAAGATAAAACTGGAACCAAGCTAGCACCTGTTTCTACAGCAATTTTCACAAAACCAAGACGTTTCTTCAGAGTCAGATCGATAATACCAGGGTAAGCATGTAAAGACTCAGTAGCACCACCCACAACAATAGCAATAGAACGACCAGTTCTTTGTAAGATATATTTGCATGATTTTCGAGAGACAGAGCAGATTCCAAGTGATAATAGATAATCCCGATGAAATGGCATTTTGAAATTGGAATGTAGAGTCATCAAATTAGTTTCAATACCAGGAAACTGTTGACTAAAACCATTGCCTTCAGTTGCAAAAGTAATCACTGCACCATATGCCAAAATACCATGTGGATGATATCTACAATAATAATAATAATAATAATAGTGTTAGAAATGGATGGATTAAATGATACCTTTTTTTTTTTTATTATTACCCAAATATATAATTTTTGCTTGGATCCAAGTCTGATTCCTAATAATAATAATAAAAAAAAACAAAGAGATGAAAGTTAAACCAATTCTCTTTACTATTTTTTTTTTCTAATTTACCTTGATAATATTGACAGGAAAATATTCAGCAAAATATTTCCAAAACTTGAGACGACGAACCCATTCAATTCTTCGTCCACCACGAACAGGAGCTTCATCCTTAATAATCCAAATCACATAAGCTATTAAAATAGGCCAAAGGAATGGTATTGTCCAAAGAAATATAAAAAAGCCAATGACTACTGAAGGTTCAATACCATAGATAAGAGTAGCTAATGTTTGTAATCGTCGTTCTAGAGGTACATTGAGTGGTGCCATACGAGGAAGTCGTGAAGTGAATGTTTCTTTATGTTCTGTTAACGAATATTGTTTCGAAGTTGTTGTATCATTCATTATCAATTATAAAAAAATATGCAAAGAAAAAAGAGAGGGAAAAAAAAAGTATAAAAGAAAATTATAGGTAGTTCGGTATCCGAAATCATAGAAAAAGTATTGTCCTTATGAACAAGGTAAAATAGTTAAAAAAAAAACTATATAAATCATCATGTTTAATAAAATAAAAAGCATAATTATTGTTAATTAGTTTATATAATAAATAAAATTAAAATTTTATGATTTTATTATTAAAGTAACATAACTACTGGATTCTTTAAACATTAAAAAAAAAAAAATCATCTCGCTAACGATTTCACATGGGTCGCCCATCTAAAAAAAAAAAAAAAAAAAAAAAAAATCACATTTCTCTCTTCTTCTTTTTTATATCTTTTTTCTTTCTTATTTTACATATTCATCTACAACTTTATTAGACCTTTTTTTTCTTTTCTGACCTTTTTCTTCTTTTATAATGGGTTCACCCGAACATTCTCCAACAGAAGTTGATGATCATGATGATTTATTTGATAATGACTATGATGTTTTGGACGAATGGACAACATCTTCTGATACTTTACTTTCTGAAAACGACTTTGATATGATTGACCGTTTATCAGCAGCACTAGATCAAGTTACACATCAACTTAATGACAAACAACGAGAACTAGTACAAAAGTCGTCAGCCTGGACAAATAAAACACGCGATCGTATTCGACAACAAACCAAGAAACTCGAAACACGACGGACATTGTTAGAACAGAAACTCGTCAAACAATATGAATCTATCAATGCAAGGATGAACAAGGACGCAAAAACTGTACAACTTCGAGATAAGGTATCATTTGTAGTGGGTGTGGGTAATGCATGTATCACTCCTGCCTTGACTGCTCGTGTACCTCAATGGATTCCTCTCTACTATACCATCCAGTCACTTTATCTATTGTCCCTTCGTTTTGTAGTGTACAAGTACCGACGTTGGCATTATTTTATTTTTGATTTATGCTACTTTGTCAATGTATTGGTGTTATTTTATCTTTGGGTTTTTCCTGGTTCTACTTATTTGTTCTATGCTACCTATACCTTAACCAGTGGACCTGTTGCTTGGGCTATTGTCACTTGGCGTAATTCTTTGGTCTTTCATTCCTTGGACAAGGTTACCTCTGTCTTTATTCATATTTTTCCTGCTCTTGTGACTTATGTGATACGATGGTTACCCGAACTACATCCTGATACCCCTGCTGGCACCTTGTATCGTGACCAACATTTCCCTGCCCTGAAAGCTTCCTTATCTGGTAATATCGTCATGTCATTCAAGGATTGTATGGTCAGTTCCACCATGGCATATCTGATTTGGCAAGCACTCTATTTCGTCTTTATTATGGTAAAACGTCGTGAAAAAGTGGAATCTGGTTTACGTGTCACTTCTTATTCTTGGTTACTGAATGATTCTGGTTCGACTCACAAGAAATCATTTATCCAACGTGCTGCATTTATCTTTGGTCCTCAATATAAGGCATATATGTTTATGTTACTTCAACTGATTTACAATTTGGTCACCACCGTACCTACCTACTTTATGTTCAAGCACTTTTGGTTACACACTTTATTCTTATGTACTATGTTTGGGGCCAGTGTCTGGAACGGTGCCAACTATTATATCGAAGTCTTCTCTCGTCGATACCTGATGGAAATCGAACAAGGAATAGTAAAAAGAAATGTGGTTGATCAGGATCAAAACAAAACAAATGTGGAAAATAGGAAAACGACTTGACGGTTTGGATGCTTTTTATTGGATGATCACATTTTTGTAGTTTAATTTATAAAGTTGTTTTTTTTTTTCAATAAAGATATTCTATTTTTTTTTTTTTTATTATTATTTATTTATAGTTAGCCTGTGTGATGGATATTGATATGATGGTACATACAATGTAATGATGAATGATGATATGAAACCAATGACGAATTGTGTAGATGATGAAGGATATCAATGAAATATGTTACTATGGACCAAAGCGGGAACCTTTTATCTTGACAGGTTTGCAAATGTTATTCAAAATGAGTCAATATAATTATGATGATGAGAATGATAAATATATATCATTTTGGTTTATTTTGTAAACAACATAGGAAACAAATGTCAATAAAAAAAAATAAAAAAAAAGGTATTCTTTATTGAGATTATAAACCAAATATATATATATATATATATATGCTAAGAATCAACATCTATCTACATTCCTTTGATATATTCAGGGTGAGCAACAAAGACAGCTTGAGCAGTAGCAATGATAGCTTCCAAAGCGGCCAACCAGGCTTTCATCACAGCAATATCATCAGAGGATTGAACATTGATCTTTTCATAAAAATCCTTTCTATAAGGGCATGCCTTCATTGCCAACTATATATATATAAAGATATCGTCAGTTTATCTTATCATCAACCATCCTTTTACTATTTTTTTTTCTTTCAACTTACAGAAAAGACAGGACGCACAAGGATACCATGGAATTTCTTCAAGGTAGCTTCATAAGATTTGGTGAAGGAAATAGTGAGTTCTTCAGTTTGATCAGAAAGACTACGACGTAAAGCTTGAGCAGTGAAATCCAAACCGCGGATCAACCATAATAAACCTTCAGTGGCAACACGTTTCTTTTCATGAGCTTCATTAGCCAATAAGTTTTCCAAAGTATCATTGGCAGTAGGATTTGAGAGATAACGTGTTCTGATTTTCTAAATTCATAATAATAATAATAATAATAATAAAATAGTTAATATCTTTTATTTTATAAAAGACAAGACCTATCTCTCTATGCCGTTGAAACTCGTTGTTTGTTTTATTTACCTTGATATTACCATTCATATCATTTTGAACAACAGTAAATGCACTTGAGCCAAGGGAATCTTTTTTTAATAATAATGATAATAATAAAAAAAGTTGTTAGGACAACAACAATATAGATGATGACAACATATATATTATCTTACCAAATAATTTCACCACACCTTCAGTGGCGTCAAGGAATTGAGCAGTATCAACACCTTTTGAGGTATCAACATCAACATAGGAACGAGTGACAGTATGGAAATAAGTAGTGGAAGCCATTATAAATTCTAAGACGGGATTGTAGATAGATGAAAAGAAGAAGAAGAAAAAAAAAAAAAGGTCGAGACAATGTAACTAAAAATTTGAAAAACGTGTACCGGAGATCCAAATCGAATTAGAATCAAAAAAGGGAAATGGACAATCATTGGCTGTCATACAGGACGTTTTTTTTTTTTTATTTTATGTCTTGGGGACCGAACACACCTACAGAAATTGAATGACGATGATGCTGAGCCCATAAAAAAAAATCCTGCTGTCATACCAAATTGGTAATAGTTTGTACAAATTCGCATAATAACTCAATTCAACATGGCAATAGTATTACAAAAGAATTGGTTAAATGGTTCATATCACGTGTATACCTTTTCCATTGTTGTAGATAATTTTTCCTTTTCTCTTTTTTTATATAAATTGTCGGTGTTTGATAAATTCTTTCCTCTTTCTTTCCTTCTTTTTTTTTTTTTTATTTTTCCTTCAATAGACTCCTCTTTTTTTTTTTCTTCAATAACATTCTCTTATTATTTTTATTACCGACTAATACAACTAATAATAATAATAATAGTACAATCGATCTATACAATATTTGCATGCTATAACAACAACAACAATAATAATAACAATCTACTTAATGTCTTTCACTTCAGTACTGCCATTAGATCCCCACCATTTCGGACTATTCAACAATAATGGTACCGTTTATGATTTTAGTCAGCAAGACAATAAAGATGCTTATGGCAAGGAATTCTGGATCGGCATTGGTGTCTCCTTTTGTACTAATCTTATTCAAGCATTTGCTATGGCCTTTCAACGAAAATCACATATATTAAATGATCAACTTTATCCGGTCGAGTTACGGAAACCTTCTCTTAGACGACCTATGTGGGTAGCTGGGTTTGCAACTTACTTGGCAGCCAATATCATTGGTTCGGTGTTTTCCATTGGCTACTTACCTATCGTTATCTTGGCTCCCATTGGTGCTATGGGTCTTGTCTTCAATGCTTTGGCTGCTAGGATAGTTTTAGGTGATCCTTTCTCAAAAAGAAGTATCGCAGGTAAAAAATTTATATTTATAAATATATCTTTTTGGGAAAATAGGAGCCAAGGAAAGGGATATGATGAAAATAATAATGATAATGATAGTGAATATACATATATATATATGTGTGTATTCATTGTTTATTTATCATTACTTTTTATTAACCATCATTATTATGCAAGAAAAAGGAGGAAAATAGAACTGAAAAAGGAGGAACAAGGAAAAAAAAAACAAGGTAACTAATCTATATTATATTCTAGGTACTCTACTTATCGTTATTGGTGCTTTACTTGTTGGACTCTTTGGTGTGATTCCTGAACCTGATCATGACATTGACGATCTGATTCGTTTATACAAACGACCTGCGTTTATTGCTTATTTCAGTGTATTAGAAACATTTATTGTCACTACAATTCTCCTCAGTCATTATGCAGAATCTATCTATTATCGAATTGAAAGGTCAGGTTTTCAACATGGTGGCAAGTGGTTAGGTCAATGGATCAGTCCTGCTGATTTCAAGATGTGTATTGGTATCAGGTAAAAAAAAAAAAAAAAAAAAAAAAAAGAGGAGGGATGACATGGGAAGGTGACTAAGAACTTTATTTTTTTTTATTAGTTTTGGTGTCATTGCTGGTAACATTAGTAGTCAAAGTATGTTATTTGCTAAGAGTGGGATTGAACTTATTATACTGACAGTGGTGTTCAAGCTTAATCAACTTCAATATGCCCTTACTTGGATTCTTTTGATTATGATGGTAGTTACAGCTATTCTTCAGGTTAGTAAGATATACACATGATTCCATTGTTTCATTTATTTGTTTACTAATTATGTATGATTTGTTTAGCTCTATTATCTTAACAAAGGTCTTCGATTATGTGATACAGTGATTTTGATTCCTCTTTCTTCTTGTGCCTTCAATGTCTCCTGCCTCTTTAATGGTCTTGTCTATTACAATCAATGGAGTCGACTCTTTTGGTGGCAACTGCTCTTGGTCATGCTTGGTGTAACCATCACTATCTCCGGTGTTCTTTTATTATCATGGCGATCAAACAGTTGGGGTCATCATGGTCCTCAAGTTCAAGAGGATACTGTAGTTCAACAAGAATATCAACATTCATCATCTTCAAATCCTTATTATACTACCATTCCTAGTGATGATGATGATGATGATGAAGAAGAACATGATTTTTGTAGCTCAAGTGTCCAATCTGAATTACGCCCCACTACTCCTCCTACTTCTTCAAGTCCTACCGAAAAAACTCACCTTTTACGCAAGAAATAACCTCATCCTCTTCATTTTGTAATTATATTCCTACTTTTTGTTTGTATATTTTTTTTCCCCATTTCACCTCTTATTATGATAGACAATTACTTTATTATTACTTATATTTCCTCTTTTTCTCTCCCTCATTCATTGACCTACAAATAAATTTTCATTTTTGCTTATCTATTTTTATCGTGAAGAATTCTAAATAAGTTTGTTCTCAAAATAAACACTTCATTGCTTTTTAATAGGATTTATTGTTCAATTGTCCATATACTGAGATTCATTCACATTTATTGGAAATAGGATACACCATCTATATTTATTCACACTTTAATACCATCCATACAATCACTATGATAACCAAATATGCATATATATATATATATATATATCTCAGCGGGGGAAATCCATTCTGTAAGTCTAGAAAGTGAACTGCGGAAAATAGGGGCTGTACATGATACGCCTTTTTTTTGCAGCCCCATAGATACAACAATGTGGTACAAATCAAACTCCTCGATAAACGTGGAACTTGCATGATCCATTCCATTGTTTTGTTAGCAGGAAGAAGAAAAAAAAAATACACCACTCTTTTTTTTTTTTTTTTTTTTTTTTGTTAGCACCATCACTTTCTTCTACAACTTCCTTTCAATTAAATTTGTATTCATGCTCTTTATGGGAAGTTCATGATCCAACAATCGTTTTCATTTCTTATGCTTGGCTGTTTAGGAGGGACTGAGGAAAAAAAAAAAAAAAAGAGTAGGCAAACACTTACTAATCTATTTTTATTATTGAAAAATAATGATGATTATAAAAAAATAAAAGGTGTCAAATAGTAAGTATTGTCTAACAAGTATCAAATCTATCTAATCTATTTATCTATCTAATCATAATCATCATTTCCATTCATCGTCATCATCATCATCATCCACTTGTGCTTGTACCCTTCTTGCTCGAATCTAATACATATACATATATAAATAAAAGTAAAATGATAAGAATACAGATGGGTATATAAAAAAAAAAAGAGAGATACTTACAGCATCAGCTAGAGAAGTTGCTTGAGAGTTGGTCACAGGAGGAGAAGGTGAAGAAGATGATCCAGGACGAGATGGAATTTGTGGTTTATTGGGAATAGATGGCTTCATAGGGATTGAAGGTCGTCCCGCACCACTGATACCATTGACAGTATTATTTCTTGCCGCTAATTGTGCTTTCCATGCAGGTACACCGTTACTTTGACCACTGATAGTAGATGATGGTGGTGAAATTTGTTGAGATGGAGGTCTTCGTGCAGGTGCTGGAGGTGGTGCAGGTCGTGATACTGGAGGTGGTGTATATTCTTCCAAATAATTACTAGGTACCCATCCTTCTTTACCTTGGTATTGAGCAAGCCACCAACCTAATACAGAAAAAGAAAAATATTATTATTGTAGCTATATTTCTCCTCTAGGTTTGTAATTTTTTTTTATTTTTTTTGTTTACCATTTTCATCCTTTTCCAAAATTTCAAGTATATCGCCTTTTTGGAAAGTGATTTCGCCTTCTTCAGCAGATTGGAATGGATATATTGCCTTGTATTGTGGTAAAGTAGGTTTAGATGGTGGTGGCGATACGACAGCACTTGGAGGTGGAGGTGGAGCTGGACGTCTCTGTTGTTGAGAAGGACTAGGAACAACACTTGATCGATTGCCAATATTTGATATGGGAGGAGCTACCGGACGAACAGATGATATCGTAGATCCACTTGTAATAGGAGGTGGAGCGGGCCGATTATTACCTGATGAAATCATGGGTGAAGGTCTGTTGGTGGTAGGAAGAGCAGGAGCTGGTCGAGATGATGATGGTTGTTGTTGATAACTAGTACGTTGATTTCCAGTGGGTACAATAGGTTTGGACACTGGAGTAGGTCTTTGTTGATTTCTTCTTGCTCCCATTGATGTTGATTTCGTAGCTAGCATTCCAGCGGATTCTATATTAGATCAGAATATAAGTATAAAATAGAGTCAGTATATATGCTTTTCGTCTTTTCGTATCTATCATTCTTACCACTTGAAGCAGGTTCTCCAGTAGGCACACGAACGACATGACTCTTATAAACATCATCTCGTCTAACAGTTTCATCTTTGATGAATTTCATCACCACTGGTTTTCCTCCCTTTTTGTTGTATTGAATTTGTTGATCGACATTCAATTGAATCTTGCCACCGGATTGTTGTACAATGTGAGCTGCTACTTCAGTTTTGAATATACAAGATAGAACAATATCACCATCAGGAGAACCATTAACATGAAGAATAATCCAATCATCACGGAGTGTCGAGGTACTCATACTTTGAATTGAGTTGAATGAGATTACTTTTTCATCCATCATTTGTAAGGATCCACTAGATTTCGTTGTTACCAATATATGTACATTTTGATTTGTCTATGCAAAGATAAACAGAATCAGTCATTAAATATTTATTCAAAAATAAACATTGAGACTTACAATAATAAGGGTACGAGGACTAGGCACACTTGATCGCATAGCTCTTGGAACAAGCATACTACAGCGCATACTAAAAACAACTTCTTCATTACCTATATTGCATAAAATAATATTAATAATAATAATTAAGAGTCATTTGTTGTCACAAATAAAGAGTTATACTGATTACCTTGCAAGTTGATTGTATTCCGAATCATGCCTCCAATGCCAGATCCATTCTTGACATCCAAATAATCACCAGCAAAACGACGTTGACTGACAAGCGAAAATCTTCGACGTTCTTTTCGATGATCCAAAAGTTGATTTCCATAATCCCGTAATTGTAAATGGCCAATGCTGTGTTTGTTTAATCGCCAAAATCTTTGGATTCGAGTAGCCATATTATGCCAGTACTTATCACGAAGATCTTCCAAAGCAAAAATCTAAAAAGTAAAATTAAAAAAAAAAAAATAAGCATCCAAAAAAAAACAACATATACATATTGATTACCGTTTCAGGACGTCTGATAAATATCTTGGAGGTACCCATTTGCCAATCTGTAGGTGCAATATTATTATGTTTCAAGATTTCTTCGCATCCACTTCGAGAATCACCAGGCCAAATATAATCACCAGCATAACCCGTTGTTGGACATAATAGATAGAATCGCTCCACAAACTTTTCAAAGGTCTAATAATAATAATAAAAAGGTAAAAAAAAAAAAAAAATGAGAAAATGTCGTTTTCTTGCATTTCTTTTCTTTCTTTTTTTTTTTTCTTTTTTTTTTCTTTTACCGTTCTATAAGCAAATCCAGCTCTTCTAACGCGAATGTTTTCACATAATCCCAGATATTGAATTTGATGAAGGACACGTTTCTGATCATATTCTTTTGAACTTTTGCTATCGTTTGGTTTGATCGTTCGTACATAACTGGGATGGCATTGCATGAGTTTTGTCACCAGTGCATTACAAGAGGCTTTGATCTTATCACTTGCAGTAGGAGGTCGTTTTTTCGAATTAGGATCCACACGCTCTGAGAATAGGGTTTGAGAGATAAATGAGTTTTCTGAAGAGGCGGCCAAATCCAATAAATCTTTCAATAAGGAATCTTTGTTCTTGTCAGTAAGACCTTCCACGTTATACATTACATCACCAGCATAGTGTTTAATCAAAAACTTGTTTCCACGAGATTCAAAATGTTGATTAGTTGACAAGAAGCCTAATCGTTGGACAAAGGAACTATCAGCTGCCGAAGGATCAGCATGAGCTGTAGCACAAGCATCGTTGAGAGCAGCAAAAATGCCAGGAGGTCGTTTTTCTTCAATTAGATCGCATACCACTTTATTGTTGAAAAATTTGATAGGTGTCCATTCGATTTGTTCCCGTACATATTCATCTTGTTCCGCCTTGAGAGTCAATTCAATAAAGATTTGTTGGAGTTTCTCATTGACGTAGTTGATACAAAGCTGTTCAAAGCTATTGTCTTCGAAAATTTCAAAACCATAAATATCCAATACACCCATAACGCAGTTGACTTGTCCTTGAGCTTGTAATGAGACATTGATTCGCGCCACAATCCATTCAAACAACCGTTCATACATAGCTTTTGATAATGCATCACGTACTGAAACTGCTTGCACCATATTTAAAGGGACTTCATATATGCTTCCTATTTAAATCAAATATGAATAATGAATAAAACTTTCTTATATATATGTACATACATTCTTATATTAAATATACCTCTTCGTCCACCACGTTGAGTTTCCATTACCCGAACAGTCAGAGCTTTATAAAGGGCTTCAGCATCTACACCCAAGAGATAGGCGATGAAGTTCACCACTATAAATACATATATAAGGAGAGTTGTTAGTTACTAGGTTTATAAAGTATTGATTTGACTTACCATCCATATCCACAATAGTAGCATGACCCTCTTCATTTTCAGAGAAAACAACATTTCCCAACCAAAGAATACTAGCCAATATTTGAAAGATACAATCTTGTTCTGATTTTTGAAGTCCAATGATACCCATAGCATTCTATAAAATAGAAGAATATAAAATCTAAACTTTCATTACGTTTCATTACATCATTGTCTTTGCTTTAACTTACCACTGTTTCTTGATAATCTTTGATGTCATCGATACCATCTACATTCAAACAGTTGCTTTTGCTAGTATATAAGAAACTTTCAGGGCCCTGTAATCCAAATTGTTCTAATACATATATATATATATATATATATATGAGTTTTAATTAAATAATTGATTTTGATAAAATTTACCTTTGTATTCTTGAGGAGCTGCTTTTGTCAATTGATAAAAGATATGAAAGTTTCGTTCATTTTCGATCTGACCGACAACACGATTCTAAATATAATCGAGAAAAAAATAAAAAAAAAAGGAGGTAAAGTTATTTGCTACTTTGTTTAGACATCCCTCTTCTCTTTTATTACCAACCTTTTCTAATAAGTAATTTGTAATAATAGCACCAATCGGTTCACCTTGTGGATTGAATTGAATTTCCAAGTATTTACCCTAAATAAATAAATTAAGTTTAGTCGAAAATGTTTTTTTTTCCTTTCATCTTTTACAATAACAAAACTTACATGACGACTTGAATTATTGTTTCGTAATGTCTTTGCACATCCAAAGCTTTCCAATAGAGGATTTGTTGCCAACACCATGTCTTTTGTCTTTTGAATAGCCGAACTTTTACCACCAGAGACAGCAGCTATATATTGCATAATTCGTTTTGCTGCTTCAGTTTTTCCTGCACCCGATTCCCCACTAATAATAATACATTGATTTTCTTTGTATCCATTCATATGATGATAAGCAGCTTCTGCGATGGCGAATACATGAGGAGGCATCTATATAAATTTAAAGATAAAGTTAGTTCTATTTTTTTTTACTTCCACTGTTTAATTTTTTTTTTTTTGTTCATACTTCCAACAAGTTCTTTCCTTGATAACTTGTCAATATATCTTCAGCATAGATACCAAGGTCACGGAAAGGATTCACACTAATCAATACATGACCAATATAAGTCTTGATTACAAAAAAAGAAAAAAAAAGGGAAGTAAGTTTTCTTTTTAAATGTCATCACATAAATATCTTTTTTTTGTTGTATATATACTTACATAAATTTCAGCATTTTGCCACCTTTTCATCAAGTTATCGTTAATAGCTTCATTTGTAATTTTAGATAATAATGTCATATCTGAGACACCGACTTGTTTTTTCTTGGCACTATCCTTCCAATCCGCACGAGCAGGACGCTTAGCTGTGATGGCTTTCTTCCCAAATTTCTATAGTTTAACATAAAAACGAAAAAGAATATTAGTGAGATATATGTTTTATTGGATAAAGACGTTAATGATTGTATTTGACAAATGATATTATATAATATATAGTTTACCTTCATGATGAGTTTTATGAATGGTAAGTGGAGAGAAAGAAGAAAGAAGGAAAAAAAAAATAGAAGTGAATTTCACTTTTTAGCTCATTAGCTGTTATCAGCGGCGCCTCAAAACTGTTTTGATGCGTACAAGATCAACATATAAAACTTTTTCCTTTTTCTTTTTTTTTTTTTTTTTTTTTTTAAATCAAACATTATTATAAAAAGTGAATTCAAAGTTTAAATTTAACTCTTCACTATTACTTTATTTAAGAGATATAAAGGTTCTTTTTAAGGAAAGCAAATTAACTAGGTAATTTTTATGGATTTACGTTTTGAGTAATTGAATGACTGGATGATTTTAAGTCACAAATGATTGAATGAGTAAGTTATTAAGAGTTTGAATAATTGAATGGTTTTTATGAAATGAAAATGTAAATTCCGTGATAGATATATAGTGTCATCTTTTTCCATGACAATTTCAATTCATGATTTTGTCGTTATTACCATATAGAACAGTTCATACGGCTTCTTCACTTGAATACCATTCGTAGCTGGGTTTCAATGCCTTCGATACAGAGTAGAGCGCGTTTTTTTTTTTTTTTTTTCCTTTTTCCTTTTTCCTTTTTTCTTCTTTTTTTTTTTGTTGTTGTTGTTGTTTCTCTTTTTCTCTCTATTTTCTTCAAATCGTTATATTTTGTCTTTTCTAGTGTTTTATTTTATATATTACTTTCATTTTTTTCATAGCAAACATATACAACCATGGTAAACATCTATATTTTTTTTAATTCCATTTTATATGGATTATATAGATTTTGTTTTTTGTGAAACTAATAAAAGGCTTCATCTCTTTTTCTTTTTTTTCTTTTTTTTTTTTTTTTTTGTCTTCCTTTAGGCTGATCAACCAACTGAAGTTACTTCACAACCCAAGACTGAACGAAAAGAAGTTAAACAACCTACTGTATCTCAATCAGCTCGATCAGGTCTTCAAGTAAGTTAAAAAAAAAAAAGGAAAAAAAAAAAGAAACAAATAGCGTTTAGAATATCGGTAAAAACAAGAATGACTCAATCTACTTCGGATCTAGTTTCCTGTAGGTCGTATTCATCGGTATATGAAGGATAAAAGTCGTAGCAATGCACGTGTTAGTGCTAAAGCAGCAGTATATACAGCAGCTATCTTGGAATATCTCACTGCGGAAGTTTTAGAACTTGCTGGTAATGCTACCAAGGACTTGAAGGTGAAACGAATTACTCCACGACATTTACAGTTGGCTATTCGTGGTGATGAAGAATTGGATGCTCTTATCAAGGCTACTATTGCTGGTGGTGGTGTTTTACCTCATATTCACAGATCTCTTATTGGTACTCCCAAGTCTGGCAAGAAGGCTTAATCACTCTATTCAGATATCTTCCTTTTTACTAGTATATATTCCGTTTGCTTATATTCTCCTCTTCCCACGCTTATCTTTTCAATTTTTTTTATTTTAGTAGTAGCAGTAGTATACACATATATAGTTTTATGCGTCTTTAGTGAAAGTCATTAAAAAATCAACTCAAAAACTGGGTCCGAATCAACAATACAAAAAAAAATAAAAAAAAAAAAATTTTCGTTCTTTTTTTTTTTTTCTCTGCATCGTTTTCTTTTCGATTCTTTTTTCTTTTTCTATTGAGCAACCATGGAGATCCTCAAAAAAGAATTCGAAGAAGCATTACCAAACATTCGTGAAACTCTTTTGGAGGCTGATTTTATTGCTGTTGATGCTGAATTTTCAGGCAAGTTAACATATCGAGTTTCATTCTCTATAGAACACTTTTTAATCGATTTCAAGGAACTAATAGGTACGCATTGTGTTTTTTTTTTTCTTTCTTTCATATATATGTTATTTATTTAGGTCTTGCTACTAACGACGTCAAGTTTCAAAATGGGGATGATATTCAACAACGGTATAGCAAGATTCAAAGTCATGTACAAGCTTTCGAGATCGTTCAGTATGGTGTCTGCGCCTTCAAGAAAACAGATACTTGTTATGTAGCGAAACCATTCAACTTTTATGTATTTGGTAGCGATAATGACAATGTCCAAAGTCACCGTACTTTTCTATCCAGTGCCAGCAGCCTCTCATTCTTACGATCTAACAATTTTGACTTCAATAAACTGATCGATGAAGGTATTCCTTTTTATAACTACTCTGAAGAAAGAAGTCTATTTACAACAACAGGTGGATATAGTATTATTGGACGTCATCCTGTACTTGATGGTAAGTAGTCCTTTGATGATATAGAGAAACTATATCCATATGAAAAGAAAAAAAAAAGATCATAGTTTATTGATATGATTTATTTTTCTTTAATGATTTTTCATAATGTTTATAGATACAATCCTCAACAAACATCAACGACAATTTCTGGAAAACTTGCGAAATAATTTGGCAAATTGGCTTCAAAATGGAACAGGAAAACCTTTACTAGTCCCAACCAACAATGGTACACAAAGAAAACTCGTATATCAAGAAATACAACAAGGGTAAAAAAAAAAAAAAAAAAAAAAAAAAAAGATATATGGATGAATCGTTACAAGTTATTCTCATCATCATCTTTTTTTTTTATTATTATTATTATAAATATAGTCGATATAATGGATTCTTGAAGGCATCACCAAGAGATAGTCGAAATTTGGAAATTACAAAAATTGATGCTGCAGATAGATTTCAGAAATCGTCCAATGTAAGAACAATAGAATGATAATTTACTACCGCTAATCAATGTTTTGTTATTATAGTCACCGCAATTGAATTTTCGCCACGTAATTGAAGCTATACGAGACTCCAACTGTCCAGTGGTAATTCATAATGGAATGTATGATATCTGTCATACTGTTGATCAGTTTTGGCACAACTTACCGGAAAATGTAAATGATTTCAAGCAGCTTGTGGGCAACATGTGGAACAAGTAAGTGAATGATCATTATATAATATTCAGTTGGCTTTTATTGATATGATACTTTCTTTCTTCCTTTTTTTTTTTTTCTACTTTTTTATAGGGTTGTCGATACGAAGTATATGGCGGAATTCCATCCTATTTTAAAGGTAAAAGAAAAAAAAAATTCAAACAAATCGTTTTTGTTTAAATACTAACTTTTAACCTGATATTATTTTGATATTATTTATTCAGAACTGTTTCAATACCTCCGTCTTGGGATCATTATTCAACACAGTAGAAGAAGAATTACGAAAGGGTGGACATATTATTCGTAAGTCAATCAACATAAAAAAAAAAAGATTGGTAACATTTCCTAGGCTTGACATATATTTCTTTTTCAATACTTGAATAGGTATGGGTGATGGGTTTGATCGTTATTCTGTGAATGGAAGTCCTGAATCTTGTCACGAAGCCGGTTATGATGCATATATGACTGGTATAATCTATCTTGGCTTCATTTACTATATCAAGGAAAAAGAAGGTAAATGTTGATTTGAAAATAATCTGAATTCGTAACTTTAATATTCACTCTTTTTTTTTTTTTTTTTTTTTTTTTTTTTTTTTTTTTTTTTTTTTTTTTTTTTTTTAATATTATGATTTCCCTATTTTAGAAGAAGAATTGGAAAAAAGGACAGGTGAAAAGGGGGATATTCCTATAGATGGGAAATATGACAATAGTGATCAAACCACTACCAAGTCAACATCACATGTCACAAGTAGCAATCCTGAAGAGCTAAAAGTGAATAGCGAAGCAGGAACAACTCATGCGAAGGAACCAATCTTTTACGATACCTCAGTGACACCTTTTTACAACAAAATATTCTTGATGCGATGTGACAACCCATATATTGATCTACAAGGTCAAGAGATTACACGTAAGAGAAAGAAGAAGAAAAAAAAACATCGAAAACAACAGAGCATATAACAATCTTATTTGTTTACCATTTGATAGATGGCAATATTCAACGAAATCGATTTTTCTTGAACAATATCCCCACTGGATTAACAAATGCTGGTATAGAACGATTATATCCTGAAATACAACCTATTTATGTTTCATGGATCAATGACAATACAGCATGGATTACTGTCAAGCATCCAAACAAGATAGAATTGGTAAAATTGGGTATGTTAGGAATGGACCGTGTACGTGATTTTACTCGAAGTGGTACTCGTTATGTAGAAGGGGAGGCATTCCGTATTACTTCTCAAGCAGCTGAAATGGAATTATTAACTGGTGATCAATGGGAAGCTCTTCAACAAAATACTTCAACATCAACATATATCCAATCTCAGCAACAAAATGGCAAATCGACAACAACAGAACAATCAATTGTCTCATCTGATTCTTTGGAAAAAGAAGTATCATCCTCTGTGCCAAGTGGTGGTGCAAGTTATGATGGTAAGAAAAGAATAGGAAAAAACATGATAAATAATTAATACATGGTTATTCATTTTTATTTCATTTTTTTGATTTAGAATTTGATATTCCTCTTCCACCAAGTTTCCGTGCTACTAAACGTGAACATCCATCTTCCAATCAAGAAAAGGATACCAAGAGAAGCAAGGCTTAATGATAAAACGGTTTACAATCTCTTTTATCTCTCTATGTCTATAGTGAATTAGTTATTTCATTGATTATTATCTTCATATATATATATATATATATATTTTTACTTTAGCATCATTCATCTGTATAATAAATATGTATTTTTTTTTTTTTTGATCCATTCCATAAAATTATACTTTTTCATTGGACATTATATTGAAGTAGCGTCAATTTTTTTTTTTTTTCATGTTTTGTGGTTTTTCAAAAAATTTTCTTCCTTTTTCTCCCCTTAAATCTCCTTATCTAAATCTGACAAACTGATCATGTCTTCCTTGACCTCACTTTCCGTCAGTAAGTGAAAAATAATAAAGAATAATGTTTTTATAAATAGGTTAATTTTATATTATTGATACACATAGATAAAAACAGTACTCGATTCGCACCCAAAGTAAAAGCCAGACCAAAACGACCGCAAGGCAATAATACTTCTACAACAAATGATACAACTTCTACAGCAACAGATTTATCCTTAAACCAAACTAGTGATTCTACGCATGAAAAAGAGTTTAATCGACGATCATCTTTTAATACTATCAGTTTCAGTGCAACGAACAAAACCACCAATATCGATGGTGATAGAGAAAATAACATAGTTAGCAACACAAACGATACTACTATCAACAAAATACAGTTTGTCTCAACAGATTCTGTGACATCTAGGCGTCGTTCATCAAAATCAAGTCGAAATAATGATAAAGATAGCAACCAACACAATGCAAAGAAAGCAACTGCTATTATTCCAGGTGCCCCCTCATCTTCAGTAACAACTACAGTAACAGCAACAGAAATCACTAAACCTTCAACTGACAATGGAAAAGTACGAAGACAACCTTGTGTGATTCCTGCACCACGAACCCCTGGCGGTCCAGAAACTCCCAAAGCACCTGAGGAAGAAGATGATGAAGATTATTTTGAAGAGCCAACCTTTCTTCCAATGGATACTATGGATGACAGTAACATCAATACCAATAGTGGCAGCAATAACGACAATACTGAAAGCAAGAAACAAGAAACACCGACAAATATACCTAAGAAAGAAACTATGAACAAGATCAAGGCCGCCATGAAAAAGTCGGAAAAGGGAATATCTATTGCAACAAGTAGTCAAAAGCCCTCCAAATCACGGTCATCTGGTAGTTCATTTGAGGCACCTTCTAATCAACCTGATCAACGACGAAATGGGAAGAAAGTTTCTGTAACACCGGATGATGATGATGGCGACAGCAACTATGAACAAGAGGTGACGCCAAGAGCACGGAAACGGAACAAGAACAAGGATGATGATGATGAAAATACTGAGTCGAACAAAAAATCAAGCAGACGAAGAACAAAACCGATACTTTATGCCAAGGATATGAAGACATTAGATGATATTCAGACCGATCCTTTGCAACCTGAAGATTTGGATCGACCCATGTCCTATTTTATCAATGATCTCGCACGTGGGATTGTGACCAAACAATTCCGGGACGATCAGTTACGAAAGGAGGAAGAAATGCTACTACATGAAGAGGAATTGGCGGTGAAGAAGAATGATCCGGAGGTCATGGAGGAATTGCGTAAGAAGAAAGAAGAATTACAACGCCAACAAGACCTGGAGAAAGAGCAGGCTCTCAAGAAATCGAAACAAGATCATCAAGAAAAACAACAAGCATCCACTGGATTACAAGAATCGTAAAGTCAAAAAAAAAAAAAATAGAAAAAATCAAACATCAACTTATTCTTTTTTTTTTATTTTTATTTTTTTATTTTATTTTATTTTTTTTTTTTTTGTGGAAAAAAAAAAGAGCCACTGCACTTCAAGTTCGTTTGGTCAATGGACAAATTGTTTTGGATACTGATTCGATGCAAATTGATCGTCGCAGGGAACGGGAATTAATCTCTCATGAAGATATGGAAGTCGTAGAAGAAAATGCACATACTCGTCAAGTCAATTCTACCACTTATGGTAAAAGACAAAAAAGTGCCAAATGGTCAGCAGGTGAAACAGATCAATTTTATAAAGTAAGTGATATACCTTTTTTTTTTTTTTTTTTTTGTTAATTCTTTTTTTTTTTATATATAATTAGTTGTTATCTCAATTTGGTACGGATTTTGAAATGATTGCCAATATGATGAAGAATCGATCTCGGAATCAGGTGCGTCTCAAATACAAACGGGAAGAACGGGATCATCCTCAAAAGATCACGGATCATATTATTCGAAAACGACACAAAGTGGATTTGGATGCTTATCAAAAGGTCATTGGATTAGAATTTGAAAAAGTACCTGATCATTTCCATTCATTACAATTAGCGTAGTACCCGTCTTTTATTTATTGACTTTATCAATCTATCTATATTCCCCCCTTTATCCCTTGTTATTGATAGTGTCTTTTTTTTTTTTTCTTGAAAATAAAAGAAAATTTATTTATAAAAATGCTATATACAGATCAATTGTAAAAGAAAGAAAAGGGAATATCGATGTGTATAATATATCTGTGTTTATATGAATATGTATGCGTGTATATAACAGCTAAATAGATTGCGAGTCATCGAAGAAGAAGAAAAAAAAAAAAAAAAAGATAAAAACATAGAGATAAGGGATGTGTATAAAAATATGCATAAATAGATATATATTTGAGTATGAGTGTATTTGGGAGGGGAGTCAAAGGATTTATTGAAAAATCACTGTGTCTTGGTTACCATAGCTTGAATAACACCGTACTTTTCCAACGTGAGACAGTTCGTCGTTGCGGTATAATGTGAGGCAGCAGAAGTAGATGATGACAATGATGATGGTATCAATTTTGTGTGGTGAGGTAAAATTTTCCCAAGATGAATGAATCGTATACGGATGGGACCGGAAGAAGAAGATGAAGAGGAGGATAAAAGTTGATGTATTTTGGGTTCCAAAGCTTGTTGTAGTTGTTGCAGGGTCCAGTAGGGTGCTTGTTGAGGTAAATCTACAGAAATGTCTTTGCCAGTCAAAGATAGTCGTATAACAATAGGCCACACAGCAGCTGAAGAAGAGGAATCAATTGTACAAGTGTTATTATCATTAGAATGCATAACTGGTGCTTTTTCCGTATCTGTTGACCTTTTATCACTATTGTTCTCACTATTTGGTCCTTGGTTACAGTTCGTATCACCTTTGTTATTGCTGCCACTGCTACTACTACTGTTATTATTGATGTTCTCGTCGTTGTCTTTATCGAAATCATTCTTGCCCTGTTTCTTTTCATTTTGTCCATTGTTCAAGTCTTCTGTTTCAAAGCGGTCGACCGATTTTCCGACCTCAACGACATAACCAGGTTGTTCATTGTCTATCCGTGGCATCAAATCGAAGACAATTGCAGAATAGAAAGAGGAGATAAAAAAAATATAAAGATGATAAGTCAAACGTATACCATATGGTCTTACTTACATTGAGGAGGAGATACTGATGACGATACCAATTCAGCGGTCATCCCGGAGGAGATACGTTCAGGTTGACTTTCAGGACGGGATACACAGCAACCCATTGGAATGTCAAAAAAAAAAAAAGGAATGATAAGAAGATGATGAGGTTCAACGACAAGAAGGGGAAAAAAAATTGGAGAAAAAGAAGAGTCGGGGTATGAATCATATCATTCATTTTCATGATTTAGAAAAACACATGAGACAACTTAAGAAAAAATATAAAAAATATATTAAAAAAAAAAAAAAAGATCAATATCTTCTGAATCCTTGGGTTTGAAACACAAGCATATTTACACACACATACGTACACACATAATTATCAACTACATCTTACTAGAGAAATATCTGCATAAATACAAATAAATAAATAAATAAATAAAACACTTTATTGAATGAATAAATAAATCGTAATGTAATAGTTGATCAGATGTCAGTATCATCAGACAATACAGGAACTATCACAAAAAGAAGATTAGATACGATCATCAATGAAATGACTAATATGAATGATTTTTTCTTATTACCTTGATCATCATGATGGATCTTTTTGTTTTTCCACCATACTCCCATCAAACTTGAATAGAGAATAAATTGTACCACGATTGCTGTATCAATACTAAGTTGTATGCCACCACAAATATCGAATTGAAGAGGTGCATGGGTATATATAAAGTAAAACAATTTGAAGCTATCGCCTAGAAACTATAATAACCAATTATAGAATAAAAAACCAAGTAAAAATTCATTAGTACATATTCATCTATCATAATATTACTATTTACCCAAGAACCTAAAACCAATAAACTAAAGCCTGCAGTAGATTTGCGTTGGAAATTGGATATACACTGAGGTAAAGGAAGAGTACTTTCGATACCCAAACTAAGCGCGCCCAATAATTCAATAAAAGCAGTAGACTTTTGTAATAATAAATATAAAAAGGCGACAATGGTAGTGAAGATCAAAAGACAGTTGATATAATCCAGATAATATTCCCATGACCAAAATCGACGTATTCCATTCCATCGTAATAACCCACATCGATGACGACCTTGATGATATGGATGATCCAGCATATCTCTTCCTTGGATTTCTGCCTCCAGTTGCTCGTCTAATAGGGAAGACAGTGATGATGATGATGATCCACCCACTTCCAAGTTGCTATACAGTGTTGTTGGACTAGGATCGTGTCGATAGAGTACCACAATATGTAATAGGACCATTTGAGCTACAATCATCGCAATTGACTGTACCAATAATGTTGTATCAAACCTTTTTCCAAGCCTACAAACATATATATATATATATATATACATCATAGCAAAACAAAAAACTTAGTTTTATATTTTGTTGTATATTCATTTCATTATTTTACCAAAAAAAGATTCTAAGTATACTAAAAAAAAAAAAAAAATCAGTCCATATTCAAAAAGAGATAGATTTTTACTTACTTTGCAAAGAGTAAAATAGCACAAGTTTTTGAATTAAAACCAGCACTTGATCTTTTTTGTAGAATAATACGATACTAATCAACACATATAATGCAAAAGAAATAAATGTTAGTCAATGGCCAGTCTATTATTATGTACCAATTACTCATTACCTGGTCAATATAACCTACAACAGGACCAAAGACCATGGCCACTGAAAGTACAGTGGTAGCAAAGTCAGGCATATTGAATAGGAAAGTAAAAGAAAAAGTAAAAAAAGGGGAAAAGTTAAAAAAAAAAAAAAAAAAAAGGAAAAAGGCTTTACACCTGACTATTTCGAACACCGTCAAATCCCCCTTCTCAAACAAAATTGCATTCATTTGGTAATGGCATATTTTCTTTTTAAGTAATTATTCGACCAAGGATGAATTCACACACATACACAATCTCTCTTCATAGCCACTCTTATCTTATCTTGATTTCCAATACTGTGATGAAAGTTTGATTCACTATTGAATAACATGAATTAATAAAAAGTGTTCGTCCATATATATATTTCATTAGTATCCGAGACACATTACTACCAACAAAGGAGAACCTTTCGAGAAGTTTACAATTCTTGACTGTAACATCGAAAAATCCAGCTCAAAAAAAAAAAACATCATTGCATCAAATTTAGATTGAATATAGACAAAGTCATTCTCTTTCACTTGTTAATCATGCTTTATAAAGTAAATTAAAAATGAAATGTCTATATCTAATAATGATCGTCATCTAATAAAACTACCACCAATAGGTTTTTTTCAAAAAAAAAAAAAAAAAAGAGTAATTTAATACCATCTAATTCTGTTTTATCGGTTACCTTGCCAATTGATACGCAATAAACAAAAAAAGGAAATCTTTTTTTTTTTTTTTTTTTTTTTGAAATATCGCCTGATGACCCCTCGACGATTCATTTTGACAGCTAAAGTTTGACTAAGGAATTGGGAATTTTTGGCTGTAAACTTCCCAAAATTTCCAAAAAAAAAAAAAAAAAAAACTCAGCCACTAAGCATTTATTTTGTTTGAACAGAGCCTGATAAAAAGGTCCTGACTGATTGTGTCTTTTTTTTTTCTTTTTTTCTTCAGTCTTTCTCAAGGGGGAAGCTTACTTCAAATGAGGTCACTACTGATGAGTAACTGCCAAAACCCCAACATAATATATATGATCAGTTAATCTTGATGAATTTACTGATCAATTTTTGGAATCCTCTTTTAAGAGGATATATCTTATACATTAGAAAGAAAATGAAAATGATAAAAAAAAAAAAATAGATAGTTTTATTGAATATATATACTAGTTGCAGAAAGTATATTGGACATGCTTAAATGTTTTATAATGAATGACGGGGAAAAAATAGAGTGGGATATTTAGTTAAAACTATGATTATAAAAGAAGGGATATCACAAAGGGATCTAAGTATAATGTGGTAAAATAGTGAATATGATAATAAAAAGAAGAAAAAGAGAAAAGGACGGTAAATCGAGAAAAATGAAGAATATATATATAGGCACCCTATGATTGACTTGACCTTTTTTTTCTAAAGAGAGGCATGGTTCCATCAGATTTACGACGAAGTTGGGCTTGATTTCCTACTTGTTGTTGACCAGTATCAGAAGTAGAGCCAAAATTGGAGACACGACGACGAAGAGCAGGCATGGAGATACGATGGATCAAAGTCTTACGTGATGGATCATCATTGGAGGAGATAAGGTCATGATTATTTGTGAGTGAAACTGGAGAATAATGTAAAGGTTTTGGCGGATATTGAGAAATGACAGGTGGTTGAAGTGGAGGAAAAGAATGTTGTGATGATTTTCTAGTGATAGGCAAGGTAATAGTGGTATTGATAGCAATAGTGGCTGGAAGTGCTGGTGTATCTGATATCATGTCATTATTTTCTTCTTCTTGATGATGCTGTTCTTTGTTGCGTAAATTATCATGAGATCGTGAGATATTCTTCCAAGTATGATCTAGTGTTGCTCTAAAAAATGCTGAAGAACGACGCAAAAGATCACCTGCAGATGATCGACGATTGGTTTTTCTTGAAGGAGTAGTTATAGTTGAGTTGGTTGAACTGACAGGTCGTATACTAGGTTGAAGTATTGAAGGGGATAGGTTGGTAAAACTAGGTGAAGCTGATTCTATTGGTGATGATGATGAGGGTAAAGAATCGTGATCCTAAAAAAAAAAAAGAAAGAAAATTGAGAATAATAAAATATATGATCAAGAAGTTAGAAAGATGATAAATAATAATAATAAAATCTTACCTGAAAGTCACCTAGATCTTTGTGCAAGTTGATCCGTTTTTTATCAAACTGTCGAATGAGGTCATCAGCAAAAGTGTCCTTCAAGGTTATCCCGCGTGGCATAGGTAACCATTCTTTGTTGACAGATGCAGGTGGTGAGGAGGGATAGGTAGTTGTGACCATGTATATACTCAGTAGGATGTTAGAAAAAAAAAAAAAGGGAAATTAAGGAAGAAAGAAAAAAAAGAGAGAAAAAAAAAGACTCTGACTTTTTTGTACCCACTTTTTCTTTCATATCAGAGATTGAAAACATCAAATTTGTGCAACAAGCGAGGGACAACGTGGTAACCATCAGCATTCAATTAATGTTTCAATCGTCTTTTTTCATTTTTATTATTAAATTTCCAAGAATCGTAAAGAAACAGGATAAAAAAAAAGGGGGGAAGTCAGGGAGAGAGAGAGAGAAAGAAAAAAAAAAAAAAAAGAAAGCAGAAAAATGAATACACTATAATAAAAAGAATAATAAAGTAAAGGGATGGGGTAAAACAAGAAGAGTGATGATGGTAATGAAAATGATTATATATTTACATATATAAGGGAAAAAGAGATGATGATGATGATGAAAAAAAAGGGAGAATTGTCAAATATCAAGATATACAGATAAAAATGTATAATAAACGTATGTAAGATGATGTATATAAATGAATAAAATAATAATAATAATAATAATAATAATAAACTATACTAAAAATCAATGAGATCCAGATGTTCCCAATCCAAGTAGTAGCAAATCATCTCGAATATTTTGTGATGTTAATCCTGCTGCTTGTGGTGCTCTTGGAAATCCAATTGCGTCCTTGATATCCTGTAATTCCAATGTTTCTTCCCGTCGAATTTGTTTTTGTAATCGTAATTTGTGTACATCAGGTATCAGTTTACCAGGCTCTTCATTCAATAAATATATATATAAAAAAAGTTAGATCATATCTTCATTATCTATCATTTTACTCACTTTGTAATGGATCGTTGAGTTTGCTTTGTTCATCTTCTAAACGCCAGTGTTTTCCATTCACTGTTGTCAATAAATCCCTTCGAATGGCAGTTTTGCTTGACTATATAACAAAAAAAAAAAAAGTTAATATATATATATATATATATCTAATATTGTTTTGACTTACAATAAAATGTACATTGGCTTGATATTCAAATCCTTCGAATTGTTGTTTAAAATTGGCATGTTGATATTTTCTCCATGCTTCCGCTGTGCTGATTCGCCGTTCCTTTTTCTCTTCGATTTCCGTCATGAGAGTCACCAATTCAGGATGAGTACCATTAGCAATCATAATCGCTTCTTCATTAAGTTCCTCCATTTTCTCTTGATACATTCTATAACCCAAAAAAAAAAAAATCAATATATATTAATATTTCTTTTTTATCATCCTTACTTATCACGTAATCTGGCAAATTCCACTTCAATATGTGTCAGAGCTTCCAAAGCTTCTCTATGTGTTTGGTAATTGTCACGATCTTCTTCGCCTACTTGACAAAGAAAAAAAAAATCAATTAATCATCGATAATAATAAAAAAAAAAAAGTGCATGTAAACATATATCCTTTTTTTTTTTTTTTTTTTTTACCTGTCGTTAGTTTTTCCGACTCTTCCACTAGATTGGAGTTGATAGTTCTACTTGTATCGTTGGAATCATGAGTTGAAGTAATTGTAGTTGATGTTGGAGTATTTTCTTTCTCATCATTTTCGTCCGTATCCTGCGGTAACTTGTCATGTTCATCCACTATCTGTTGATCTTGTTGCTGCTGTAATTGAGGAGATGCCTTTTCTTGATGTGATGATGTTTTCGCTTTATTATTTTTGTTGTTTTTGATTGGCTTCAATGGTGTTGTACTATTGTTGCTGGTATCTGCCATACTGTCTTCTCGTTCTTCATCATCTTCCATATGATCATCATCATCATCATCTTCACCCTCTTCTTCTGCAATATCATCACCATCCATTGGATCTCTGGTTGATCGACTGTAGATATCCCGTCCTGCCATTGATAAACGCCTTGACTTGATTCCTTGTAAAATATGTTTGTTGTCATTTTCACCGTTACTACTATCATTCTTATCATTGTCATTATTATTATTTTCCACAACCATGCTGTCTATTTCCTCCGTTGATGCGGTGTTACTATCAGATAGATGATCTCCATCCGACTCGTCTTGTTCTTCTTCTTCTTCATCATCGTCGTCATCTTCTTCATCTTCTTCTCCTTGATTGCCATTTGAGTCACCAAATTTACCAGTTCGGTGCTTTTTTGTATTGTTGCCAGATTGAGATTTGGAAGAGTCATCGTCCACTGAATTTTTCCGTTTCCTTGGTAGATCCTCTACAAGTGATGATGATAATGATGTGATGTTTGTTGTTGATCTTGTTGGCTGTGACTGTGCTGGAGAATGTGATGCTGTTTGTACTGGAGCTGATGTTGTAGTTGACGGTGATGCTACTGCTGCTGCTGTTGATAATAATAATATAGGATCCTGGTCATCATCACCAAGTTCTGGCGAAACTGATCTTGACAGTGGAAAATCATCGGGTACAGACGATAAAGGAGAAGCAGAATCTTGATCCATAGTGATATCGTCATGATCACTGGTAGACAGAGGTAAGGATCCTTTGAATAGATCATCGTCATTTTGTTCATCCATAGAGTTATTATTGTTGCTATTCGTTTTTTTGTTGTTTTTGCTACTTTTGTTGTTTTTGTCATGGTTATCGATACTATCACCAAGGTCAACATTATTTGCATCTTGTTCTTCTTCTTCTTCTTCTTCTTCCAAGATCTTGTCAGTAGGAGTGAGCGCGTCTTGACCATTGTACGTAGTTCCAAATAGACCATCTACATCATCGTCGTCATCGTCTAGGAGGTGATCAGTAGAGGACAGAGGGTCGTCGTCACCACCAATACCTATTTGATCATCGTCTTCGTCGTCGTCTCCACTGAGTACCGATGGAGAAGAACCTAAAGAGAGTTTTGAGCTATGTCGAGTAGGAGTATCATTGCCAGCAGGTACTTCCATAGTATGTTCTAAAGCAGCGTCCGTATTTTCCTTTTCTATGTCCATGAGACAATGGTATAAAGAATGCTTGAGTATATATATATATATGTTTTGAAGGCTTCTTTCAAGTAAACAACAGAGGATAATAATAATAATAATAATAAAAACTACTTTATAATGGAAATATTAAAGAGTCCAAGTAAAGAAAAAAAAGAGAGAGAGAGAAAAAAAAAACAGTTCAAAGAGTTTTGTGTATATATATAATTAGAATGACTATAAGGAAAGGTAAGGACACAAAAGATGTATGAAATTGTTTTAGAGAAAAGGAAAAAAAAAAAAAAAAAGAAAAAAAGAGAGAGAGTGAAAGGAGGAATGGGAAGAAGAAGAAAAAAAAATCCACCTGGGTTCAAAAAAAAAAAGAAAAAAGTACAAGGATTTCCGAATCGCAAAAAACTGATATTGAAAATATTTAGCCAATAGGAATTCATTTAACGTTGGTAGCGAAAAATAGGTAACTCTGAATCTTGGAGTTCACTTTTTTTTTTCTCTCCCCTCTCCTTCTTAACGAAACTTTATAACGGTTTAGATCATGGTGAGTATTCCATATTGAACAAAAAAAAGAGGGAATACCAACAACAACGAAATCAATAGATAAACGAATGAACGAATGGATGGATGGATGGATGGATGGATGGATAAAATATAACGATTTTAGGAAAAAAATATGAATTATATCAAAAAAAAAATAGTCAGAATTGGATTAAGTTATATTGATCTTTTTTTTTTTTTGAATCAAATATATAGGACTCACAAAAGACTCCCGTTAAGCTCGCTCGTGTTATCAAAGTGCTCGGCCGTACTGGTTCTCGTGGTGGTGTGACTCAAGTTCGTGTTGAATTTATGGATGACACCAACCGTAGCATTATCCGTAACGTCAAGGGTCCTGTCCGTGAAAACGATATCCTCTGTCTCTTGGAATCCGAACGTGAAGCTCGTCGTCTCCGTTAAGAACAACAACAACAACAACAACGACAAACTGAAGAACATAATGGATCATCAAATACAGTTTTTATATAGTCTTAGTAGTTGTAAGCATTCGTCTATATATATTCAATAAAAGTCATATAAACATATAAATAGATACAATTTTATTTTTTTGATATATATAATTGAAAAAAAGGAAATAATAGTGGATAAATGTATTTACTTTGGCTGGATGAAAAGAAATATATTACTTTGATGTGCAGATCTAGGTATTTTCGAACCATTTTTTATACTGTTGTTTTTCTCTAATCAGATTGAAGTTATCAAATAATGATGATTATTCTATTAAATCAAATCAATCATCCAATCATTATATGTATCATAAAATAGTATATAGAATTCATATCTCATAAAATAAAATAAATAAATAATATTTTTATTAAGAGAATAATAATGATCACGGTTAGATTAAGGGGCGATATACATGGATTCTGATGTCGGGGCAAGAAATCAAACACTTTCAACGCAAAAATAAAAAAAATAAAAAATAAAAAAAAAACACAACAAAAAGGACTTCCGCTTTTCTTTTTCCATTTTCCTTTTTATATATATATATCTCCACATTATATAATATGGTAAAGTAAAATAATGTTTTTTTTTTTTTGTATTACTATTTTAATATTACAATCATACTAATCTATTTTGGACGTGAATAAAGCTTTTTTATTCTTTTTTCAAAACCTTAGTGGATCAACAAGTGACAGTGGAATTGAAGAATGATCTTGCTATCACAGGTATTCTAAAATCAGTGGATCAATTTCTCAATATCAAATTAGACGATATCACTGTAGTTGATGCTGAACGTTATCCTCACATGGTAAGGACCAGATAGAAAGAAGAAGAAAAAAATGGATAATAACGAATCTCATCTAATATATTTCCTTATAGATTTCGGTCAAAAATTGTTTTATTCGTGGTTCTGTTGTACGATATGTTCAATTACCTTCACAAGCTGTAGATACTGCTTTACTTCAAGATGCTGCTAGACGTGAAGCTGCTCAACCTACAACACCTCAACAAGCCAATGTACGCGTGAAATAAAACTTTTATATTTTTAATACTTCCTTTAGCAATATGAACGAACCTTTGTATTTTGATAGTTATATATTACATTCATTTCAATTTTTTTTTTTCAATAAAGAAAATGTTTAACATACCATTTGTCTTTTTTTTTTTTTTTTTTTTTTTTTTGTTAAAAAAGAAAATTACTTGGTCTTCTTCATGAACAACGAAATGCAACAAATGTCATACGTAATTTTAAACTCAACACGTGGTTACCTTTTCCCATCATCAAAAAAAAAACGACAAGAGAGATTAATATCATTCAACTTGCCTTTTTTTTTTTTTTCTCGTTTAATGATTTGATATGAATTTTTTATTCGTACTGAATAAGGAACATTTTTTTTTTATTATTTTTAAGACTCCTGTGATTATGCATGAAATATAATAAAAAAAGGGACTAAAAATCATCAATAATAGAACTCCTCTTTCACTTATTTTTCTTTTCTAGTATACTCCTTCCTTCTTTGTGCCTTTTCTTGGAAATGAATCTAGTTGTGGGGTTGAAAGTAAATGTTTTGTGTCACATGTTTATACACATTAATCATTATTTGTATCAGCAATTCTAATTTTTTTTTCTTTTTTTTTTTTTTTTTTTTTTACTCCTCTTTCTTTTTAGTAATACTTTTTTTTTCCCACTTTTTTTTTTTTACTTTTCTTTAATGAATATTTTCGGACTAATACGAAAAACACGCAAGGATAAGAAAACAAACTCTTTAGACTTGAGAAAGACCCAATCAAGTCCTGTCATCATTACAACAAACACGCCATCTAACTTGAAGCCTATTTTGACCAATGTATCAACCACCACTCCTATGATCAAGGAAGTTGACGATGAAGATAGTCACCTCTCTGTCTCTCATTCAAACAATACTAAGGGTGATAAGGAAAATAAGGAACAATTGAAAATTGACAAGGAACAATCAGAGGCACTTGCAGAAAAATTAAGGGTCATTCGTGCTGATGATATGGAACTCTTATTATCGATGGAAACACAAGCAAGAATGGATCATTTGGACGAACAAAGAGAACGACAAAAAGCATTGGAAAATAGTGATAATCAGCATCATCATCCTAAACGATTGAAATTTGCTCTTCCTGAAACACCATTACGTGATCCACCATCATCATCATCATCGCCATCATTGCACCCAGAGTCATCTCCTGATAATAATACAACCATCATCCATCCTGCTACTTCGATATGTATCAACAAGACAAACACGCATAATGATGAGGATGGTTATACCCCTTTAGCCAAACGATGGTCTTTACCTGAAGATGCAATTCGTCAAGATATGAAGAAGAAATCAAAGCTCTCTACATCCCTGGCACCTTCCAAATGGACACGGTATCTTCTCCCTTCCGCAAACAGGTCTGATGCATCTTCAGTTTATCCTTCCACCATATCAACAACCAAATCAAATCATGTCCCTCCATCTACTGTAACTTCAATTGATGCCTCTCGTCGTGCCCCTTTACGTTATGGTTGTAAAGTCAAATTGATTAGAAGTCCTCTCAAAACCACTGCTTATGTTCGCTATATTGGTCCTGTTCATTTTGCTGATGGTGAATGGATTGGGGTTGAATTGGAAAGTGCTGGTAAAAAAAAAAAATCACTTAAAAAAAAAAAGTTCATGACACGAATCTAATTTTTTTTTTTTTTTGACATGCAAATGATTTTCCATTCATTGATATGGGTATAGTGGGAAAAACGGATGGATCTGTGGATGGTCAACGTTATTTTTATACAGGGCCTTACCGGGGATCCTTTTTGACAAAAGATGAATTGATGATAGTTTAGCCAGTTCCCTGTTGTTGTTGTTTTTTTTTTTTTTTATACATACTCCATACACACATATATTTTCACACACAGACACATACAGTTATATTTGAAAGGTTTTGTATATATATTTTGATTACACAATTTATTTTTTTTTTACACTAGTCTAGTTTTTCTTACCTCACGCAGAGTTCCTTTTTTTTCACACGATCATATTGTGATCCAAATTTTTTGTTACCTTATTCTACATGTCCTTCATATAGCCTTCTTCTTTATATCATCTTCCCTATATCTATATATATATCTCAAACAAATAATAATAAAAAAAAGGAAAAGTAAAAAAATATTTAAAACATTATCAAACAGATCCAAAAACAAGTTAACTATTATAGAGATGATGGTTTCAAACGGATTCTTTTATTGACGATAAAACAACACAATATATACAAATTATATCAATATGTAGCTATCTGCTAAATTTCTAATACCGCTTTTTGTCTATCTGCATAAACAAGTCGTCATGTTCATTATCGATAAGCACGCGTTGAGGAATGGTGTAGATATGTTAGTTGATTGGAATAGGTGTAATGCGTCGTTTCTTGCTTTGTGGTTCGTTATTCCCTGATATGGATGCTTGTGATTGTAATGGTTGAGTAGTTGAGGGTCTAGAAGCAGAAACAAGTATAGGCGTGATCCTTTTCTTCGTAGGTGTGGGTTTTCCATTTGATGTTGTCGACGTGCCTGCCGTATTTTTGACTAGATTATCATCCTTTGTTATTGCTGATACACTCTTCGTTGTTGTAGTCCATTGATCTAGGGTGGTCATTCCTGTTGATGCTACCGTTGTTGATGTCGGCAATTTATCTGATATAGCCAATGTATTGCAAGTCGTCGTAGGTGTATATATATTGTTGTTGTTGTTGTTGTCGTTACTGGCTTCCGTCATTTCTTCGTCTTGTACATGATTATTAAAAACATTCTTTGTTGCTATGGGGACACCAAGTTCATTTTTTGAAAAGACAGCTGCAGAACAATAACCATCTGCCGAAGAAAACGTTAGAATAGTTCCGTCACTAGACCTATATCCAAAACAAAATCAGTAAATCATTATCAAAAAGTAAATTATAATCATTTTACCAAGATAAATCCGTAATTGGGGCATAATGCATTCCAGAAATGGCACAAATAGGTTTGTCTTGTTGGGTATCATATATGTATACTGAATCTTGAGTTGCTACCGCATACACAATTCGATAAGGCAAGTTAAATAAAGACGAATGTTTACTGGGACGGCGTTCATATGCTTGTTGACACCATCGAATGGCAATAGAAGGTTTGCTATGATTTCCCGTACACGCTATTGGATATCTACATTAAACAGAAAAGTAAAAAAAAAAAAAATAAAGATGTGAGTGATCACTATTGTTTTGATGAAATAATCTATTTAATTACTTGAGAACTGTGTTCCGTGGAAATATATAAGAGCAATGTTGCATATCATCATCAGCGTTGATCATTGTGGAAAGAGTATCACTAGAGCTGTTTTTATATAATCCTGCAGGTGCAATCAAAAGTCCACCATCAGGACTGAAGGATAGTCGTCGGAAAAAGGAGACCAAGTTTTCATCATGAAACAACCGATAAGATCCATGCGACTGTTCTTCTGATAATGATGATGATGATGAAGACGGCATTGGTGTGGATGTCGCCACGTTTGTCATTGTCGTTACCGTTGCTACTGTTGTTGCTGTAGAAGTGGTAGTATTCGTCGCTCTATCCTTATCAGCCTTCATACGATCGAAATGATTATGTCGTTTAGCACAATTTCCAAATAGTAATCGACCATTGGGTCCTTTTCGACATTTGTATATCGCCAATGATCTACAAAATTACAAGTCAGTCGCCTTTTTTTTTTTTTTTCCTTTTCTCTACATTGATTTACCTATCACTGCTCTGAGTTGCTACAAACTGACCTAATGGATCCCAAGCTACGCCTTGAACGTAATGTGTATGATCAGTAAAAACATGTATAGCGGCACCTAAAACAAGTATATATTAAGCATAGATAGGTAACATATCACCCTCTCTCACTCTCTCTCTCTATCCTTTCCAACCAGAGCTGAAAACCGTAATTGTTTCATGTCCCTTGAAAATACTACTTACGATCAGTAATACTCCATACACGAGCCGTATTGTCAATAGAAGCTGTAATAAAGTAGTTTCCACAAGGTGACCAAGCCAAATCATATATTTCCTTATTGTGTCCACTATTGAAAAGTGCCAAAAAAAAAAAAAGTTTTCCATCAGTTATCTATTGGTTGCACATATCTTTTTCCAAAATCTTACTATAACATTTGCGCTGGTGTCCAAGTTTCTTTTTCATATTCACTGTATTCACTACCAAAAGTAGTTTCTTTTGTCGTTGATAGCTTCCAAAGGATGATACAAGCATCTAACAGAAAGAAAGAATATCCGTTGTTACGTTATCAATAAATCTATGTTTAAACTGTACTCTTCCCTTCTTCCTTTTCCTTACCGTCACCAGCCGAAGCAATATAGTCACCATTAGGGGAAAACCGTACAACATTAACAGGGCAGGAATGGCGTTTTAGTTCAGATAAGAAATCAATACTGACTGGAAGTTGATGAGTAGAATCATGGTGAGAACTATCAGGAGATTGGGTGGCTTTCATAGTTGTTTCGGTACTGACTTGTCGTTGTATACTCCATAACTATTAAGTTATTATAAACAAAGATGTCAATAAAATAGAAGTATATATATATATATATATATATTGATATTGATATTCCTATCTTTGACTTACTCTAACAGAGGCATCAGCACCAGCAGTTGCAAATCGTAATCCGTCAGGCGAAAAGTCTACAGAATAAACAGCTTGACCATCATGCCAATTGATTTCAAGAGTCTGGAAAACCACAACGTCATAAAGCATACATTAGTTCCACAGTCATATACAATACATATAAAACAGTAAACGGAGGAATATCTACTTGCCTTGGTAATCATTGATCAAAAGTTTGAAAGAAAAAAAAAAGAAAAAAAAAAAAAGAAAAGGGCAAAATTGATAGTTCTTTGGCTCCCAGAATTTTTGATACGCGTCGCGCTACAAAATATTATAGTTTGATTGGCTGTTCACTTTTGCAGCCTAATAAAAAAAAAAAAAAAAAAAAAAGGTTACTACAATAAAAAGGGAAGAAAACACAATTTTTATTCATAACAAAAATGTTAATATGAGAGGGAGAGGAGACAAAAATAAAAGATATGGAATAAAGTAATAAGAAATCTATAATTGATCCAAAGCAATTCCTGCATCCATGAAGTATTTGGGCAAATATTGATTGACATCTTCGGTGACAGCTAAAAGTTGTTTAACCTAGTTAAAATAAAATTCATCAGTATTATATTTTCATCTTAGTTCATTACAATTAATTCGCTTACATATTGTCGTTTTTCCGCTGGAAGAGAGACCAATTGTTGTACCAAGTAAATGCGACAAGGAGGTAAAGTAGCAGTAGGATCAATTCGAATAGGTGCAGCCGTATTCAATTTAGAGAATGTGTTTTGGTAGCCAGTTTCATCATCAAGATCAACTTGATATAAATCATCAATAGTGTCGTCAGCTGCTGCTGGCGGTAATTCCAATTGTCGAAGTAATGTGGTGAAAACCTTTGGCCAGAGTTGTGTTGCATATGGTTCTTGCAACATCAGATCACTTTTTGTTAATAATCGTACCACACCAATACCACAAATCTTGTAATCAATCAAATCACGCATAGTATTGAAGTCAGGTAAAACAAATACACTGAGAATTTGACCAAACAATCTGGAATAGAAGAGAATGGAAAGAAGAAAAAAAGAAATTCAGTCAACCATCATTTCTCCCTATTTTTTTTTTTTTTTTTGATTTACCCAGGTTGCATAGAATCAAATACTTGGATTAATACATCAGGAGATCCCAAGCGATCCAAAGAGAAGAATAGACATACCCATAATGTAAAGCTACGAGTAAATTTATCAAATACAATGTTACCATTCTTTTTCTTGCTTTGTAATCGTTTCAATATGGAGTTCACCAAGGCGGGTAGGTAATTCTTCAGTGTTTCACTAAATTAAAAAAAAAAAAAAAAAAAAAAAAAAAAGAACAAAAATGAATAACCAGGATCAAAATAGGGTTCACATTTTACATACATTGGTACAGTTTTAATCACAGCATTCAACAAGGTCATTCCGAAGTGATCGTTCTGTCGAGATCCCACCAGTTTTTGTTGGAAAATGCCAAGAATAGGTTCAAGACGATTGTTGCTCAAGATAATATTGCTACCCTTGGATAGATAAGCCTCCAATAGACGAACAAGGGCAGGAATATTACCTTGTTCCCACAAGCCAGGATTCAGCATAAGATTCAGGAGACCAGCATACATTTCAGGTAAATCAGTACCGGAGTGATGTTCAAGGAGTTGAGCTAAAAGCTGGAAGGCATATGGAATGAATTCTATTCATGATACAGTAATATGAAATTTTGTTATAAATTAGTAGGCATATAAAACAATGTATGAAATTCAATTCATTCTTTTTCATTACCTTGAACACCTTGAGATATAATACTTTCAAAGGGACCAAACAAGAGGTTTTCGAATTCAGTTGTAGCTTGATTGGAAACAGGACAGATATATCTAAAGAAAAAATAATAATAATAATAATAATAATAATAATAATAATAATAATAATAATAATAATAATAATAATAATAATAATAATAATAATAATAATAATAATAATAATAATAATAATAATAATAATAATAATAAAGGAATCAATCATCCATTGTAGATGTAAATTAGTTTTACTTACTTGATCAAGGCACCAATACTCTCGAAAACAAAATGATTGAATTTGGGATTGCTTGGATTCTTGCTAACCACTGCTAGAATATTGGTTAATTTGCCCATAATTACATTCACATAGGGTACCATATCTTTGCGGCTTGTGGTGATGACACGGAATACAGCTAAAAAAAAAAAAAAAAAAATGAACAGAACAAGTAAAGTGAGAAAAAAAAAAGAATTATATTACTGTTACATTATTCAACACTTACTTTTCATGAGATAATCATTTTCAGAAAGTTTTTCAGGAGATTGACCACTTTCAATTAAACGGAAAAGTTCAGAGAGTAGGACTTCAGTATAAGGCTTGATATCTTCCGGAGTGAATCTATTCCAACAATGAATAACGATGTTAAATTTGGAAGTAACTTATTAGTGAGAAAATAAATACTTACAAGAATTCTTTTCCATGTCGAATTACCAAGATCCTTTCAATCGCGATGGCAGCATAAGTGTGTACCACATAATCGTTTGACTGAAGATGCTTGACTAATAATGGGAAGACAGTCATGAGTTGTTCCTTGGTCAACTAGATAAGAAAAAGTACATGAATAAAATCATTATCATCTAGGTTACATTTTCCAGTGGATTGCCTCTTTCTTTGATATTACCTGATTTCGGAATGTATATAAATACTTGATGGCATCCATTTTGAGAATAGGTACTCCAGCATTAACATCGCTCTGCAAATCAGATAGGATATTCTTAGAAAAGAAATCCACCACGTCCACTAATGGACTTATCTTTGTAACACCAAACTAAATAAAGCACAAAATCGAACAAAAAAAAAATACAGTAAGAGCTTCATTATTCATGAATCCGAATATATATCACTGTCATCATCTTTTACCTGACTTGTCGTACTACGAGCAGAGATGGCAACTAATAAAAAGATAGCCGTATTTTTATCTTTCCAATTTTGTTGAGGGTTTGATCTGTAGTTCTATATGATAAAAAAAAAAGATAACAAATATAAATACATGTATATATAACTATATGCATATCTTTTTATAAATCACTTACTTCCAAATAAAGATTGATATAGTGGGAAATCAAAGCAGTAACTTGAGCTTCAAATCGTTCTAGTACTCCTCGAATAAAGTCAGCAGCAGCACGTCGGCGAGTATCGTTGTCTATATAAATATATCATTAGAAAATATAATGAATTTGTATAAATATCTTTGTTGCCTTTTCACTTTTTATTTTATTTTATTCTTTTACCTGATCCTTCCAAATCCCGTCTAATATATTCAATGGGGTTGTCTTCATATAATTCTTCGTCGCTGGCTATTGAATAAATTGGTAAATAAATATAGTCTTTTTCTTTTTGATACCTTTTTTTTTATTATTATTATTTTGTTCTTACTTCGCATAGCAATGTTTGGAAGGGCAAGTTTCACAATAACATCTTCAGATGAGAACACAGACGCTTGAGAATCCACCTTGACCACAGAAGTAAGTACACTTAACGCCTTGCATACCATCTAAAATAAAAGAAGGAAAAATAATGTCAGATCATGAGTTTACAATAACAATGACGATGGATCAAAATTAGAACGAAATACTTACAGTATCATGTTTTGGTTCTTGACTAGCAGTTATCACCAGTTCAAAGATAATAGGAAGGAATTCAGAAAGTTGAGGGAAATCTTCAACATATTTTTGTGTATACAGCTCAATAATATCACAAATACCAGTCTTGATTTTTTCCAAAGGTCCAGGTTCATCTTCATCCTATTTATCCCAATAAATAAAAAAGAAGTTTTCATTAATAATCCACATATGATAATAATCATTTCATTTTTTATTACATCGGTTGCAAGAATAGGATTGTTGTAACGCAAATATTTTTGAAAGAGTTGAGTAAACGTAGGCAAATTATCCTCGAAGAATTCAGGTAAATCTTGGCAATTGAGGTCGTAATAGATCTTGATCAATAATATCATGGATTGAGATAAAATGCTCATTGCCTCAGGATTGTTACCATTTTCAGTCATTAGTTTGTCGGTGATCTGCTCCAAAAAAAAAAAAAAAGGTAAATAAATGAATACAAGACTGACCACATATCATCCATATATTACTTACCTGGAATAGAGTCAAATACTTTGGTGCAAACTCTCCAAGAACATAGAGAATTTCAGCAAACAGTTCATCGGTTCTAAATTGTGATCGCCATCTAATAATATCATAAAAATGTAAAATAAATAGTGAGTTCATAATTTGCATATTATATATCCTATAATTTACTTTTTAAAAATAGAATGGGCAGTCTGAAGAATACCGTTGTTCGTTTTGTAGTCAGTGTCGCTGAGCTTGCTGGTCAATTCCTATATAAAGAATATATGTTGTTAAAAAAAAAAAAGTCATATGAAGTAAAACTTGATTATATTTTGTCACTTACAGGTATCAAAGTAGACCAATTTCCAGGGAAGTCTTCGGCAGCAATAATGCTTAAAGCATCACTGATTTGAAGTTGAACTCTTTCAGGGACACTAATCATAAGTTGAACAATATCATTCTTAATAGCAAGTCGGTCTTCTGCTGTAATGTTATTAATATTTTCGTTATCCTATTTATAAAAACGGCAAATGAGTTTAGCAATAGTTCGTATGAAATTTACCGCGTAAAAAAAAAAAAAAAAAAAAAAAAAAAGATTTACTTACATTCACCCAGTTTCTTTTGATATAGTTTTTGAAATAAACAGCACCAGTGAAACGTAGGGTTTGATCAATGTTGGCATCAGCAATCAATTTTAACAAGACAAGAGGAAATCCAGGTTGTACTTCAGCCAGAGAAAGATTATGTTCAGCTATTATGATAGGAAAGAAGTTTATGACTTTAATTAAAACTGATTATAACAGTAAATATACAAAATTCTTACCAGTTTTCCGAGTATTAGGATCCAAAGTTTCATTTAAACATTGTTGTAGTGTTCCATAAGCTTCAGCAGTATTCATGATACTTTCTCTTTTAAAACAAAAAAAAAAAAAAAAAATCAATGAAAAAAGGAAAGACAAAGAAATAAAAAGAAAAAAAAAAAACTACGCGATTTTTTATTCAAACAAAAAAAGTCATGTAACAAATGAACTCCGCAGAAGTAGCCCGTCTATTTTATTTTCAATCGTTCATATACTTAAAAAAAAAAAAAAAAATCTACATTTATGCTACAGTTTCCTTATTGACAGGGACTTGATTTTCCTTATTGGTATTTCCATCTTGTTCTTCCTTTTGCTTCTTAGCGGCAGCTTTGCGTTCACGTTTGTTGGGTTTGCTAGGAGCCTTGACGACGACTTCTGGTGGGTAAGCAGCTTCAGTAATCTTTTTGTATTCTGGGTCTTCAAAGGTCTTGCGAATAGGATCCAAAAGTCCATTGATAGCTTCAATTACACCAGCCTTCAAATCACCAGGATGTACTTTCTTATCCCTAAAATCATCTTCCAGATCTTGATAATTGTTGTAAACCATATTTCCACCATATTGTTCAGGACGAATAGCTATAAATTCAGGAGTGTTTCCATGAAGAGATTTGAGAGGAAAGTAGACAGCCTTGAGGAAAGATAATAAACCATTTTCAGTAATATTGCCTTCTTCACAGAAAGCTTTCTTAATCTTCTTCTTGACAGCAGCAGGAGAATCTAAGAAATCAATCTTGGAATCAGGATCCGAGGATGACATTTTTGTTCCAGTCAAACCAGGCACCATTGGATTCATCAAATGAGCTCGCTTTTCATAACCCAAGAGAGGAAGGTATTTTTCAGCCATAACAAAGATCTTTCGTTGATCTACACCACCAAATTGTACATCGACACCAAGGTATTGTTCATCTAATGCTTGCATACCAGGATACAATAAACCAGATAAAAGAGGAGAAGCTACTTGTTTCACTACTTCAGCACCAGCCTTCTTGGCATCATGTTCAGTCACTAAAGAGCACAACTTGAAGTTATCCATGGTATATTCTTTAGAGAGTTCAAAATCGGATCCCAACACAAATTTGAGCTTGTCCAGAGGTACACCAATAGAAGTCAATACAGCTTTAATCATACGTTCATAGTAAATAGCTCGGCTCTTAACAAGTTCGATAGGTGCCTTCAAATTGTCAAGGAAAGCATGAATATCAGCTAACAAAATAGTTACCTAAAAAGAAAAAAATGAAAATAATGAAAAAAAATAAAATAAACATAAGTGTTAGTCAAAATGTGTCATACTTGCATAATATCCTATAAGGCTTGTATTTTTAATTCTTACTTCAACACCAGCAGCCAAAAAGTCAGCAATCTTGGTCATAGGTACAAAGTAACCTGGAAGTATAAAGAAGAAGGAAGAAAAAAAAAATAGTAATGATAAGTTATTCATGTTTAGTTTTTTTTTTTTTTTTAAGATAATTATTGTTGTTGTTGTTGCTATGATGCTTGTTAAGTATTATTCAGTTACCTAAATGTGGACTACTGGTACTTGCCGTTCCCCAGTACAATTTAAGATCTCGTTCAGCAAGAATGGCCTTGATTTTTTCTTCTCCAAGAACTTCTTGTAAATTCCGGGTAATAAGTTCGTATTTTTCTTCTGGTGTCATAGTCATTTTGTAGATAATTAGATGAATGTCTAAAAGAGAAAGAGAGAGAAAAAAAAAAAAATGAAAGGGAAAAAAAAAAAAAGCTTTTCTTCAGTCACGGTTCCAGACTATCCAATGAAATTGATAGATTATAGCGGTATTTCAATGAGTCAAAAGAAGCTCACTTTCCCATCTTCAATGAGTCAAACTCACTGTGATCAATGCCTAATCTGGGTTAAAAAAAAAAAAAAAAAGAAGTGATGAATTTTCATGAGTGGAGATGTATCATACTAACAATTGTGACGATAGCAAGTAGAACAATAATGTTAGGAATGTTGTTACTGAACCCGTTCCTTATATTGGGAATTTTTTTCTTTTGTTTATCATATTTGGTAAATAACTCCTTGAATTTAGGAAAAACTTGGATAGGTTTGAAACAACATATCGAATCATCTTTAGTATGATTAAAAGTGATGATGAGCGATTTTATTATAACTGATGTGTTGAAGTGACTATAGTATATGATTACCGACATTAATCATCCTAATCACGCGTATGATATCGGACTTGCCGATGCATGATTGATAGCTTACTGTAAATTGAAAGTCTTTCTTTTAGCAAAAAAAAAAAAAAAAAAAAAAAAAAAAAAAGTCAACTTTAAATGTATTTCTGTAACAGCAGTTAACTAGATGAAATCTTTTGCTTACTTAATTGTAATTCATTTTATCATGATGATGGTATGAAATTATGACGAGTATATTGACTTTATCTATTTTCTTTTGTACCCCTTTCCTTTGAGTCTGACCGCTTCCTTCTTTACCCTTTTTTGCGTCTTAACTCTAATTCCGTACTCCGTCTTTTTTTTTTCATCTTTTGATTTCATTCTCTCCTCTTTTCTTCCTTTTTTTTTTTTCTTTTTTCTGTTCCTTTTCTTCATTTATTTATTCACCTGTAATCAATATACGTGTACATATTTACTTTTATATATAATTGTGTACGTATACTATATATACATATACATTAATATATATATATAGATATATATATATGAATTATAATATACATCAATCATTCCCTTGTCTCTTCTTTCATCACTTGACTTGGATAGACCGAAACCGATGACCAACTTACCAGAAGATAATACCTCTATACCATCTCAAGTCACCAATTATACTAATCTTATTTCTTCAACTTCTCCCTTTTATTCCAACTTTCACCATCCTTTTGATTATCAAGATACACAACAACAAGGATCTACTACTTCTCACAGAATGCAATCAATTGTATCCCCTCTAGGTTATTTACCCAACGTATTATTGTCATATCAATCTGCTTCTTTGGACGATAATAACAATCATGACCTTACAACTTCGAATTACAATAATTATACCACTGTCTCGAATTATACCACTCCGCCCATGATTTCAACTAAAAACTCCTTTTGGCAATCGACTTCTTCTCATCGAACTATCGACAGTGTAACAATACTTAACAATCCAACAGTTAAAATCAATAATATGAATCATGCTGAACGTGGTATTGCTGGTTTTGTCTCCAAATTATATCAGTAAGATAAAAAAAAAAAAAAAGAAAAAGAAAAAAGGTATATAGCAGCAATGATGGTTTTTAATCCTTCCTTCTAATAGATGTTTACAAGCACCAGATAATGGACACAAATATGCAAGATGGTGTCTGCACGATGATAAAGATATGTTTGTGATCGATTGTATTCCAAGTAAGTATATATTCTTTAGTTTCCTTTTTATTTATTGACCGATATTTATCTATGTTACCATTATAGGATTTACTGAAGAAGTGTTACCAAGATTATTCAAACATTGCAAATTCCCATCATTTGTTCGTCAACTCAATGTAAGGATAGTATTACTAATGATCATAGATCCTCTTCTAAACCGAATTTTTATTTATAAACAGATATATGGATTCCAACGGGATACTGATGCAAGAAAATCAAAGGATACCAAAGATAAAGAAACATGCCGATGGTATCATCCTTATTTTCGTCCTGGCCGACGCGACTTATTCCATTTGATTAGACGAAAATCAACTCAACATTCAAGGCGAAAACGTATTCCGATGGTCGAGCAAGATTCGGAAACTATTCTTACCATGGATTCGGGGGAAGATGACTCTGATAGTGACGACAAATGTAACCAAAGACGGCTCTCATCGGTATCAAGCTCCTTGTCAAACTCAATTATACAACAAGATTATTCATTTCCCTCGTCATTACTAGAACAACAACATCAATTACAAGGCGAACTTATCCAAGATGAAAATCTCATTCATCATCCACCATTACCATCTAATGACACGCAGGAGGGTTCTACAACAATATCAACAAGGATGTCACATACTAGGAGTGACGATGAAGTCACCAAATGTATCTCTCAACATGATGACTATATCAAGCAAACTTATCTCGCCTCCAACTTTATTGAAGAAAAAACAACAACAATAAATGATGATCTCACCAAGGAGCAACAATTACAACAACAATTACGGCAACTTCAAAACAGCTATAACAACGATCGTGAATTTTTTACCAAGCAGATACGTCTTGCGTATGCTCATATTGAAGAGCAACGAGTTCATATTGCGCAGCTGGAAGCGATCTCGGCACATCGACAATATCAACACGGCAAACAACAACAACAACAACAACAACAACAACAACAACATCGTCATCATCATCTTCGTCATAACCATCATAACCTTCAACAGCAACATCAGCAAGAGCATGAGCAAGTACGACAGCAACAACGACATGAAGAAGAAAAAGAAGAATATGATCAGCAGCAACAGCAAGAACAACAGCATAATCAGCAGCACCAAGCGAACCACCAATACCATCAGCAACAACAGCAACACTCGACGTCATTTGACGCTACGATTATGACACCATCAATTAACAATATACAAGAAAAACCGATTTACAATGGGCTTGGAAATCTGGTAGATTTGAAGGCCGAACCGAATCATCAACATATGTACACTCAAGGTAAGTTCATCAAGCTATATATACAACAATATTGTCTTCTCCTCTCTCATTTTATTCATTTTTTTTTTTCGTCACATTTGATCGATAGAAATCTTTGGATATCGGTCTCCACCTTGAAAACAGCAAATCATCTTCACCCGGATTATTTTGAATCTTTTCATTCCACATTGCACATTACCTTATAGTCATCTTTTTACATCCTTGTTGTGTCCTAGTTTTTTGTTCTTATCATCTGCATTCATTCACCTCCATTATATCCTATCTCTTCAAGTTTTTATTTAAAGTTATAGTGTTTTTATCTTCTTACCTCAAAATAAACGACATATTATGCATATTTCAGGTTTATTTGGACTGATGGTTTCACATTGATTAGAGGAAAAATGATGATGATGATGATGTTGATGATAATCTACGTCGGGGGGATATTAGTAACGTATGCAATGACGACGATGAAGTTGAATTAACTAAAACCGAAACAATAACCTTTTAAAGAGAAATTCACCGCGTAAAAGGAAAAAAATTGTACCTTTTTCATCATTGACCCTGCCGTTGCGGCATTTCAAATCTCGGTAAACCTTCTTTTGTATAGATTTTAAATGTAATGCTTGATGGATTTCAGAGTTTATTTGATTTGATGTATATCAACTATTTTTTTTTTTTTTTTGTTTGACAGTTTAATATATAGAAACTAAATTTTCATTGAACATGTAAGAATCACTCATCTTCGTCCATCTCTCTCTTTCTCTTTTTTTTTTTTTTTTTTTTTTCTATTCAAAAATCCGGAAATCACGCGAGGAAGCATATTTGTTTGTTTGCAAATCTTCCAAATCCACGTTTAATTCTTATGATGTTCTGCTTTTCTTTTTCTTTCTCTCTCTTTTTCTCTTTCAATTCTTATCTCTTTTTTTCTACCATAAAAAAAACTATTTATATATTATTACTAGTTCATCTCGATTTTTTCGTTTTTTTTTTCTTTTCACAAGTAGTTGGATGCAACTTTTGTAGAATCCATACTCTTTTGTTCCACTAAAAGGTAAAAAGACAATCATCATCAGTATTTTCATCTAACATTTTCTTGTTCGTCTAGTACACTTCGTTCTTTTTTTAACGTCATGATTCTAACAGAAATGGACACGGTAGCCACCCCATTATCCGTTCTTATAGAAAATAAAGATTTATTGGGCGAAAAAGCAGATTCCAATCCTTCATCAGCATTTGGTAAGATAATCATGATGATTAAATAAACCATGATGATTAAAATCATCTATCTCTTTCGCTCATCATAGTTGATTATAACGAATGGATGACAGGCGATTTTAACATTGATGCAGAAACTGTTCTATCACCTTGTAAAACATTATCATCACCTTCTGATCGAGTTCAAGTACTTCAATGGACCCCTCATGCAGGAAACGCCGATACTACTGTTACCGTGACCTTGGAGCAACCACCTTCAGAAAATGCACGAGGTCCTTTAAAGATTGCGTTTGGTCATTTAGCTGTAGAGACATCATCCTACCATGCCCATTCAGCTCCTTCAATAGAGGATGAAAAGGAAGAGACGGAAAATCAGGATAATGATCAGTTGTCAACGGCGTTGTCATCAAACAAGGTAACTACCTCTTCTAGTACTAACAACATCACTTGGATCACCCTTATGGCTCAAGTGCCAGAACTTCAACACACCCAATCCCATTCTGATGGTCAAGTGCCTGTATCCATATTCGTCTACGATTTTCATGATCCAAATCTTGTCATTGATACATGGACAATAGGCGTATTTACTTATCTTGACAGCTCCCATCAATCAGGTACTCTCCATTTTTAGCAATTTTTTTTTCCAATCTCCGGCTAATTCTTCTTTATCTTTTTTTTTTTTTTTTTTTTTTTTTTTTTGCTTTTTTCTTTCTCGTTTGATTTTCCTTCTAGCTCAAAAACGTACTTTGTCACCAATAGACAATGATAATAGTCCTCAAAAACGAACATATAATGCTACTCCAACCGCAGATGGTAACATGCAAAACAGGATATACATTGAAACTAAAAAAAAAAAAATTAAGATATTTCGCCAAATCTTATCGTTGCCTTTTTTTTTTTTTTTTTTGTACCTATTAGGAATATCAATTGATTATCAACTTTTACAATTACTGGCACCCTATGAAAATCAATTAGCGCAAGAACAACCTCTCTCGGCAACAGCATCGCAACATGACCGTGACACTGCTTTATGGATTACTGAACAGTTACAACAACAGCAGCCTTGGAAACACCAGCAAGTGCAGCAACAACAACAGCAACAGCAACAGCAACAACAAGTGCAGCAACAGCAACAGCAACAACAAGTGCAGCAGCAACAACAGCAACAACAACAACAAGTGCAACAACAACAACAGCAACAGCAACAGCAACAACAACAGCAACAACAACAACAAGTGCAACAACAACAGCAAATGCAACAGCTACAACAACAACAACAACTACAACAACTACAGCAACAGCAACAGCAACAGCAGCAACTATATCGCCAACAGCAACTGCAACGACAACAACAACTACAACGACAGCAACAATTGCACAAGCATTACCGTCAGCAACTTCCTGGAAAGCCGAATTCAGGTTTATCTATGCCACCAGAGTTCAACACAAGGTCTCAAAACAGGAGTGGCTTGAACATGAATGATACTTATGGCCCATGCTTTGATACAGGTAATTTTTTTGTCAATAGATAAAACGTGATATATTGTCCTTCCTTACAAATTCTCGAACATCTTCTAGGTATGGCATACAATAGCTATTCCAGTTCATATGTAACACAAGAAAAATACTTCCCATCCATCCCATCATCTTCAGCGATCCCTTTTGGTGGCAATCAATATAACGGTACGAATCAAAGCAATGGAATAACCTATACTGATCATCTGGTTCACAAAACTGGCTTCCAGAATATGTATGATTCAGCCAATAATGATCTCTGCAACAATACAACGGTACCAGCAAGAAGAAATAGCAGCAGCAATCATTACAATAGTAACAACAGTATGCATCATGATAATCAACAAGGTATCCCGACCAGTATGCATCCTTTTGCTGGTATTCTCAACAAAGCCAACTTGAAAATTTGTGGTGATCTGATGGAAATGACGTTTCAGTGGACTACTAGTGAATGGCAAAGCGGTCGACGATTGGTTCGATTTTGGCGACGGCAAAATACAAGCAATGTAGAAAACAATCAGCAGGTGGAATGTGGATTTGAACCTATCGACTATTACGTTCATCAGCAACAGCAGCATCAACAACAAATGCAGCAGAAACAAAGGCTACAAATGGGGAATGAATCATCGTTCATTGGATCATCATCAATTTCTACTTTGGATCAGGAAATCAACAATGCAGACACTCATACTACCGATGGCAATAATGACATGACAACGTCCTCTTTGGTGGTTTCCTGTATCTATTGGCGCGAAAGAAATGACTATTTCATCACTTCTGTCGATTGTATCTACTTGTTGGAAGGCTTGATTGGTGTCCAATTCACAGTGGAGGAAAAAAATAGGATTAGACGCAACTTGGAAGGATTTCGACCGTTGACTGTTAGCAAATGCAAGATAGACTGTGCTGACTTTTTCAAGCTGATCATGGGATTTCCGCATCCAAAGCCAAGAAATATTGAAAAGGATGTCAAAGTGTTTGCCTGGAAAACCTTGCCTCATGCATTGCGGAAAATCATCAGAAAATATACTCCAAATTACACCAATCCTCCCTCAACATCATCAGATCCACCTCTTTCGACTTGTCAACATTTTATTTCTCCTCCTTCGTCTTCTTCATCCATGCCTATCATTCAACAACAACAACAACAACAACAACAACAACAACAACAACAATGTCACCTCCCACAACAATACTGTTATTAACGGTTTTTACACACATACACTTTTTATGTTAGAATACTATTAATTTATTTATTTATTTATTTATTATTTATTTTATTTATTTGATCTTGATCTAATGATATTCATTAAACTTTTGAAATAAAACACATTCTTGTTGTTGTTTGCCTTTCATATGTGTGTAGCATCATCATTTGTCTATATGGGAAGATGGTCAATACAAAAAAAAAAAAAAAAAAAAAAAAAAAAAAAAAAGAGTGTCAAAAAAAGGTGATTTTTATTATTCTGTCATCATAGAAGGTAGTAGTGAAAAATAAAGAAAAGATAGGAATAAACGATAAATACAAATAGGAAGTTGATGTAAAGGGATATAAAATACAAAATTAAAAAAAAAAAAAAAGAGAGAGCTACACTAGGAAAAGTTGTTAAAGTCCATCTTGAGCTGAATGGTGGGTTGCTTGCCATCATCTGTCCTTGATGCCCTTTGTTCAATTTCTTTTTGTCGCTTTTCATTCTGTTGTTGTTGACTTGATACCATATTTCGAACACTGGCTTCCAATTGGCTACGTATATTTCCCGGTAGTAACATCACTGCATCACGGAAGGCTTGAGGTGAAGATGTGGCTATGGATAAGATGTGAGGGATCACCGTTGAATGGACTGTCGATACACCTGAATCAAATGGTGGAGCATCTAATAGTGCCGTCAATGTAGCTAATATGATTTGAAGTAATTGTGATTCTATTCACAAAAAAAAAAAAAAAAATTAGAACATTTCATCCATTTTCTATATTGTTCATACTTTGTTTGTCAGGTGCCGAGCTTGGAAGCATAATCAATATTTTGATATCTTCTGATAAACTTTCCATAGATAAATCAGATGGTGTGGTATTGTTGGTTGTCCATGATAAAATTCGAGTGATAAGAACGGGGACCATCGCATTCGTAAATTCACGTCCCAAGATTTTTGATGCTGAAACATTAGTTGCTTTTTCTGGTAATGCAAATAAAGTCCTAATACACTGATGAGACACTTGAATAATCTAATAAATCAATAAGAAATTCAGTCATCCAGTTGATCTATATATGCCTTTCATCTGCTTACCTCTCGGTTTTCCATGGTTAAACCTGATTTGATAGCATTCATCAGAGTTTCCAGTTTAGTAGGATTTTCAATCATAGCTTGAGGACATCCAGTGATAATCAGTACAGATGCTAACAATTTATTCTTTCCAACTTGAATGGCTTCCTCAGTGGAGATATCCCTACAGAAAGAAACAAAAAAAAAAAAAAAAAGTGAGCTTATACACCTTCATCTTGTCTATCAAAATGTTTCGACTTACAAAAAGATGCCTTGCAAAAGAGTTTGTAGGGCATTTGATACAACATGAGATAAGGAGCTAATTTCGGAGGTTGATAAATCACTTTCAAGCTGATGTAGCATCATTTTCATACATACAAGTGTACATGGGCCCAGAGTATTGGATAGATCAGAAGAAGCAAGGATTTCTACAACAAAAAAAAAAAGCAAAATCAGTAAATATTCAAAGAAGAACACACACAAGATAATTTTTCATCTATCTCTTACCTATATATATATGTAATGCAATGGCCAAAAGATCAACTCTATATTTAGGAGGTGTCATCTTGACCAATTGTGCCAAAGCTTCAAGAGATGACCGGAGTAATGTTGAGAGGCTTTCTTTATCATTCTCTCCAAAAGGACCTTTCAATAAAATAAGGATTATTAATAACCTCCAATAAAATAAATAAAATAGTAACTTACGAGCCGACATGACTTTATTGCGCAGTGAAGGAATGTGTTGTACAAAAACACTCACCAAAAGTCGTAACAGGTAATAAAGCTTGGCAGTTGTAGGAAATACGCCTGAATCCAAAGTATTGTCCACTGTAATCAAGTCACTATAAAAAGAGATATAATTAACTAAAAAAAGAAAAAAAAAACCATTTGTTTCTTTTGCTTACCCAGAATCTTCAAGACAGTTTTCCAAATCATCACAGAGAGCAGTAGCATTATAATTTGTAATCAAACGGTGAATGATTTCGATGATAATTAATTGCACATTATAACCTTCAGTCTGTACAAGTCGATCAAACACATTCATTAACTCCAGAAAAATCGCCTTGGGTAAAAATGAAGCACCAGTCAAAGATGGCTGTACAAAGGTTTTCAAAGCAGTCAAGCATATCACCATTATAGAAGATATGTCCAAACGACCAGTACTGCTACTAGATATACGAGATAGATTCTCCAAACATAATCCAAATAAGATATAAAACAGGTCAGATGGTGAAGTTTTGTCGTCCGTCAGATTGGAGTTGTTCATATTTGATAATGCATCCATCATTGATGTTGACTTTGTTTCAATTAGAGATGCCACTGCTTCCATAATCTTTAACCATGATCGTCGATAATACTAATCCAGAATAGATATATATATATATATATAGAACGATCATTAGTTCATCCAATCCACTTCTTTTTTTTTTTCTTAAAAAAAAAAAAATTGCTTACAGGTAAAACGACTTCCTTGGTAGCAGCTGAATACATAGAATCCATCCCACTAGATGATGAAGCATGAACACCTTCAGAACTACTTGAAAGAGCAGTAATATCCGATTCCAAACGAATTCGAGCATAATCTTGTAGAGAGCGTAGCCATAATGGACTAAGAGCATTCAGATTTCTATATCCAATCAATATTAATAATAAAGACATTCATTCATCAATATATATATTTTTATCTCTTCTCCAAAATTGATCACTTACGGTTGTAAAATTTGACGAATGTAATCTTGTCGTTGACTTGCAACCTGTAATTCAGCCCAAGCATTGAGAACAGATAACTTGACCATCACCGAAGCATGTGGACTTAGATCCTTGACTTCACCCACACCAGATAACTTGGATTCATCTTTGCAACGATCTAATGCTGAAGTCAACAATTTTAAAACACGACCAAGTTGATACAAGTCCTTCACAATACCACTACCAACATAAATGGCACAAACACGAACAGCAGCAGATACAATTTCGGAAGATGAGTCGGATCCAAAAGCAGGTGTCAATGCTGCACCAATTTGTGCCGCATATTGTTCCAATAATAACATCCCTTCTAGATCAGCATCTTCTGTTGCAGCAAATTTCTAATTTCATTTTTTATATAAAAAAAAAAAAAATTGAGTCTTTTTTTTTTTTTTTTTTTTTTTTTTTTTTACAATGTGATCCATCCCTCCACCACATCATCTAATTATTTTTACCTCTATCACCATTTTCAATAAAGCGATACCACCTAGACGTAATTCATTGACTTGAGCCGTTGCTGCTATGAAGGAAAGTCGAATCAAATCTGGCACACGGAAAACCAAATAGTCACCAATTCCAGCCTGTTGTCTTCGTTTTCTTGCCAATATCAAATTGAAATGTTCGGGATCACCTTGAGCATGGATCAAATCAATAGTCTTTTGTAAACATTGTAGAGCAAACAATTGGGTACGCCACCTAGGAGGAATTTCCACATTGACAGAGAGTCTTGATGTCATACCAGATGCATCAGCCACAGAGGTTGGTATATCAATCACATCATCATCCACAAATCCATCATCGTCATTATCATCATCATCATCATAGTCATCATCATCGTAGTCATCATCCAAAGCGTTACCATCATTGCCATTGTCACTTTCTCCAAATGCTAGACCACCCATGTTGCCTCCACTGTGTTTCTTTCTACCACGTCCACCACCTGCAAAAGGAGATGTGAATTCAGAGGTTCCACCTGTATTGTTATTGTTGTCGTCCGTAGCTTGGCCTGAGGTCAGATTCCGAGTTAATATCCGTTTTGTGATATTCACCCATACTGATGGTTCTTGTACACATGTTTCCTTGAGCCAACTCTTGATCACATTTTTAACATCAAACAGTTTGGGATCCGTATCAAGCATTTTGAATAGTTCGTTGTCCAATCCTTGATGTGCCGCCTTGAAGACCAAACTAGCATCACGTTGCACCAACTGATACAAGCAAGTGACAGCCGCCTTCTTGAGTGGGATATGAAGGCAAGTGATTTGTTGTTGTAAATAAGGTACTAATTCGTGCACTTGTAAATATTGAGGAGCAAACATGAGGAAATGCTGTATACATCGGATAGCCTCCACATTGACACGTTGATCAGGTTCCAATTTGAGTTCTTCCACCATATTGAGGCATAATTCGCGGATTTTGGATGATGCTTGTAATTCTGGACCAAGTGTACCAATCAACTCATAGATAATCCGTCCAAATTCTTGGTAAGCTGTAAATCCAACTGACATACCTGCATTTGAAACAGCTATCGATCCACTGCCAGGTTCATGTGTTTCGCTAAGATAGAGTTTGGCCACCATTCCGAGAGTGCTATTAACAAAACCAGAAAACATAAGACCAGCTGCGCTCACCGTCATAGCCAAAGCTTCCAATGCCCATACATGCACTACAGGGTGAGGATCACTACTAAGAGACAATAGTATACCAACGATCGTTTTGAGATGAGGAGCTGCTGCCATACCACCAACATGACAATATATATAACCAATTGCCAAAGCACATCCCGCACGTACATCTGGATCACGATTACTAACCACCAAGTCCACTAGCTGCTGCATCTGTGAGGCGACAAATGATCCACCAACAATAGTTGTAAGGCGTCCCATCGTTTCCGCTGCTGCATTTCGTAAATAAGGATCTGGATGTCCAACGGCTTCCATAAGAATTTCTTGTACAAGTTGTGTCGCTCGACCAATAGCGATAGTATCCTGTATAACGACTTCGGTACTATTGGTATTTTTGCGCTGGATGTTCAATGAATTATTGTCGTTACTGTTGTTGCTGTTTCGTTGATGTGCTGATGATGCTGTCATCATATTCTTCAAAGCCCCTAATAACGCGACAACTACATTGACGAGAACGGCTGCTCGTTTTGGAGACTTCTTTTCTGATCGACTGTCCTTGACTACTTTGGCGATAAGTTCATACGTTGATTCTTGAACTGGAGGAGGTTGACTTGGAAATAGAGTCGCAAATAATTCAATACTGGAATCCACATAAGAAGTCGAAGGAGCAACTGGTTCTGGAATCATGGTCTGTCGAGTGTCCTTGTCAAAAGTTGTATAGAGATAAAGAGGATCCAGTTCGGCTGAACCAAGAATAGGACGTTCTAATAATTCTTCTACTCGTTCAAATCGATCCTTTGTCACCCATTCTTTCCCCCTAAGGTTGTCTTCGTACTGATCAGTATCCATTGTACCAACATCAACATGATACCCTTTCAATTTACTTGTCACCCCGTAACCATGACCATCAGTTGCAGACCACAAACTAACAAATTGACCAGGTATAGTTGCAGTCACTTGAGAATGTGTACCGGATGAAGGAGTCACCTTTTCTGGTTCGGTAAAAACAGTTAGAGAATTTCGAAGCAAACTAGTAAGTGATGATTCATATGTTGATAGTAGCGGTCGAAGAGTGACAAAACATTGGAAAAGTCGTCGTCGTAATCCATAATATTGATCGGTCAATTTCGTTTCATACGGAAGGCATGGAGATAAGACAGAGGCTGAGAAGGTAGCAGGAGCGGTCGCCAAAAATGCAAAAGAATTGTTCAATAAAGCCGATATACGTTTTGCAATATCCAAGGTAACCAAAGACACATTGTTGTGAAGAAGAAAACTATAAATAGAGGTAGTAGCACATTCACGCGAGTGAAGAGAGTAGGACCATTCTGCTTCATTTCTTATAGCATTTGCTTCTTTTCCAGTTGGTTTGGGAAGTGCAGATTTCCAAAAGAGTAACAACTGAGGGAGATGAAGTTTCACCAGATTTGGACCCAAACACATCAAGGATCCAACCAGGGTCCAGGCAACTTGAAGTTGAACACTTGCAATTTTGGAATCTTTGTTGATATTCTTGAGTAAATGACTTGCAATTGACATGGCACGAGCACTGAGATCAAATGATGTGTAAATTGGTCGAGAAGGAAATACACTCATAATAGCAGCAGCAGCATAAGCATAGGCAATAGTACGTTGTTGAATTTGTAGAGTGGTAGTTGAGTTTGATAGATTAGCCAAATCTTTTTCCAATGAGTTCAAAGTTCTAGGTAAGAGGTAAGGTAAATTTGCCGGAACAGAATAACAAACACAACGGATACACCAAATTGCTGCTGTTTGTACAGCAAAACTTGGATGAGTCAAAAGTACAAACAGAGGTTCAACTAAGACATCCTGTAATAAATAAAAAAAAAAAAAAAAAAAAGAATGAGAAACGAGAGTTATCGAGAGAGAGAGAGAGACAGATAATAAAAAATCATTACCTGAACAGAGACAGAAGCACCTTCCAATTCACATATCAAAGAAGAGACCACATTTGTAACACATATAAGAGTATGTTTGCTAACCGGAACCTGATTCGGAATGAGTGAAGGCCATAGTTTGATCCATTGAGTCACTAGAATTCGTATAGCTGAGGCTTGACCTTGTTCGCTGAGAAGACGTTTCCCAATAGTATTGTGTAATAAAAAGAAAACTTGAGCACGAGCGAATGCCCCATCAGAAGCATCTAATATAGTAGTAGTTTTGGATCCACCTTCTAATATTTCTTTGAATAGATGTTTTGCAATAGTTGAGTAGTTGGTGTCCACAAAATCCGTTCCAAGAAGTGTAAATAATGTAGCATAGGATTCTATAATACCGATTTTGATTTCACGACTAGTTGTTGGTCGACCATAAAATGTTGAGAGTTGTTCCAGCATTTCATCGACAGACATAAGAGAGGTATCCGCTTGTAAGCCTTGTGATTTCTTTGTTATTGTGACAGATTTATCGCCAGTCATTGCATATTTCACGTTGGGTTTGTTTGGATCGACCATAGCAGAAGATTGTGTAAATGCCAAAAGCGTTGCACAAAGGGAAGAGATCGCCCGCCGAACAGGAAAACTTGAATTCTCGAATGATTTGAAGATGATTTGAAGCAACTGCTCTACATCATGATTTGTATATGCTTGACTTGTATGACGAATCGATGCTTCAATGCACTAAAAAGTGAAGAAAATAGAATGAGTGATAAAAGTGACTAGACTAATTGATTTTATATTGAATCTATACCTGAGCTGATGATATCCGCATCGCAAGTGCTTTGTCAACCAATCCTTGTTTCAGAGACTTCATCCAATCCTTCAAACTTGTTTCTGTTGCTGCCTTTCCTGCACCTTTGAGTAACTGAGTGAATGCGTTGATAGCTTCAAGTCGTAACAGTAATGTATTCTACAGAACAGAGACTTTGATTAGTCAAATAGTTCCTATACATATTTCCTTTTTTTTTTTTTTCTTCACTCACGTTGGTATTTTTCAAGACTTTCAAAAGAATGTTTGATGTTTCGCCAAAAAGTGATAAGATCTAGGAGTAAAAAAAAAAAAAAAAAAAAAAAAAGGAAGGTATATAAGGTGAGAAAATATTATGCTTTCATACTGTTTTGTCCTAATATTTTGTCATGCCACATACATTACTTCCAACAGCTTCCATGAGTGCACCAGTAGTCGATATAGCGGCACTAGAAAAGAATAGAGAAAGAGTAAAAAAGAAAATAAGTTTTCATTTCGTAATGTATACATTCACTTACATTTTGGTCTCTTTATCGATATTTTTGCTAGCACTGATAAGACTGTGAAGGGCAGTGACCGTATCGAAAAGTTGTTTGGTATCACCCCGTGTATACAAAATGACATAACAGCGACCGATGAGAAAGCGAATAGGTCGTCGTGGTTTTGCGGTCGAGAGAGATATCAAACGTAATAAAGTCTTTTCCAGTAAGGATTGTGATCGCTTCAGCTTGCCCTAATAGTAATAGATATAAAAGAGAAATAGAAAATGAGTATAAAAAAGATTATTGAAATATTCGTTTTGTCATCTTACAACAGGAAGAACCTTGATTTCGCGTTCCACTTGAGCCAACCATTGAAGTACATAAAGTTCTTGTTTTTCTGCTGTTTCCGCTTCTTGAAGTCGTTGTTCATCGAAAACGAATGCCTCTGGGATATCAGAGGATGTGGAAGAGGAAGAGACTTTCGACTCTGCCATCAAATAGAGTAAAAGTGATAAAAAGAAGAAAAAAAAAAAAAGAAAAAGAAAAAGAAAAGAAAAGAGAAAGGTGCTGAAGTTTATTTGAAGCCCGCGTCTTTTATTTTTTGGGATAATAAAATCTATCTATAATTTTATACATTTCGAAGGATTTTTCGTTGTTGTTGACTGTTTAACCGCCGTAATCGAAGCTTTTGTTCTTGTTCATCATCGTTATCCAGTTCTATTTCTGATTCATCACTTGCTAATAATTCATCCCTTTTCCTTTTCAACTACGAAAACAGTATTAGTTTAGAATCGATGGCTTAAAACCTATTGACTTACTATGGAAGGAGTTGCTGCTTGATTTGCTGGTCCAAATGGTGGAGGAAGATTCATTTTATTCATAAGATGAAGCACTTGAGTGTACAATCTTGGCACGGTCGCGATAGCATTCATCATATTTCCTAGGATTTCTGGTGTTGGTGTTGGATATTGATACTGTAGATGAGGATTGGACGGATATTTCAATCTATAGGGGAATTTCATAAATACGGATGATCAAAAATTTGACTCTTGCACAATTTTTTGTTGCTGATTATCTTACCCTAAATCGGATGCTATAGGTACAGCATTCTTTCCAGAAATCAGTTTTGTGTTCATAGTCGCATTTGCCATGTTACTGTTGTAATCTGTTTGGTTTTTCTTAGCATATTCCACTCGTAATCCACTGTGAGTAGAATCTATCCTATGACCATCGAGTCGTTGATATGCATCTTCAGCCAATTGTCGAGTTTCAAAGTCCAAAAAAGTATAGCCATTCTATACCATATTGATATGCAAACCTTCAAATGAGTATGTGAAAAGAATTATTTCTTTTTTTATGTGTAATTACCTTGTCCTTGATTTCAATCGGTTGTACATTGATCGCACCGTATTTTTCAAAGAATTCTTTTTGCAGATCAGTTCTTGAGTTGAAGTTTGAAGGCAGATTCTTTATTACAAGTGTCGTTTTTTGTGTAATCGACCAAAAAAGAAAGAAAAAAATAAGTATCGCCAAGTCGTAGCTAAATTATTCTATAAATGTCTTTAACTAATAAGTATCATTAACTCACTTGATTTGATATTGAAGTGTTTTTCGATATGCTCTCAGTAGATGTGTTTTCCATTTATCGAAAAAAAAAAAAAAGAAAAGAAAAAAGAACAATAGGAAATTCAGAGCCGGTAGGGACAGAGCAGAAAAAAAAAAAAATTGATAGTGTGGAAAGATATTTGAATGCCGTCTGTTCTTTTTCTTTTCCCTTTTTTTTTTTTTTTTTTTTTTTTGCAATGAAGCAGAATGAAAACTTGGTGTTGGTAAATATAAAATATTTAATCATAGACTTGAAAAAGGGATATGATTTAACTCACATGATTTTACTTTCTATAGGTTGGAACAAAAACTATTCTTGTTCCATACAAATCCCAACATGTCAAAAAGTACCATGAATGGATGGCATCCCCCTTTCTTCAAGGTAAGTCAATGTGCTGATAGTAAAAAAGAAAAAAAAAAAGATCTTTAGTTAACATTAATTTTATATCTATTATTTTTGTTTTTTATTCTTAGAAATGACTGCGTCAGAACCGTTGACTTTGGAGGAAGAATATGATATGCAAAAATCTTGGCACGAAGACAGCAATAGTAAGGAAGTATATAGACAAACTTTTCTTTAAATACTGATATGATCATGTTTTAGAATGTACTTTTATTTTGCTTGGTCTTCCAGATTGCGCTAAAATTGAAAACGACATCAGCATGGATTATATTCGGGATAAAGCTGGTAAATTGAATATATATACAACAAAAATGATCGATTTATTCATATACTTTTCTTTTGATTATTGTTATCATTGTTTCTCTTGTTTAGTTATGATTGGTGATGTTAATATCTTTTTAAATGACTGTGATGGTGACATGAGCTTTGGTGAAATCGAAATAATGGTTGCTGAAGAAGCATATCGACGACATGGGTATGGATTAGAAGGATTAAAAATGATGATGGCATACGGTAAGGAATAATTTCAAGAATATTTGCAAGCTAAATGAATGATTTTCTATTACCTCTTGTTTTCTAACTATTAGTCTATTTTTTTTTTTTTTTGTATGCTGAAAATTGAAAGCTTCGAAGGATTTACATATCAAGACGTTCCACGCTAAGATATCAATGAAAAATACACCAAGCATCCATCTTTTTGAAGAAAAATTGGCCTTCTATCCAATTTCTCAATCAGAAATCTTTCAAGAAATCACACTGGAATGGTCTATACAACAACAAGATTCTTTAGTATCCAACAATGATAATGATGACGATGGCACTGATCAATATGGTTCCAAGGCGACAACATTACAGAAAGAAAACTGCATCCTACTACATGAATCATTGATGAAAATGTGGGAACAAGAAATCCAAAAATTACGTTGGGACAATACCTTATTATAGATCTCCTTTCATTGAAATACATTTTATAGAAATAAATTCTCAAGTACTTCTTTAAAGCTTTTAAAAATCAAGTTCATTAGGATATTTTTTTTTATCAAAAGGAATAAGATCGTATACATAATTCTAACACTATTTGATTTTGTATTTAAAAAAAAAAAAAGAATTTATTTTACAAAATAGTATAAATACATAAAATCAAAAAAAAAAAAAAAATGGAATGGAGGATAAAAAATTACAACTATAAAATAGATAAATAGAGGAGATTCACCAGTATATATATTCCAAGCCAAGAAATGAACCATGATGATGTCGATCTAATTGAGCCCACCACCAATCAGGAGATACCTGTAACGAGTCAATATGTAGCTGAATATCGGGAGTGACCATGGATGAATTAACTGTTGTGTCGAAATTAAATTCAACAAGAGCAGAGGATGAATGAGTAGTTGGTACTGGAATGGATGGATATGATACGAGTCGTTGGATATGGTACTGAACGGTAAAATGAGGTTGTAATTTGGCTGATAAATAGAGTTTGCGCTGCGGCTCCATATCATGATAATCATCTGCCAAGACTTGGAAAGAATAATCAGATGGTAAAGTTGTAGCAAATTCGAGTAGTTTGGTAGGTACTTTTTCTTTGAGTACACTGACTTGAATGGTGGTGGCCGTGGTATCAAATGGAATGAGAATTGAATCATTATCGATATGTTGTTTTATTTGTTGTTGTTCAGGTGGTGGTGACAATGTTGCTGAAGATACCATTTCCATCAATTGGTCATTCAATGGAGTATGATCAACAAGAGAGCAAAAGCCGTCTTCTCCAAATGCTCGAACTGAGAAATGAATGTTGAGTGAATATGGATCAATGTATTGATATTCGCAGACATATTCTTTATCCTCTTCATAACTATTGTCATCTTGATCGGTTGCTAATTTTGATACAGTTGCACCAAGCTACAATAAGAAAAGAAAAAAAAAACATATTTGAAAAATTAGGTCTTCTCTTTTTTTTTTTATTATTATTTTAATTTTTTAATACCATTAACCGCCATCCATCTTCCATAGACTGCTGAGCTCTTTCATCCAAAAGTACAAGAGACCAGTATCGTAACGGCCGACAATGAAACCTAGCCAGTTTTGTGATATCTGCAGATGGAAGAAATTGAAAGATATTGTAAATAATTTCTGGTGGAAGTCGCTGTAGATTCATATTATAATAATTATAATAATAATAATAATATTGATGAGTATAATAAAGTGGATGGACCAAAGAAATAGAAAGAAGAAAAAAAAAAATTAAGACAATCTGGTGATACTGTATGTAGGAAAAAAAAAAAAAAAGGAATGTATTCAATCTCCGTTGCATAAATACGTATGATATTTTTTTTTTATTTTTCAAAAATGGGTAAAACTATTCACTCTACTACAAGCATTTGAACATTCACTTTTTCATAGTAATTCACTTTTCAATAGAAGTGGATGATTCTTTTCCTGTTGACAAAGTTGTTCCAGTTTCAGTCCTATGATGTTGTGGTTGCTGAGCATGGATATCGTTGCCAGATGGAGTATTTAACTGATGGGCTGGGAATGGAGTTGCATTGTGAGTTGATGGTGAATTTGATGATGATGGATAAGAAGGCACAAATGATGGAGTATATTGTTGTGAATTGAGGTTTCTTGTTGTATCTACTGATGAACTAGTTCTCTGTTGTTGTGGAGTCATTTTGGCATCAGAGTCAGTGTGAGACAAATTCGTTGAATATAATTGTCTTGAGGGTAATACGGTTGTGTCGATGTCCATACTGGATGTTCCCACCGGTGATGGATGACGCTGATGACGTTGATTTTGCTGTTGCTGTTGTTGTTGCTGTTGTTGTTGTTGTTGTTGTCGTTGTTGTCGTTGTTGTTGTTGGTGAGCTTTATGCTGCGGTTGTTGATGATGATGATGATGATGAGCCATGGGATTGGATTGTAACGCTGGATGAATGGTTGGTTCATTACTATTGGTTGGATTGTCATTTGTGCTTCTACCAGGTTCGTTATTGTTGTTTGATCCGCTGATGGGAGTTGGACTATCAGGGTCGAATTGAAAACTAATGTCAGATGTAAATTCGCCAGTACTTGTAGGAATATTGTAAGTGTTTTGGAAAGGTACATAAGGAGATAGACCAGTTGTATCTAATGGAAGACCTTGATTACCAAAATCGGTGTGATAGACAAAAGTATATGTTTGTGATGGCGTATGCATTGATGATTCGTCTGTAATGGATGATAGTTGGTGGGCTGTTCCATGATGTTGATGTGTCTCCAAACTGGACTGGCCATGTAAATGTTGTAGTGGATTGTTGATAACATGTTCAATATGCAATGTATTTTGTGGTGATGTTGATGAAGTGATTTGTGACCTTGATTTGACTTTTCTTGCCGTCTTTCTTGCTGTGGTATCCGTAGATGATGATCTTGTCCGCCTGGGATTTCGTGTCATGACTTCCGTTGTGTCTGATGTAGAACTTATCGGAATTGATACATGACCAGACGATCCTGCTCGTTGGGTATGGATCTTGACAAAATACGAATGTTGAGGTATATTGACTGTGATATAACCTTTTGGCGGCTCTACTGGTTTGTTGTTATTGTTGTTGTTGTTGTTGTTGTTGTTAGTATCTGGTGCCTTTCCTTTGGAAGATGATTTCGAGCTTGATTGTGATTCCCCTACAAATCGAGTGAAAGGTGTCGTCGAGTATGGCGATATGACATTTGATGGTGCTAATGATGATGATGATGATGATGATGACGATTCTACGTTTGTTTCCACAGGAATACGACTATCGGATGTTGCTGTGTTATCCAAATTTGATTCTGATTGCGATGAAGTAAGAGATGATGGTACATTTAACGTTGATTCGTCGATATTCGCAGATTTACATATAACTTGAAGTAATTTGATCATATCTTCTTCCACGTAATCAGATAATTCTTCATGTCCAGCAGAGGCCATACAAATTTTCGTCCAAATGCCAGTCAAATGTTTTGCACGTTGTTCTGCTTCTCGATACTTGATTTTTTGTCGCTCGTCAGAGAGTCGATTGTAAAACCTTCGTTCATTCCAAGTAATATTGTCGAATTGAGATTTCACACGAGATCGGATTTCTTGAGTAGGTAAGCGTAATCGTGCTAGTTCACATATCAGTTCGTTCACTTCCTTGGGCCAAGATTTTTCAATTTCTTCAGGTCGCATCAATTCATGATTATGTTTTGCAGCATCAGGATTTAAAGATTTTCTAAATTCCCATTTGCCTTTCCGTTCATATAAAACAACGCGCCATCTACAATCGCATCGTTTTGAAGGTCGTTTTCGTTGGGGGTTCACCTTAGGGTTTCGTAGCGAATCGGGCAGACCTTCACGAGAGCAATACACATATATGTTCTGAGTAACCATGAATAAAGATTACCGAAATCAGTATACCAAGATAAATAATTATAATTATTCTAAAAAAGTTTTTTTTTTTTCCTATTCTTACCCTGTGAGTACTAGCTTCTTGTTTGACTGTAAATCCATATTGAGCACAAAGGCTTCGACATTGTTTGATAGCTGTAGCACTGTCAGTGAAACTGAGGCTGAGAAGTTCGGCGTAAAATGGTTCCAACTGATAAAAAAAAAAAAAAGAAAGAAAAAAAAAAGTGAGAAGAGAAATAAGGATAATGTATATACAAATCTATATTATAAGTTTATTACCGGTGATTCTGACCCAGATAAGTCCTGTTGTTGTTGTTGTTGTTGTTGTTGACCAGAAAACGATGATTCAGCTTGGTTAGACGTAGATGTCATTGGCAGGATAACTCGGTACCACCACTCTTTTGGTACAAAAAAGCGTCAGAAGTTGTTGTAAAGGGAGAGTCGTATGTATCGATAATGAGAAGTCGTAACAAAAAAAGAAACAAGATCGTCCAAGTATAAAAACAAAAAGGATGAAGAATAAACTATAGAAAGAAAATATATATGAATAACATTGTTTAGTTCCAAAAAAAAAAAAAAAAAAAATACCTTCAAAGTTCAAGCATCCATTCAAATATTTAGAATCAAGAACAAGAAGCAGGTTCCCGCGGAGCAAGTAAATGATGCGCCTGTGCTTCAAAAAAAAAAAAAAGGACTATAATGAAAAGAAGAAAAAGAAAAAAAAAATAAGAAAGAAGAAAAAAAAAAGGAAAAATAAGAAGCGGAAACGAAAATATATATATATATATAAAGTATACGTTATATAGAGGAAGAAAATTAGTGACAGTGTTTGGTTCCATGCTTTTTGACTATAGTACATATAAGAACAACAAATTTGAAACATCTCCAATAGAGATCTCTCAAAAGTTATCTGTGTGTTACTGTCGGTGTCCACATTTCTTCTTGATGCTATTTCTTTTCTCCTTGTCAGACCATCAAATCATCACTCTTTTTTTAAGTCATACTATTACAGTAATTTTATAACAATTATTATTCATATAATTTTATTGTATACATTGTAAATTTATAAATAAAATATATATATATTTAAAGATATATATATATATATATATATATCATTTTTTCTTTTTACAATCAAATATTTATTTCAAGTCCGCAATTTTTTTTTTCCTTTTTCTCTTTTTCTTCCCTTTTTTTTTTTTTTTTTTTTCTTATTATGCCTATTCCTATACCACTTCACAATGATTTTTATTCATTATTAAACCATTCTCCAAGAGATAAAATATTTCATTCTATATTACAACAACAAAACCTTAATACTATTAAACGTTTTCCTGATTCTATCTATCATGCTTACAAATCTCTTGGTCTTTCTTTTTGTTTTGTATCTAAATCTAAACCCATTCAACAATGTGACGATTATGATGATAACTTGATTCTTGATGCTATTGATATATACAACGGTGTGACTAAGGATGGATATCAACCTTATTCTTTGAAATTGGATTTACCCTATATTGATAGTTCTATGGTAGCTCATGATATCGTTTCTTTACTTGGTGAACCTGATCGTAAAGGTGGTGGTGGCCAAACGCGTCTTCCCTGTTGGATTGAATATAAATTTGAGAAAAATTCTGGTGGTATGATGATACAACTTCATGGTCTGGACTGGGATGATAGTAAAATGGGTTGGACAAGTATTGTGCTTTATAGATAACTCATATATTTCAAAAATGGCTCCATTTGGTTCAACTATTCCTTTTTTTTTTTTTTTTGATTGGCTGACTTACCCAAATTGATCTTCTTTTGTTCTTCCACTGTCACAAAAATTGGTAACATACCGAAAAAAAAAAAATTTTTTTCAGCTCCCCTGGTATATAAAAGTGTGCTTTTTTTTTTAGGCTCTTCTTAACATTTTCTTTTCTTTTGTTTTTTTTTTCAATATACAGTTTGTCCTGGGAATACTACCAGATGATTTAGGTAAATATGTTTACTATTATTATGTATTGTTGGAAGAGGAAAAAGAAATAAATAAGATACAATGATGGAATACTTTTTTTGGACCCGAATCTATTTATTACTCATATCCGATGGTTCACTTATACCGATATGTGGGTTTTCCAAGGTGAACAATCTCTGAAGTTTCTTGTTTATATCTATATTTCTCTTCCAACTACTATATCTATATTAAATAGAAGAAAAGCTATCGATACTTACAAAATTCTATATTATCCCTTTTTTTTTAGATTTCCTATTGGTATTTTTTTCGCAAAAGAAGATTTAGTTTAGTTTAATAGTCTTAATTTTCCTTCAATAAATATCTTTATTTTGAACTTGTACTTTATTCTGTAAGCAACATCCAAAAAAAAAAAAAAAAAAAATGAGAGAGAATGATATAGGCCTTGAGTGTTTTGTACCTATCATTCCACTTTTTGGACCAAGTAACATTTTACCCCTCAATGTCATCATGCTGACAGACTTTTTTTTTTTCCTCTTCCAGTCATCAAAAAAAGGTATATTAGATGGCAAATTTCCATTCAAATCATAAATGAATCAAATAAAAATGATAAAATAAAAATATCAAAAGTTTTGTGAATTTATTTGTTATATATATATATATATCTACAATGGACGAGGATCATATTAAAAAATGGGAACGATAAACGGCAGTATCAATAAAATATATAAAGAGATAAAGGGTATTGATTATAATACTAAAGCTACTACATCTTTCCTTTCTATTCCCTTTCCCAAACAGCAGCCATACCCTATCATAAAAAAAATAAAATAAAAATATGAATATCTATACATACAAATCCCCATTTATCACACACATCCTAAATTTCTTTCCACCATTTTCAACATACCATTCCAGAGCCTGTCACAGAAAAAAAAAAAAAAAAAATCAAATAAGTATCATAAATAATATAATAATAGATCAGTGATCAAAGAATATCGTTCTTCATTTCACAAACTTACCAATACACATAGAGGTAACACCAATATTCTTTCCTTGACGTTGTAATTCAGGGAACAAAGTAGCAACTTGACGAGCACCAGTACAACCAAGAGGATGACCAATAGCAATAGCACCACCTTTAGGATTGACTTTTTGTTGATCCAAACCAAGAACGCGAACGGTATAGAGGGCTTGAGAGGCAAAAGCTTCATTGATCTCATAGATATCTACATCTTCCAACTTTAGACCAGCACGCTCCACAGCAACAGGGATAGCGTAGGCTGGACCAATACCCATGACACGAGGAGGAACACCAACAGAGGCAGCAGTAATATATTTACCAAGAATAGGCAAATTCAATTTTTGAGCCACCTTGCGCTTCATCAAAAGAACAGCAGCAGCACCATCAGAGATTTGAGACGCATTTCCAGCAGTGGTGGAACCAGTGGGAGTGAAAGCAGGTTTGAGTTTACCAAGACCTTCGACTGTAGAATTACCACGGATACCTTCATCTTGATCAACCACCACTTTCTTAGGATTGTTACCATCTTTGTCCAATACAGTCACAGTAAGAGGAACAATTTCATCCTTGAAGTATCCAGCAGCTTGAGCAGCAGCAGCCTTTTGATGAGATAAAACAGAGAAAGCATCTTGTTCTTCACGAGTTAAACCATATTCCTTAGCAACAGCTTCAGATGTAAGACTATGAGAATTATGGACAGGATAAGTAAATAATTTTTTTTTTTTTGATATAAATGATTTTCATTTACCCCATGGGAATTTTACAATCTTCAGCAGCTTGAGATTCCTTGCAAAGTTTTTCAGATACAGTGACTTTACGAGAGAAATAATCAGATGTCATAGATTCCACACCAGCACCAATACCAATATCAATAAGACCCGCTTGAATGGCAGAGGCGATTTGGACACATGCTTGTAAACCAGAAGAACACTGACGATTGACAGTAGATACAGTGGTGGTTTCAGGAAAACCAGCATACAAGGCAGCCATACGAGCAGGAGTAGCAAACCCACCTTTGGCAGCCACATTACCAACAGCAATATCTTGCACTACAGAAGGATCAATACCAGTACGATCAATAGTAGCCTTCAACACACCAGCCAAAAGTTCTAAATTTATTCATGGAAATAAATATCATTTACCTTTTATTACTATTATTATTATTATTATTATTATTATTACTATTTTATTTTATTTTTTTTTATTTTATTCTTACCATCACCCAAAGTATCTTTGAATCCACCCTTACGACCTTTGGCAAGAGCTGTACGGACAGCAGAAACAACTACCACATCTTCTGGTGACTTGACGCCAACTTTGGTGACTTGTTCATTGGAAAGAGAAGGTAAACGAATAGGATAAGGTAAAGAGATAGACATGATGAATGAGAATATTGAAGGAAGAGAAAGAAAAACTAAAAAAAAAAAAAAAAAAAAAAAAGAAAGAAAAGAAAAGAAAGAGAAAAAAAAAATAAGCAATAAAAATTACTAAGATCAATTCCCCGCATCAAAAAATCGGAACTGCCTTCTGCCTGAGAAATTCAAAATCATAAGCATCAATACGGTAAAAAACTTTTACCGTTCATTATATAAAAGTCAAACAATAGTAGTTGAATTCGTACAATATAAAATAATAGAAAAATGATAAAAAGATGATGTATAAAAATATAACAACATGATGATAAATGTTTAATAATAATAAAGAGATGATAACAATTTGGTGATTTGATGAAGAGTGTAAAAAAATAAAAAAAAAAGAAAGAGAGGAGAATACTAAAAAACAACTAAAATAATAATAAACCACATTGTAAATATATATATATATATAACAAAAAGACGCACAAAACTATATAAAAACTATATATATATATTATATATAAAAATCTATCTAATCAATATCCATTTCATCCTTCTTTTCTTCTTGAGCATCTTCCTTCTTTTCTTCAGAATCAGCCATAGGAGAGTCAGTAGGTTCTTCTTCAACAGGCTTAGGAATAGGCTTGGGCTTGTTCAAAATAGGAGTAGCAAAGGCAACAACGGCATCTTCTTCCTTGGTGATATCACGGGCAAACAAGATGGGAGTTTCACACTTGGGTACCTTTTCTTGTTTGGCCAATTGTTCATCCAACCAACGACGAGCACGATCACAACGATCCACAATATCTTGCTTTTCTTGAGGAGCAATGTGAGCATACTTATCATCAGTACTCATGGCTTCTTGAGTTACACGTTGAATGGCATCACGAAGAGAGTTGGCAGCACGAGGTCGTTCTTCAGCTTCACGATAACGTTCCACCACAGGGTTACCAATGTTCTTGAGGGTTTCCAATTTTTCAACATACACAGATTTGGGTTGATCATCACCTTCATCATAAATCCAGTCAACGACAGTATTCAAATCTTCAACAAACTTGTCCTTAATGGAAGGTTCAATGTATTCAGCCAAAGGACCAGTGATCTTGTCGCGCATATCATAACCGTATTCTTCAAGGGAGTTCTTGGCAGCTTCAGTGGCCATGATGAGTTTATCAGAGGCATACATTTGGCTTTCCTTTTCAGCGTATTGATCAGCAAGATTACGAGACAAAGAGGTAGTGCCACTAACCACAGTAAGATCACCAGTCTTGACAAGCTTCTTGGTCTTTTTGATTTCCTTTTCACCTTCCTTGTTGGTCACTTCTTCTTCCACAACCTTTTCTTCCACAGTGTGAGCGCTTTCAACAGATAAGATACCATGAATATTAAGTCTGACCTTGACCTTGATTTGAGCAGGTTCGCCGTTGACAGGTTTGACATCCTTGATGGTGAATTGACCCAACCAGGGGTTGATACCACGAGGTAAAGCTTCAGGTTCAGCATACTTGGCTTCCAAAGTGAAAGGTTCGCTTCGGTGGAAAGTCAACATCTTGGTAGAAGGGATACTGTTGTTGCTGTCAAATACCACGATTTCAGTATCATCATCTTCGGGAGACTTGGTCCATTCAAGTTTGATGGGATAACTGCAGATATCGCACACACGGAAATCACGAACCTTGAATACAGGAGATAACATGGCACATTGAAGAGCAGCACCACGAGAAACAGCTTCATCTTGATTCAAAGTGGTAGAGATGGGCTTACCAAAGAAGTTGGAGATAGTGGTCTTGATAGCAGGAATACGAGTAGAACCACCAACCATTTCCACAGCATCAATTTCTTCAATAGACATACCAGCACGTTCCATAGCCTTGCGCAAAGTATCTTCAGTACGAGTGAATAAGTGAGAAGCCCATTCTTCAAAATCGGAACGGTTGACAATAGTGTGAACATCACGATCATCCATAATAGATTCAATGTTGACAGGCGCCAAGGGATTAGCAGAGAGAACCTTCTTGCATCTTTCAGCAGCAACCATGAGACGAATCAAAGCCTTTTGGTTGGTGTAAACATCAATCTTGAACTTTTCCTTGAATTCAGCAGCGAGATGTTCCACAATGACGTTATCAAAGTTGCGACCACCAAAGTGTTGATCATAGGCAGAACCACGGACAGTTAATTGACCTTTTACAAAAGACACTACAGACACGGAGTAACTAGAATGACCAACATCCACAAAGGCAACGTTACGGGGCTTTTCTTCAGGCAAATCAGTCTTAGTGATACCATAACCAAGAGCAGCAGCAGTCAAATCATTCACCAAACGCAAGCAGTTCAATCCAGCAATTTCAGCAGCAGTAATAATAGCACGACGTTGAGCTTCAGTGAACCAACCGGGAACGGTAATCACACAGTCAGAGACAGGAGAAGTGATTTCTTGGGCAGTAATATCCTTGAGCTTGGACAAGTACATGGCAATCACTTGAATATTGGAGAAAGTTTGAGGTTCACCGAGGTAGTTGACCTAAATCATAAAACATCATCAATATTCCCACTTGCTCTTTGTCTGTTTAAAAAAAAAAAAAATATTATATTTACTTACCTTAACACCAACTTGACCATCAACATCCACAAGTTCAGCAGCAATGAACTTCTTTTCGAACTCTTGAAGATCAGGGTCAGAAAGAGTACGACCAGCAAGACGCTTCAAACTACCGACAGTATTCTTATAATTACTGATTTCTTGAGTCTTGGCAGCTTCACCGAGATAACGTTGTTTGTAACCGAAAGATACAAGAGAACTATATATATATATTTAAAAAGGTGATGAATAATTTTTTTTTATATATGTTGTTGTATTTAACTTACGGAGTAGCACGGTTGGATACTTCGTTGCAAATAACATCGATACCACGGTTTCTAGCCACAGAAATGACAGATTGAAGGTTACCCAAATCAATACCCTAATATAATATAATAAAAGATATTTCCAAAAAAAAAAAAAAAGTATCGATAACATACAAGTGTCAAAAAAAAAATATGTGATTAGTATTGAAATTCGTTTCCTATAAATCTATTTGACTAGTTGTTTATTGTAATATTAAAAGAAATATTGACTTTACCACGACAGACATGATGTGTTATAAAGGAACAAAAAAGATTGAAAAAAAAAGGGAAAGAAAAAAAAAAAAAAAAAAGAACCAAGTATACCAAAAAAAAAAAAAAGTGATGTCTTCAAAAGTTTTAGGAGAGTCTTCGGGAAATCAAAAAAAAGCCCTTTAGTGCCGTGACTAGCGTTGACAGCTAAGAAGATTCTCGAGCCATCTATGCAATAAAAAAAAAGCCACCCAAGATAAAGGTACTGTCAAAAATCATGCCTGATCAAATACAAACTATTCCCATTTGGTCAATAAATTTTCAACACATCTTGCATGATAAATCATCTAGTAAAACGATTACACGGTTTATTTTCGAATAATATTGAAGGATATCATTTTCTATACCATATTTTTTTGACCCTGAGTCTCTCATCTCAGTCTCAAAAAAATTGTGCGAGTACCAGATCAAAAATTAAAAAAAAAAAAAAAAATACAGTGCTTTTTTTTTTAATTTTCGTCTTGTATTTCATTTATGGATGCATGGATTAAAAAAAATCCTTTTTCTTTTATTTTCTTTCTTTTAGTTCCTTTCGATCTTGTTGTATCAGCATACCTATAACATATGCGTATAATAAAAAGAATACATTCATACATATATAATACAACTTGGAATAATATTGACATATAATAAAAGTAGTTGTAATAATATAAAAACTTTATTGAATAATAAAAAAAAAAAGTATGTAAACTAACGACTACACTAATGTATATAATAAAACCATAAAAACAAAAGTCAATGGAAGAGAAAAAAGAAAGGAAAAAGAAAAAAAGATAAAAAATAAAAAGTACATAAAAATAAAAAAGAAACAAAAAAAAGGGGGACTTTGAAATTTATTCTACTCTTAATTTAATGGATAAAGAATGTCGATATATTTACCATATAATCAATCATCACAGTAATTTAATCATGTATATCATTCAAACTAGCTTAAATGTATCAAGGCAAAGTACCTATTGTATTTAATAACATATGATGATGAAAATTTTATTTTCAAAACAGATATAAAATAGACATAAATTTTTCAAGTGTAGATACAATAATCAACTTTCTTTTTTTTTTCTTTTTTCTTTTTTTTTAAAAAATAAATTAAGAAGAATTTCATTGACTTTATCACTAGTCCCATAATTTTATTTTATTCAATCTACACACAATTCAACAGATCCTTTATCTCTCATGCAATAATCCAAAAAAAATGATCACTATTCCTCTTAAAAACATAGTCTAATATCATCTAGTGCCATTTCATCACTTATCTTGCCAGCCCATGTACAACGATCATCGAGAATATTTCATCGATTTTTCCAAAAATTGCCTGATTATCACCTTGACGATTGATTTTTACAGTCAAACTTTGGCTGGGGATTTCCACATTGTGGCTGGTAAAAAAAAAAAAAAAAAAAAAAAAAAAAAAAAGGTGAATCTACAGTTCTAACCACCTTTCAAATCCCATTTTTCAATTTAAATCTATCATCATATCCTATAAATACTATTAACAAAATATGTATATATACGATTATCTTTTTTCTTAGCGGATAAAAAAGAGAGCTTGAGAATATTAGGTAGAAAACTGCAGAAAAAGGTCATTTTCATGTCATTCTAAAAAAAAAAAAAAAAAAAAACTTCAGATCCATCTTAAAGTCTAATTATGCCATAAAACCTCTACAAGTAAAACATCATCCTTCTTTTTTTTTTTTTATTAATGCAAGAAAAAAAAAAAGAATAATCAATTAAGTTGAAATGACCTTATTAGGTAGTTGTGGAACAGAATGAATTTCATGGAGAAAGCATGAAGCCTGGGTAACTAAAGTCAGTGTAACCGTCCGTTTTCTTTTTTTTTTTTTTTTCGGGGTCCTGAAAGAGATGCACCCATCCTAGTGGAAATATCATCATTGAAAGCCAGAAAACGAAAGCAAAAGAATAGAAGGAGTGGAATGGCATTTCCAAAAAAAGATCAACAGAATTGACAAAAAAAAAAAAAAAAAAAAATCCAATCATCCGTTCCCTTTTTTTTTTTTTTTTTTTTGTGTGCCTGTCCCCAGGTTGAATTTTCTCTAAGCGAACGATAAATTTTAATACTCAATATTTTATTGATTGAAAAGAATATAGTCATTGTTGATCAATGAGATGCATTCGTGACCTGATTTTCATGAAACTTGAAAATTATGCTAATGATGAAACTCTTGCGTAAAAAAAAAAAAAAAAAAAAAAGACGAGATCTTGCTTTCTTTCTTTTCTTTTTTATTTTTCTCTCTCTCTCTTTCAAGTAGAACATCGAATGAATAGATATGCATTTTCATACTCAACCTAATGATAAACGATAAATGGTTATGTACCAAAGAGTCCAGTCTTTTTGAAAGTAATTTGGCGGAGCCAATAAAAGAAAGAAAGAAAAAAAAAAACCCAACCAGTTACAGAGAGTTAGTGGAGACACCTGATCCCTCTGCTCTTAATCTTTTTTTAGCTTTTTTTTTTTTTTTTTTTTTTTCCCAAAGGTTGATGATCCACGTGGCGGAGCTGATCCCTCGATTCATATCATCTATTCACTTTTTTTATATATATATACGTTCAAATGGTTGTTTTATTATCAAAAGAATGAAAAAAGGGATATCAATATAAAAATCATATATACAAAAGGACAGTACAGATAGGAAAGGATATATAAGGATTGATTTTTTTTTTTTTGGGAGGGAGTGATGATTTGTTGATCGGATGCGTTGTTATGGAGAAAAGTAATGATACATAGTACAAGTGGTCAAATAATAATAATAATAATAATAAATATAATTGTGAATAGTAAGGATGATGATGATGATGATGATGGTGCGATTAAAGAATAAGGTGATGATGATTACAGTGTGTTTATAATATATAGGTGGATAAGATTATTTCTTGCTCAATCGGAAAAATCGCCTGAACTTGGACATGGAATATTTATCATCATCTACTGGGCTATTTGGTGGAGAGTTATTTGAGCAGCTATGACTTGACAGATAATCATCGAATGATTTTTGATTAGATTCCATTGATGATGTAAAGGAAGCTTTGGATGGTGATGATAAAGGACAATGAATCAATGAGGGACTCATATCAAAATGTTCAGTAAATCGTGAATTGCAGGTAGTCATTGTAAATAAAAATATATCTTTAAAAAAAAAAAAAGTAAATCAAGTTGAAGAAAAGAATACACCAAAAAGTAAAATGTTTAGTTTATATATGTTTCCCCTTGATCTTTCTGCAAACTAGTCTCACAATGTCTGGGTACCTGTCCAATAGAAAGGATTGAATTCTAATGCTATTACACTCCGCATGAAGTGATGTTACTTTTTTTTTTGTATCACTTGCTGTTTTTATACAAGGCTTCAAAATCATTTATATATATATGTATATATATTTTTAAAGTTTGAAGTCATTGGTAAATTCTTCAATAGAAATATTATCAAAGTGCAAACATATAGAATGTTATTTTTATTTGATTAAATCTACATAAACAAAAATGTCACAGGTTCAATTAAAAAAAAAAAAAGAAACATCATATGTTCCTTTTTTTTTTTTTTTTTTTTTTGTTCTTTCTAAACTGGGATTCAAAGAAGGTGATCTACTTCTTTCATATTAATTCTTTTCGCCGAAAATGAGTTCAAACTCCATAATTCATTTACCGTGGAAGAAGTTATCCAATAAAATGAGGGAAGGATCATCCATCATCAAGCTTCATAGGAAAAATAGAACCTAAGATGTTTTGGAATTTTCATAAATATGACATCAATTTGATTCATCAATCTCCAAAAAAGTAAGTGATGTTCTTGGAAGAATATGAAAAGTGGAAATCATCTTTTATTTTAACTATTTTCCCTATTATTATGATGATGAAAATGGTCATCATCATCCACCATTATTATATATGTATAAAGAAAAAGATACATGGACGGTCATCATTATCATCATATATCCTTTTTTTTTTTTTTTTAATATTGGTGGATGATCATCACAATTATTATTATTATCTTTTTTTTTGAAAATAGATAGCGCGGAAATAGTAAACTTTTACTGAAAAGAATCAAAATCACTTTTTAATTTGTCAAAAAAGGTTTCTCATGTTGCATAATAGAAAAAAAAAGGTACAGTCCGTTTTGAACTCGTCTAAACCAACCACATTTTAGGGACTTTTTTTTTTTGAGTATTCCTAAAATTGCCCGGCACTCCGGTTAGCCTAATTTTTTTTTTTGATGCCACATTGTGTTGTGTCTATCACTTCCAAAATGAGAGGAGATACAAAAAAAAAAAAAAAAAAAAACAATATATTTTTTTGTCTCTCTTCTTTTCTTTCCTTTTTTCTAACTCAACTTTCAAATCATCCTTAAAAGATGCAAACTGTTGCCAAGATCTTTGTCATTTCTGGTCCATCTGGTTCTGGTAAATCTACTCTATTGAAACGTCTTTTCCATGATTTTCCTGGCACTTTTGGATTCAGTGTTTCACGTAAGTTTCCTTTTTTTTTATTTTTCTCCTTTTTTTTTTTCATCATCATCATCATTATAATTTATTTACTAATTTACAACCCATCTTTCTTTTATATAAATTTACAAAATGACTTTACAATAGATACTACTCGCGATCCTCGACCTAAGGAAGTGAACGGTGTAGATTATCATTATGTTACCAAGGAAGTCATGGAAGCTGAAGTGGCTGAAGGTAAGTTCATTGAAAGTGCTACCTTCTCTGGTAATATGTACGGTAAGTCACCATAATAATATAAAAAAAAAAGGAAATACTTCAAAAAAAGAGATGACTTTTTAATATATGACATTGACATTCTTTTTTTTTTGTTTATATTGGTAGGTACCTCCATCAAGGCAGTGAAGGATGTTGTGGATGCTGGCAAGGTATGTATTTTGGATATTGATATGCAAGGTGTCAAGGCAGTCAAGAACACGGATTTGAATCCCAAGTATATCTTTATTCAACCTCCCAGTGTAGAAGTCTTAGAACAACGTTTACGTGGAAGAGGTACTGAAAAGGAAGAAGCTGTGTTGGCGCGTTTGGCTGCCTCCAAATTGGAATTGGCTTATGCTCAAGAACCCAATGCTTACGATACCATCATTATCAACGACGATTTGGATACTGCTTACAATAGTTTACAATCTGCCATCTTTGAACAACAATGATATTCCTCAAGTAGCCCTCCCTTCTTTGGATGATTAGCATACTTTCATTGATCCTCCCCCCTCACTACTACTTCTGCTCTCATCAAACATAAACATTCATTCATTTATTCATACATATATAGATTAGATTCCTTTTTTACTATTATTATTATTATTTATCATTCAACTCTCACTCCTTTGGGACCTTTTTCCAAATAAAAGTTTTGTGTTATTTACTTGTATTTGTTCAGTGCGGAACATGATATGATTGATCATGGTGTTTTCTTTTGAAGGGCGATCAGGTAAAAGAAATTTTTGACAATGATAATCTTTTTTTTTAAAAGAAAAAAGGAATATGATTTTAGCTATGATCATTAAGAAGATGATAATAAAGAATCAGAAAGTTTCTATTGATATCATTAACCATCAATCATCCATTTCCATAATATGGAAAAAAGAATCACCGCAAATATATTCATAACTCCAACGCGAACAAGTCTCTAATCATAACGCAGAAAAAAATAAACGCGCTTCACATGGAAAAAATCAGTAAATCAAAAATATTTCTATAAACAAACTTTATTTTTGGGTAGTGTTTAAAGATATGACCAAAAAAAAAAAAAAAAAAAAAAAAAAAAAAAAAAAAAAAAGAGTGTGGTGTCATGTATATACAGATAATAAACTAAATTAGTAAAAAAAAAAAAAAAAAAAAAAAGATGAAGACCTAGCCTAGATACCTATTTCAAGTCATGCATCATAATAATTTCATCATCCATGTGTGAAGGAGTCCCAATCATAGTACGTTCTTCTGAATCAGGGGTATGTAAATTGGAGGAAGATGCACCGAGTTGGTTTGCCGTAGTGAAATAAGATGGACGGAAAGTTGTCGTATGATTGGGGTTATCATTGTCCAAAATAATGGTTGTCATCCTTGCCATCATCGTGTCATCCGTTGTTGCCATTGCATCTTGACCATGATAACAACTATCCAATGTCGTCAAAGTCATACTACTTTCATGTCGTTCATCTTCATCGTCATCATCTTCAGCTAATAAATGTTGAATTGTAAGTCCAGAATCAGGGTTCAGTTTACTTGGTTGTAATGTTGCTACTGCGGTTGAGGATGATTTGCTTTTGGTTCCATTGTTCGTTGTCATGCAAGAAAGATTCGGGGACTTGCTCCGAGCCAAAAAAGAAAAAGTCGCCGAGTGTTTTTCCTGTTGTTGTCTCATCGAGGCAGAAGGCGAACCTGAAGGGTTGCTGTTGAACCATGCGCACCACTGTAAAAGATCATCTTGATTGGCCACTTGTATCAACACATCATGAAACCTGCGTCCATGTACTTTGAGCACATATGCTTCCTTGGTGGAAGAAACAATCGATGCATGAGAGTAATCAAATACACTGCCTTTTCTTGCTCGTTCCTAAGTTCAATCAAAAGACAGTAAATACAATTTGATTGCAGATCTTTTTCCTAGATTCTTGCATCATCATGTTTTCTTTCTTTCTTTTTATAGTTCTTACCGAGTAGTAGCTAAAATAAGAGACCTGTGGTAGCAATACAATTTGCTGCATATCCCAACGTGATAACCAAGGAATATATTTCATGATCCGTTGAACTGGCATTCGGGCTTCATAGGCGTCTAGAACAGTACCCTTTTCTTGCTGTTGTTGCTGTTGACGCTGTTTTTTTTGTTGAGATTTCGAAAAGGTTGTTGGTACAATGTGTGTTCGATGATAAAGTTGACGATGTTGGATGTGATATTCCTGCGTTTGTTGATATTTCTGATGCTGTTGCCGATGACGAGGATAGCAATTCTGTTGATAAGAATTCTGATTGGTTTGATCTCCATTAAGTACACCATTCATACTTAATAATTCACCAAAGCTTTGCTGCTGTTCGTCGTAACGTGATGATCTATAATCCAGTTGGGCCGCAGATGTCGAGTGGAAAGCGTTGCTACTGCTACTATTACTACTGCAACCGCTATTGTTATTACTATCGTTATTGTTGATGGATAAAATGGAGCGCTGTCTATAGGATCGTTGTTGCCGTTCTGGTAAGTCTGATATTTTGTTGACACCTTGACTGCTTCGATGGGATGATGATTTCCGCCTGAATTGAACGAATTTTGGTAAAAATAGAATAAAGAGACAAAATGTAGTGGCCCAAACTATCATGGTTGCTGTAAGATAATGTTGAGTATAGTAATCTGCTGTTGGTAAAAAGAAAACTATAGTTCCAATGAGAGCACAGAAAAAGATGTTGCTGATAGAATAGAATAAAGATTAATTGGTTGAATACAATCCTTTTTTTTTTTTTTTTTGACTTACTATATAGAGAGTCCAATCTGCTTGTATTCGCTGTACTTGGAATAGTTTCTTCCGATTGCTCGAGTCTTGAATGCCAAGAAGGTTGCAAAAGCCAATTCACATGAAGCGATCAGAGTCAATAAGGTAACAAAGAGCGGATGAGAAGGTCCATTGTAATAGCAGCCTAGATAATATGCATTTTGAGATACAGGATTTGATCGAGTCTGAGGAATACAAAGACAAAACCATAAGACAATTATAATGGTTTCCAACAGAAGTATACTGCCAGATACTTTCAACAGATCAGAGTTGCGAACAAGTGTTCGTGTAATAAAGATGTTGTTGAATACGCGATAAATTCGGTAGTTTTTTGCAATCAAATTTCTAATAAAAAAAAAAATAAAAATGAGCATCATTTGTCTTCCTTTCTTTCGTTATTTATTTTCGTTACTATGAATCATACCCCAGTACCAACGAATAGCCTAGGTTGAAGGCGACGGGTACTACAACACATGTTAGTTTTGATCGATCGCCGGCAAAAAAGAAGGCGGCAATATAACATAAGATAAAACCAATCAGTTGCAAAACACAAAATAGCGGACTATTATTATAAGATCATGATGGTTAATCTTTTTCAATTCAAATATTGGCAACATTTTTTTTTTTTTTTTTTTTTTTTTTTTTTTTTACCTTGATTCTCGGAAGACTTCCCGTTTCCTGTAGAGTAATACCAAACATATAGTGACAAGTGCAGTAAAGGTACCAACGGCAGATACAGTTACTAAGGTGATAGATAATGGAGTAGAATAACCCGGATTTAAATAAACTTTTGGAGGAACACCTGTTGGAACCTATTCTGAAAGAAAGTTTAATAAGAGCCAATTCATGATAATATCTATTTATGAGAAAGAAGCACTTACGTTTGTTGTTCCATCATGATAGATTGGAAGAGAAGTGAGGCCAAGTTCACCAGCAATGATATTTCCGATATTGATGTTTGTCCCATTTTGAATGTTGTTTATGCGGTAGTTTCTATTTAGTAAAAAGAAATAAAATGTACATGATAAGTAATCCCTTTATAAAATCATCCATCCATCCATGTATATAGTATGCAGCTGTTTTTTTTGATTTACCCATGGATCATATCACCATTTTGATCCAAAATAATAGGTCCTTCAGGACCAACATAACTTGTATTGAATGCCAAAGGAGATAATTCATCACCCAGTTGTCTATAGGCCAGTTGATGTAATGTAGTTGTTGCATTGGAAGAATTGCGGATAATACTATTGAAACCTTGGGCCAAGTTCATCATACACGAATAGGCAAATCTAAAAAAAAAAAAAAAAAAAAAAAATGGATTAAGAAAATTATTTATTTAAAAAAAAAGTTGGATATTTGAATCTTTGCAATTTACCCTTCATTACCACTGATATTTCCTTGACCACCATAAGGATACCTATGTGAATAATAAAAAAAAATAAATAAATTAAGATCTAATGCAGTAATCTTTTTTTTTTTTTAAAAAAAAAAAAAAAAAGACGAACGAACATACATAGCAGGATCGAGAGAGGACCATCTTTGTAAAAATTGGTCGAATGGCGGGTATCCAGGAAGAGACATGATAGATTCAAAAGAAAAGACACCACCTGAAAATGTAGAGTTGTATTCAATATGGGTAAGTTTTCGAGTTGTATTTGCAGCGTATAAAACGGGATCTATATTAGGTAATACTGAGGATGATGCTGATGATTGCGATGCTGATGATTGCGATGCTGATGATTGTGATGCTGATGATTGTGATGCTGATGATTGTGATGCTGATGATTGTGATGCTGATGATTGTGGTACTGATATGTTTGAAGAGGTTGAGATTATTCCAGTGTTATTGTCGTTCATGTGACTCCATTCTGCACTATCTGCGCGTGTAGAAATGATGTTGTTGAAGTTGATTACATTTTGTTGTAATGAGTCTGATTGGATGCCGATAGTTAGCCATACATTGTCATTGTTGATATATCCGCTATGAGCAGCGACTATTAATGCCGCCATAGGAGCATCATCTGCTGCTGCGACAAAGATCACTCTTGCTCCCGTTGCCATCAAAGTATCAATAGAGGATTGTATATCGCTGGTTGGTCCATGATCATAAAATGATTGATATCCCTTGATTATAATATTGTGAGCTCTTGCTTTCATAATGACGTCCGTTGATACTACATGTTAAAAAAAAAAATGAGAAAAGGATGGTTCATCAATAAGCAGGATCATTTGTGATCATTCATTCTTACATTGTTTTCCAAAGTCATCACCGGAATAAAGTACACCAATCGTCGGCCAACCTTGACTAACGATAAAAGATAAAGCGGCATCGGCATAAATCAAATCGGTAGGAATTGTACGGAAAAAGTAACCGTATTGGGATTTATCAGATAATGAAGCTAAAATATAATAGAAAGAGTTAAGTCAATCAATTTCTAAAAAGGAAATTTCTCTAGTTTATATACTTACTAGCCACAGCAGAAAAAGAGCATTGAGGAATCTGAAGAGTAGTTGACATCAAAGCCGAAAGAGTTGTCCAAGAAGAACTGATATCACCAATAATTGCCACCACCCCTTCATGAATAAGAGATATGGCAGAGTATACTGCTTGACTAATAGCTGCTTGTCCTTCAATATCCTTGGGGAAAGAATCTTGTTCAATCAAAGTGATATATGCACCAGGTATTATTTGTTTTGTGTTGATTTCGGCTATAGCCATACGAACAGCAGAAGCTCCACTAATTTATTTATTGATTAAGAGAGAAAAAAAAATTATTACATGGAATAGATTAAAAATATTGTATAAATTTGTTACCTTAAAGTAATAGTTTTTGTCCAATTATTATCTTGTTGGTGAAATGGAAGCAAGACACCAATTTTTAATTCGGTCAGTCCCTCGGTTTGTACAGGTGATATATAAGCTGTTCCATTTTTACGAGTTAAAGTGAAGGTGAAGTTATTGGCAGTATCATGATATGTATTGACCGAATTTGTATTCTTAATGTCATTATCTAATGCATTGGGAGAGAAGTTGATATCAGCATTGGCGACAGTAGGAGTGGTGATATGATGGTGGTGTACAGAAAAACTAGGTTGTTGAAGCATATAATATATACAATGGTTATGTAAAAGATCCTAAAGATCTAGGATCAAGAAAGGGATGTATAAATGATAGGTAAACTATGCAAATAGCAGGCATAAGAAAGGAAAAAAATAAAAAAAAAAAAGTTGGCATAGTTAAATATATATATATATATAAAGGAGAGAACAAAAAAAAAAAAAAGAGAATTATAGAGAGAACGATGAAAGAAAAAGGGGATAGGCTGAGTCTGAATACACATGAGCAATATACAAAAAAGGAGAATCAGTGAGGAGGAAAACCGATCCAGAAAAAAAAAAGGAGAGATTTTATTTATTAATATCATAAATCTACTTGTTTTTATTGTATTGGATCAAAAGATATATGTATATATAGATATAAAGGTAAAAAGAATCATAAGGGGGGTATGTTGTCATAAAAAAAAATCATATATATTAAAATGGATGGACTGTTGAGTGGGGAAGGGATTAAAAATGCTTTTTTTTTCTAACTTTTGGTATTTGAGTGTTTAAGAAATACAAGATTTTACAAGTGAAGGAATCGAAGAGCGATTGGAATGAATAGAAGAAGAAGAAGATGTTAATTGAGTTACTACTGTTGTTGTCGTTGTTGATGACTCATTATTTGAACATGATGAATAGATAGAATTGAAAGAAGGGCGTTTGGAGAGCGGACGAGGGAAATCTGACAGTTCGGGATAGTTGTAACCAAGTAAAGGATGGCGTCGAATAGCATCGTCTCGTAGACATTCTTCACTGCAGTAAAGGGAGTCCTATTGAAATGATGATCAATCACCCACTTGCATTTTTTTTTTTTTATAGTTCAATTGCTGAGTCATGCTTACCGAGAAAGGACTTATTGCATTATCACAAGATGGACACCAAGAAAGATCACTCATGATAAATCTGTGTGCATTGAATGATACGTAAAGAAGAGGATTGTCGAGTAAGAACGGATGATTTGAAGGAATGGAAGTAAACTGATAACAGGAAAAAAAAATCTAGTTACGGAATGAAAGAAAGAAAGGAAAAAAGAGAAAGACATTTTAACTTTTTTTTTTTTATGATTTTGCTCACACGCTCTATTTTTTTTTTTTTTTTGTTGCCTTGATGGTTTGTTTCTCCATTCATCTCAAATCAAACCAAGTCAGAGCATTCACATGAGGAGTTGTCCTTTTCATCTGAGTGTCAAAAATAAGTTTGGTGGGAAAATTTCTTTGATAGCAACTGTGCATAGATTGTGGTACAGAAATGGTATGGGTCGGAAATGAAGGTCTGAGCGGCGTCACAAAGATCTCTATGAATGTTTGTGCATGCCCCTGGAACTTATGTAATGAAAACAACAAACACTGTCGGTGCGACTAACATGATATTAAATTTTATGATTTTATTGTTTTGAGAGAAGATGGAAGATGATCACTTTGATACTGATATTGACATTGATATTGATGACGTTGATGTTGATGTTGATATTGATGTTGATGATGATGATGATGATGATGTTGATGTTGATGGAAATGATGATGATGATGATGATTTATTAAGTACACAGAAGAAGATCTCCGAAATGATAGTGTCTTATTTGGCTGATCTATCTCACAATGGTGATGATGTCGACCAGCATACATTAGGAAAGTATCATCCTTTTTTAAAGCATCATGGTTGCAACAAGCTTCCGAGCAATATAAAGATTCCTGTTTAACGTATAAAATAAGAAAGTTTTGGTTAGAAAAGAATAATCAACATAAAATAAAAATCCCGTCTCCGTCTATTACAGAATGAATATCAATGGCTTTTTCACATATAGGACACCAATTCAAATCACACATTTTCGTTGTTTTATTTTTTATTTTCAAAGTAAAAAGACTAGTAATATTTGAAATCAAGATGATGGAGAAGATGATGATATATATATATATATATAAAAGGAAGAATCCATTCAATATATAAATAAACTAAAATGAGAGATTTTTTTTTTTCCAAAATTTTCTTAAAGGTAAAAATTTCTTGATCGCAGTCATTCTTCCATTTTGTCCACCTGTGCATCATCCGTAGATCTATTTGTTGCGTATATATGACTTGCCTAATAAATTAAGGTTTCATATCAAGAAGAAATAAAAAAAAAGATATTCAGTTCGTTATCATCCGTCTTCCTTTTTTCAATTTGATAATTACCATTTCCCACACTTGAATAATGTTGTCTTCAGCAGTGCTTGCTATATTCCAAGGTTGAGAAGGATTCCAATCGAAATCAGAGATCTTGTTTGTATGTCCACCATGCATAAACTGTAGATAATATGATAAACGAAAAAAAAAAATTGTTGGTTATTATATACTAGTTTAATTTAAATTTCCCCAATATTCGTCATAGAAATTTTTTTTAATAATAATAATAGTAATAATAATCCTACCATCAATTCGGATGGACCGTCTTCAGCATCTTCTGGTGATAGTTCTTGTCCTATCTTGCCAATATCCCATACCAAAATTCTTCGATCATTACTTGCAGTAGCCAAAACAGTTTCATGATGAGGAGACCAAGACAATTGTAGGATTTCTGATTGATGACTAACTAATGTATGTAATCTTTCCTTAGGATTACGTAAATCCCATAAGGCAGCCGTCTAGAATGGGGATTAAAAAAATTACCATATCAATTTTTTTTGTTTGTTTGTTACTATCTAATCTTCAACTTCTATCACTCTACTTACTTTGTCCCCTGATCCTGTAGCAAGTATCCATTCGCTTTGAGGAGCAAAGGCCACACAATTGACTTCAGCATCATGAGCCACTATGTTGTGCACAGGATTTTCTTTTCCATTCTTTCTTGAATCCCAGCTAGTAACAATAATGATAATATGCATGAGTAATGGATTTTTTTTTTTTCATCCAAAGTGTGTCTATTATTTTCAACTTACATCATCAGTCGTTTATCATCACCGACAGAGGCAAATATATGTTCATATCGTGTGTGCCAGGCAACATCCTATAAATATAGTTAGTAATCACAATAATCTATTCCAGTAAAACTACATACCTCAACGCCAGCAGTGTGTCCTTTATATATTCTAAGAGGTTGTAACGTTTTGTCATCTCTTGTAGTTGCGTTGATATCCCATTCACATATAATCGAATCGAAACCAGCACTTAGCAAGTGATTAGTCTTGGATGAATGAGGATTCCAAGCTAGTCCATACCTATCGTCGATTCACCCAACGTTGTTCAAAATGGAACCAGGATATATAAAAAAAAAGATAGTTAATACTACTTTGTTATTAAATTTCTTTTTGATCACACTATAAAAAAATTTTTTTACCCTTCCTTTTCGTGACCCTTCAATCGTAAAGTAGGATTGAATTTTTCATCTTGTTTTGGTTCCACTTCAAAAGTCGAGCAATCAAATAAGTAGACATCACCAGTTCTTGATTTTGTAGCAATAATATCAGGATGATCATATTGGTAGCGTGCCCTATTGACTTCTCCATCGTGTAAGATACGTTGCGTGATTTTGATATGTGTGTCACTTGGATCCATTTCTAGAATATATATATATATATATATATATGTCAAAGAAAATAGTCAGATAAACTATAAAATGATATTATGCTCAAAAAAAAAAAATTCATTTCGAATATATATATATATATATATATATATTGAATAATGAATAATAATAAAAAAGGACCTTTACCTTTCATAACTTCTTCATACTTTTGGACATCCAAGTTTTCAGGTGAGCGTACAGATGCAATTTGTAAATAGTTTGGATCTTCGTCATTAGTGTGTGTACCCAATATTAATCGTTGAATCTTGTAACCTTTGTCGGGAACACTGAGTCAAAAAAAAAAAAAAAGAATAGAAAAGAATAGAAAAGAATAGAAAAGAAAAGAAAAGAAAAGAAAAGAAAAGAAAAGAAAAAGAAAGAGAATCATGTTAGTTTTATGTTTGTTTCCATTTATATATATATATTATTCTATTTTTTCTTACCTTTCAACGCCTGGGAGCCATTGACATGTCAAACTGGGCCATTTCAACGCGTGAGTAATAACAAGATCGTAAAGAAAAGGTGAGTTCTTTTTCCACGTTTTGTATTCTTCGTTGATCAATTTTTCGTTTTCTTCCTCTGTCCTTTCCCGTACTATCGTAAATTAAAGAAAAAAAAAATCAAGTTAGAATCAAGTAATTGTAAATATAAACACATGTAAAGAAGAAACAATAATGAAAGAATACTGTCAGCGCTTTTGTTGTAATAGGTACGAACGCTATACGATAAAACATCTTTGTAATTCTCTTCAAGTATGTTTCTTCTTCACTTTCCTTTTTTGTTTTTTTGAGTACCTTTGTCCATTATTTTGATGTTGAAGAACTATACTCTGCGAAGGATAGAATGAAAAAAAAAAAGGAAAAAAAAAAAAAGAAAGGTAAGAGAATGACAAAAAGACTTTGATGAGTTCGGAGTTGTATTTTATGCGATGTCGTTTTTTCTAGATTGGTTGATCGACTTTGAACCAGTCAAACCAAACAATGAAAGCAAGTCAAGTATAAGCTTACAGTTCTCAACATGATAGGTAAATAATAAGGACATCAATAATCATCAATTCACCATCCTTAATAACATAAAAGAAGAAATCATTCGTGATCATCAATGATGACAACGCTCTATCTACAAACATAAAGTCAAAAAACGTCAGAAGAAGCTTGTAGAAAGAGTTTTATTGATGTAACTAGTGTTTATTCAATATAATAAGTAAATAATAAGATATAAACTAAAAACCAAAAAGAAAAAAAAATGTCTAATGTAAAATTAACTACTACTATAGCAAACCATCAAATATGAGAGGAGAAGGATTGGTATGTCCAGCCAAGAGGGTTAGTGTCATCCCTTTGAATTTGCCAAGTGGGCCAATAGTGAAGATCTAAGCGTAACATACTTACATGTACCACATTATTTCGAGTGACATATTTGACACGCACATGAGTAGCCTGTTCCGTTTCGATATCGTCTTTTGCCGTCATCGTAGGTTGAGAGAGTAGCCATTCACTTGTTTCTTTTTGTCTCAGTTGCTGTGGAGTATGTCTGTGAGTATAGAGATCTTCCCGTTGTGGTCTTCCAGTGGATATTGTTGTTTTCGTTGTAGTTGTTTTTATTGCGTTTCTTTTCAATACTGCTGACAAAAATGCATCCAAAGTAGGAACAGGTTCTTGGTTAATTTCAGTGATCCATACACCAACTTGAATTGATACATGAGCTGGTGATCCAAAAAGACAACAAGACACATACACACCTTCAGGTACTTTTTCCCTCATTTGTTCCTTTGCTGCTTGATATGGTTCTTGTACAAATAATCCTTGCCATCCAATCAACCTAGTAGTTTCTCTGCCATCAAATAATGTAGTAGGTACTATCAAATTCATTTCCTTGCCATCACGGAATATAATCTAATTGTAAAAAAGGAAAAAAAAAAAAAGAAAAAAAAAGAAATAAGACTATGTTTTTTTTTTTTATTATTATTATTACCATTGATAAAGTTTCTTCTTGATCATAGTGAGACAATTCATTTACGCTAGATACAATATCACCATTAATGCTAAGAATAATGTCGCCAACCTTCAAAACATTTGCACAAGGACTTGAAGGATTAGTAAAGCCCAAAAGGTAGAGTACATGAGGATGATCGGATTCACCAAATACATCGAGCCATTTTTTCGGTAAGTTCAATAATCTTGCATGCACCAACTGCATTGTCCAGAATTCTGCATCCAAACCACGAATAATAGGTCTTGTAGTCATCCATGAAGCATCTTCCTGGTTTTTATAGGCTTGTATCATTTTTATCACAGTAGGTTTCCATAACTTGCTTGGTAGACCACCCATTACGTTCACACTTTCGTCTTTTTCGTCTTCCGTCGCAAAAGTCATCCAAAAGGCTTGTACACGTCCTTCATCATCAGCAAGTGCACCTCCTTGACCTGTAAGCGATTCACCAGTTTTTAAAGCTTGGACATTGACTGCACGCCATCTTGGTGGAGTACTTTCTTTGGTTCTAATGGCTCGGAGAGTAGCGATATATGTCTTTTTGATCACTGATTTTGAATCCCCTAGAATTGGTCAATAATAGTAGTAATAATCATAAAAATAATTTAGTATCTATTGTGAGATGAAGTATAAGCATATTCTTTTTTTTTTTTTATTTATTTACCTCCTAGTCCAACATAGTTCACCTTGTCATCGCGTTCAAGTTCAACATCGCTGAGTTTCGCCGCATGGACTTCCAGACCTGCAGAGAAAAGCGGTATTGGATCAAAAGAGAGGATGGCGAAGTTGTAGAAAGGATGTAAAAATTCCAACCGAGCTGACACGGTGACTGAATTGTTGACAGTTAAAGAAATGTCGGATAAAGCTGTTGGTACTGTATCGCGATCACATATGACCAAAGGAGGATCCAACGATACTATGAGTCCAGCGCCAAACGCATGAGAAGTACGTAACCCATCAATAATAAACGGTGGATAGCAGTCGACTGAGACCAGACTTTTGGATAACTTTTGTAATGGATCACCACCGACTGATGATGATGATGATGATGATGATGGTGATGATGATGATGGTGATATTGATCGATCCATTGAATCTTGTTTATATGGTAATATAGGTTTTTGTATTTGAAGATAATTAGTAGATTCAAGAGATTGATAATCCCAGACACCAGTTCGATCTATAATATACATATGATAAGGTAAAACTTTAGTATGTCGTGAAAAATTTTTGTATTCATTAGTTTCTATATATTACCATTCCGGATGGCCAAGCAAAAGCGATGCCATCGTCGATCCACATGGACAAGCATCACCCGATCCTTCTTGGCTCTTGACAAGGAATAAAAGCGAATGGGTACCCGACTACCGTGAGGAATCTGCTGCAAGATGCGGATAAAATCATCCAAATCATGTATAGGATGATTGTCTAGACCTAGAATGACAGATCGTCGTACTGCATAAGCAGTTCCCATGATATAGCCAGAAGCAGCCACATAAACACCAGGATTTTTCAAAGATAAACCGTAAGAATGAGCCATTTGATAAGATAAATCATGCATCACGCCACCACCGAATTCCACATATCTATGAGGTGTCACCTGATGTAAATCTTGAACTGTCATTGTGTATTCTTTGAGTTCACCAGCACGAGACACAACAAGGCATACCGATTTATTGACATTGCTATCCAGTATATCTTCCAATTCAATAAATGTTGATATGATCGCACCATTTCCAGTCAGTAAAATATCACCTGGTTCCAAATATTTCGAAGCAGGTCCATCTGGTAATAATGATTTCACAACCAAAAGCCCTTGATATTCTTGTCCTTCTTCATGATCACCACTATATCGATGCAACGATCGGAGACGTTGTTCAATATGTTTTGCCAATCCTAGTTGTAATAATTCATCATAGGAACGATAAACAAACTCGGTTTGAAGAGTACCACGAGAAATCACTGATTGTTGTTGAATACATTGTAAGGCGCGTCGAACACGTTGGAGAGGAAAGTAATAACTTGAAGAAGCACGAGCAGCACCACCAGCATTCAGAGCTATAGCTCTTCCTTGTAAGTCTAACACCGGACTACCACTTGATCCAGCACTTGTACTTGATGCCGCTTGGAGATAAAATGTATTAAAGTCGTTGTATTCACCTATACCATAATCCGGTGCTTCACGATCGAGCCTTGCCAAAGTTCCAGATAAAATACTGAGTTTTTCACCTGCATCATTTCTATCACAAAGCAAATGTCAATGATTTAAAAAAAAAAAAAAAAAAAAAAAAAAAAAAAAAAAAAAAAAAAAAAAAAAAAAAAAAAAAAAAAAAAAACTTACCCTACGACTCTAATTTCTTGACCCACACGAGCACCTTCAGGATAGAGTTCAATGGATGGCATATTGAGAAATCGCACCTTGGATGGATCATATTGAAGAAAACCAAAATCATGAATAGGGTCACGATAAATAGGCTTGAGATCAATTTCTTCATAATTGCACAAGACAGCTTGAGCTACAATAGGAGAAACGGAAACCACATGACGATTTGATAAGATGATTCCACGATTAGCATCGACAACAAAACCAGTAGCAGAAAATACACCAGGAATTTCGGTATCCAAACATCGTACTCGAGTAGCCTTGATGGAGACAATACTTTTAATGCATTTTTCCAAAGTAGATTCCCAAGAAGCAGTAAGCTGTGTTGATTTAACTTGTTTCGGTAATAGAAGGGATGTATGAGCTTGTTTCAGATCTAACCATGAAGAAGAGGGAGCAGAAGAAGAGGGAAGTTTTTCTTTTGGATCGGGTTGCATTGATGGGCGATAAAGTGGATCTCTATCAATAACATTTGTGTGTTCTAAAGGTCTAGGCATAATAAAATCAAGATTTGAGTAAAGAGAGAGAGAAGAAGAAGAATAAAAAATCAAACGAAGAAAGTTAATAAATGATAAAAAGAAAAAAAAAAAGGCCCCGAATGGTTCCTTTTTCAACATTTTCCCTTATTCCACCAATAACCCCAGTAAATAAACAATGAAACCTACCTAAATGATGCTGACTTCTATTGATTTTTTCATGCGTTCTATTTTCGTGTGGTTTCAACCTAATAATACTAAATAACCGTATGAATAAAATAATAATAATTGTTATTCCTTCTCTTATAATGAAAAAAGTAAATCTACCTCTGCTAGTTCAAATCTTGCTGACCATCACATGGTAAGGTCAGGTTGTCAGTGTCACAATCGTGTTTAGCATTATGGTTCTTCTCTATAAAAGCTTAATAAGTTATATGAATGCATTCAACTTATTATTTTCTATTCTTACCAAAAGAATCACCGAAATCAATGTAGCTAATCTAGTAAAAGGTAGAAATGAGAGAGTGAGAGAGAAAAAAGAGCGTTTTTATTTTCTTAATTTCGAAAAATCTACACAAATAGACAGATTGTGTTCAAATCCCGCAAACTCACGCACACTAATATTTTGATTACAAAGTACAATCAATCATAACATGACATTCTATATTTTATTTCAAAGGCTATATATAACATATCTATTTACACTTCATCGTTAACAGTACCCTCACTGGTAGGGAATCTTCAAACTGGTGCCGTGCTTTGTAGGGTTCCTCTTTAGACAGATTAAATCACCAACTTGTATAGTAAACGTATATCATCAGCATAAACTTCAGGGCAGACGTGATCAACTATGAAACCTAAAAAAAAAAAGAAATAAAGAAGAATCAATATCTAACTAATCATCACCTATTCTAATATTCTATTTACATGAGATCTACCAGAAGAAACGATCATCAGTAAGTACAAAGTCACATCTTATCGTAATCAGCACCCATGGCTTTCACTGTTCAACGTCAATAAAAACGATCAGTACTTTGTTGTTGTTGTGGTAGTAATAGTATTTTCACTTACACGTTTCTTTCATACTAGGACAACCCCTGAGAGCTTCATAACAAGTGATACTAACCATCTTTTCATCAATCTTGAATTCACCATTTTCCAAAGTAGAAATAAAGTTTTCTTCACTATCAAATTCAAGGAGTAATAGTATTTGCTCTTGATAGTATTCTGGAGGTAATATCAAAAAAAAAAAAATTAGGAGAGCAGGAGAAGAAAGTATAATAAAATAAAAATAGTAAAATAAATTAAAATAAAAAGGGTTTGTCGGGAACTAATCAAGGCACAAGTTTGGGAAAATGCATATTATGAGTTAATAAGGGAAATCGATGGTGAATAATAAATAATAATAATAATAATAATAATAATAAATAAAAATAATAAATAATAATAATAAATAAATAATAATAAATAAATAATAATAATTACAATAATAATAATAATAATAAAACTAGGCATGTTGAATAAGAGTTTGAGGATCAATTTGGAAACGTACACATATACCTTCCAAGACACGCCAAAGGTCCCAGTATCCGTAAAGTCTTGCTATATTGTATATTTTAAGGGCGATTTGTTGTAACTGTATTGGTGCATCCGGATTATTGTGATATTTCTGACAGCAGTGTAGGATTTCCATAGGGTAGGTAGACCAGGTTTTCATATCCAGTGGAACATAACTTGTTGGTTTCTTTTGAAGTAAATAACTTGGTGGATTCTTTCTCTTGAGGAATGGTAAAGTTTGTACAATTTGTAAAGAAAGTACATCAGAGTTATTGTTCATGGTCGAAATGATGCCAATATATTTTTGATCGGATAGTGAACTAGCTGCCGTATTTGTGAATAAAGTCGAAGTCGAATCGAAGGTGATGAGGGCATAAAGTGCTGACTTTTCTGTAGGATCGCAAGAAAGTGATGTAGTCAAAAGTTGATAGAGTTCATCTTCTCCTGAAGCAATAACAGTCGGTGATAACTTTAAGACGTGTTTACTGATGGTAGGCCAATTGAAAGGTGGTTGTTGGACAAAAGAAGATATAGATAGTGTTGAGCCATACTTCCAGCTTGGTTGGTCATATTTTGATATCGTCGTATATACACTATTTTCAATAATAACTGGTATTGACAAATATCCCAAAGCTAAAGTAACAGATAGCATTGAATGTGATAGATAAAAGAAAGAAAAAAAAAGATTGTGCTTTTTTTTCTTTCTGAGAGAAAATTTTATAAGTCACGCGACTTTGTAAAATCAAAAAAAGTAACTTTTTTTTTTACGCTTCTCTTTCATTTTTTACATTCTCTTTTTCTTTTTACTTTTTTAATACAATGACTTCACCTGCGAAACCTATCAAAGGAATTCTTAAACATCACCAACAAGGAAATAGCTCGAGTACTAATGAACCTCAGTAAGTATCATCTCAATATACTTTTATATAAAAAAAAAGAAGTAACATAGAGATATATGCTGACAATGTTTTTCTTTTATCTATTAGTTTGAAATGGGATGAAGACAATCTTATGCTAACCGAACAACAGAAAGACTCAACTATGAAGGTAGATGAACCCAAAACTCCCTATATTCGTTATGATGCGCAAACAGACCAGGTGATGAATCTACCAGGTAAATTAAGAAAAAAAAATTGAACCAAACAAGTGAAACAAAAGACATCGAACTGATATATATATATATATTATATGTTATCAATAGATAATCTTGGGTATCGGGCAAAACTTGGACCTGAAGATATTGATGAATTTGCTTTGGATGGTGGTCATGAATCAGATCGATCAAGCGTCTCAAGTGGAAGAAAAGTTCGTCAAGTATCTATCAGTGATGATGAATGGGCAGATTCGGGCGATGAAGAAGAAGACGAACAAGGTAAGATATATTTTATTTTAAATAAGAAGAAAAGTATAAGTAAAGGAATTTTCTTGATCTATCTGACACAAACTCTCTCACTCACTATGTAGCTAAGAAGCGACATGAAGAATTTGCAAAGAAAAGGGCGATGCATTATAATATGGGAAATGTTTTACATCATCCAATTAGAAACGACGAAGACGATGAGGATGATGATGAAGAGGATGAAGAAAATACTACTGTCAAAAATCATGATCATATACCACCTGTTCCCCCATTACCTCAATAGTATAGTATTATAGTATAGTTATAGTTTTTTTTATTTTATTTCATTCAGTGTCATACCAGTTATCTAATTTGAATAAGAATAAAGGACTGTATCGTTACATATATATATATACTCATCGCATGAAATAAGGAAACTGAAACTATTTTTGTGAACCAGAAAGAAAAAAAAAAGTCAGTTGTTTGATGATGATGCTTCATCATCTGGTTGTTGGGATCCACTTAGTGTGCAAAATTTTGAACTCAGTGGCCTTTTTTTTTCAATTCTTTCTTCCTTAACTTCCTTTTTCCCTCTTTTTCTTTTATTCTTTTTTCTAGTTTTTCCGTCATCTCATACAAACATCATGAAGAAAGATATTCGTAATCATCCTTATCATTTTGAACAAGCGTTACAGCGACAAACTAGTGGTCAGCGAAACTTGAGTTTTACAACACGTAGTACCAGTGAACTAAGTAATGGTGTATTACAAGACCAACAACAATTACAAAAACAACAACAACAACAGCAACAACAACAAGTAAAAACGAAAAGCACAACCTATTTTACTTGGCTTGTATTTATGTATGCAAAGTGGGTGCCTTTTGATGCAAATAACCAAGGGAAACTAGAACAGACATTACATTTGGGTGGAACGTTTGTGGATATTGAAGATAGCAACTTTCCCAAGGTCAAGCGAGTGCGGGTGTTTCCAAAGTCGAATTATCTTTCTTACCTTGGTGTTAAGTATCGACTTTCTAGGGTGATGCAACCTGATGCTTGGTCTGATTCTCACGATATAGTCACTCCAAACTCTCCCTCTCAAGCGCAACAACAATGTCAGTTATTACAACAACAACAACAACAAACTCAGCATCATAATCAACACCTATTACAAGAGCAACAACAGCTAGACCAACATATGACAAATAGTTCACAGCAACAATCTTTGACTCGAATTTTACCTCCTCCTCCTCCTCCATCTTCAGCTTACAATAATAATAATAGCAGTAGTACCAACAACAACAAAAACAACAACAACAACAACAACAACAACAACAACAACAACAATTCGACTGCTACAATGGATTACTGGCGATCAAGTCCTCATCGATCTTCTCAAACTTTAATATCCCATGTGTTATCTTGACTGGTTAGTTAGTTAGTTATATATTTTTATTCATATCCTCTGTCCTTTTATTTGTTATTATACCTCCATTTACTCTTGTATTTTTTTTTTCTCTCCAATCTTTATGATGCCTTCTTGTCTACTTTATATTATTGATAGTTTTACTTTGATTTGAATTAAAAATGAATTGAATCCATTTTTAATAAAGAATGATACAAATATTATATCAAAAGCTTTTGTTGACTCCCCACTTCCCCAAAAAAGTAGGTACCACGTTTATCGATGAAGAGAAAACTTAAATCCTCTTCTCATAGAGAAATGATATTATTGACTACGGTTAAATAAAATGGAAATAAGCAAGTAACCCATGATCTTTTAAAGTTAGGATGCATCAGGCCATTTCATTGGGAAACAATGATGCTTTGCAGCTCGGTTGGTACAATTTATTTCCGTATTTTTTATTTTTTTATTTTTTATTTTTTTTCCTCTCTCACTCTTTCTTTCTTTCTGTTTCTTTATGACCTGCTCACGATGGTTGCCATGGGACCACTGATGATCAGATGATTCTTTTTTTTTTTTTTGGAGCCATTTTCATCTTGATCAAGATAGATGATGACATCAACATTATATTAGAAGAACATGATTGTTATGATAAGGGAATAATTTATCTCTTTTTTTTTTTCTACAGTAAAGCATGATCATCATTATTATTCATTTCTATGATTCCTATGCAAGTAATTTAAAGCATATACCGGTTGACAAAAGGATATTGAAGTGACAATACTAATGGATTATGTGTGGATTGATAATGGATGATGATGCATCATTTCCCTCCTCCAAAAGTTACCTGAAAAGGTGTGGGGCCTAGGCAAATAAGAGAAAGATTAACGTCGATGATGATTAT